GGCGGCAACGGGCTGCGCGCTGACACTTGGCGGCGAGGGTGCGCGGTTGCTCGACGACGATGTGAGGTGGGCGATCGACATGCGGTTCGTCGAGGCGACGAGGGTCGACATCGGGCGCATAATGGGCGAGGGAGGACGACGCGGACCGCTTGGCGACGCTTTGCGGGTCGAGACAGGTGTTGCGGTTGGGCGGGGAATGAAGTGCGAGGGAGAAGGCGGGCGACTCGGAAGAGTAGGCAGGACGCTACGAGGGAGGGTGAAAGCCGGACGAGTTCCTCGCAGAGGCGGCATGTAGCTCGAGGATGGCGGGAGTCTCGCCTCGTTTCCGAGCGATCCTGCTCTTCTCTCGCGCGTAGTTGGCGGCGGAGAGCGAGGCGCCATGGCAGAAGGGTAGTCGCGACCGGACGAAGAGCTAACGGAAGCTGTAAAGGAAACCGTCAGCAAGCGACTCGAAACGATGTGGAGATTGAGGCTCACCGCGTCTCGACATGCCAATCAAGGCGTTTGCAGCTACCTTCCTCGCATCCTCGGCAATGCGCTCGTGCGCTTGCGCTCTGACAGACTTGGACCTCGAGCGTTTCGGCGCCGACTCCGGCCGCGCGGCCGTGGCCGCCCTCGTCCTCTCCTGCGTGTCGATGATGCGCTGCTTCGTGCCTTCGGGAAGGACATAGCGTCCGTCGACGCTCTGTGTGAGGAGGCACGTCAGCTCGATATGCGCCTAAGGAGAGGCATCGCCCTCGCCTTGAACCGCTCCGCACCGATCGTCTCCAGCTCGCGCTCAATCTCGTCGAGCGTAGCGGGCGGAGCATATCCTGCAAGACAAGAAGATGAGCATATGCGCTGACGTCTCGGGCCTAGCGACCCAGTCACGACGAGGAAGGGCACGCACCTTGGAGTTCCCGCTCCTTCGCACGCTTTGCCGCCAACAAGCCACACCCGTTGCACAGCGAGCGGTTCCCGGCAGGCCCCTTCCGCCATTCTGCCGTGTCGGTCACCGCACAGACGGCGCAGCAGTCGGGCGGCGTCTTCGGTCGGCGAGGAAGCGAGTCCTGGTGCGTCGTCGAGCGTCGTCGAGGAGGCATGGGTCGACGAGCAGTGTGAGCGAGGTACGGGAGGTCGGAGGGAGAACAAAGACGGGTCGACGCGTCAAGTCAACGTCGCAGCCTTGACATCTCGGCAAGTCCAGAGGAGGCTGAGCTCACCCCGGACCCGGCCGCGATCGACCTCCTCCTTCCCGCTAGTGGTGGCGGTGCTGATGCGACGGCGACATCGTTCGCGGGTGAGACGGGTGAGGCGGACTGGCGCAGCGATTGCGAGGTGAAGATGAAGGAGGATCGCGGTCGAGGAGGAGAGGTTGGCGACGTCGCGAGGCGCGGCGCCGTATAAGCGTAGCTCGGGCCTCCCCAGTCGTGTCGAGGTCGCCCGAACTCGTCGACCGCAACCTGAACCTGGTGCTGGCCGATAGGCGTGTCGTAGAACCCCGTTGACCCGCGCCGGCCGTACAGAGGCGGTACCGAAGCGCTGTGCGGCAGCGGCGTCGGATTGTAGACGGTGCGAGGTGCCGACCATTGTATCGAGCCTAGCGGGCGAGCGGGCGAGGGTGGACGAGCGGAAAACGGTCGCGAGGGAACTTGCGACGCCTGCGAAGGCGGTCCGCGACTCGACATAGCAGCGTCAAAGCTGGCTCTGCCTGCATCTGACTTGTCAGCGCCCGTCTGGAGATGCGGCACTCCCCGCAGCGAGATGAGCCGAGATAGCGCTCGAGAGGAGAAGGCGCACCTGCAGAAGAGGGGCGACGGCTAGGAGGGCGGCTGCTGCGCTGGCCCCGCGCGGTGACACCAAGCAGAAAGAGAGAGCGAGAAGCAAAACGAGGGCAAGAGAGAGCAGGGCGGACAAGGCGGGGCCCGAACGAGCGATGAGATTCGCAGGGACGAAGCTCCTGTCGAGGCTGCGGAGAGACGACGGCGGTCATTGCGTCGCAGTCGCTCGGGAGATGCGAGAGGACCAATGGAGAGCTCACCATACTTCAGCAAGACGGGCGAGATGGATGCGGTGGCAGCCAGAGTCTCTTCCCTCATTCTTCGTCTCGTCCCCTCCTTTTCCTCCTGCTACTCGGTCTCTCCGCGGACCTTGAAGGTTTGGAAGGCGCGATCGACCCACTTTGGGCGCGTGGGGGACAGCTTGCACGTTGCCGTTCTCGCCACGCATCTACAGCAAATCTTCGTCTGTCGCCAAGGCCAAACGGTTAGCCGCATCTCGCGGAAGCGAGAGTCGACGAAAGTACGCACCGTGTCTACTCGCGTCGTCGGCCTGCAACATCGCGTCGACCTGCCCGAGCAGGCCCTCCTCGCCCTCTCCGCCGTACATATCCTCTCCTTCGCCTCCTTCCGTCGCTTCGTCGACGGCGAACTGCGGTCGCTGCATCGCCTGCTGCGCGAGAGCCTGGACGTCGATGTCGTGCTTGGGCGCCGAAGACGACAACTCTCCCTTTTCGCTCGCCGCATCCGCCCACGGGTTCTCCTGGGTCGGATATGCAGGCATGCGCATTGCTGCTGCCGAGAGAGGGTTGACCGCTGACTGGTCGGAAGCGGGCGGGAGAGGCGCCTTTTTACGATTGCTGGAAGTGGAGAAGAGCGAGTCGCGTGCGGTAGGCTCGATGGCGGCGGCTGCGGCGTCGAGCTTGCCGATGCTCGGGCCTGCGGGACGACCAGTCAAAGGGTGCTCATTGCGTGGGATGGGCAGACAGACGCACGCTGCTCGACTGTCTGGATGTCAAGTCGCTTGCCAACCTCATCTGCGAGCCGGTTGAAGCGCTCCTGCAAAGCCAAGGCCGAGTCAGCAAGATCCCCAAGTTCGTATGGAGGCCGAAAGTGCGCACCTTATTCTCGTCAGTAACGATGGCGCTGACCAGTCCTCCCCACCATCCGCCAGCGAGCGTCTGCGGTTTCGGCTTCTCCTCCGGGACGAGCACTTCAAGCCGCCAGCTGTTCGTCAAGTCCGAGTCGAAGAAGTCCTCGAGCAATGCATCAGCGAGGATGCACATGCGGAAGGTGGCGTGCGAGAGGAATGGTCGGTTGGGGTCGTTGTCGGCCCACTCCGTCGACTGGATCTCGGGCGAGTCGGCAGGCTGAGTTCCGTCTTGCGGCTTTGCTGGCGGCTTGGTGCTCTCGCCGTACTCGAACAGGTTCTGGAGCATGTTGGAGATACTGCCGAGGTACCGGTCGCCGGGCTCATTGCGGAAGATGAACTGCGAGAGGTTCGCGTCGACTCCAGCTCAAGCAGTGTGTTGGCGAGAAAGACGCACGAGAAGCGCTTCGGACACTTGCAGAACCTCGTCCTTCGTCAAGTAGCCGTCCTTGTCCGCGTCGTAGAGGCTGAAAAGCCAGCTGACATTGAGCATCAAGTCGTTGAAGAGAACGGTGTCGAGGCCGGAGATGACGTCCTGCGAAGCGACCACTCGTCAGTCGAGTACTGATCGAGCGAAGAGACAGAAACGGACCTGGAACGACAGCGACCCGGCGTGCGTGACGTCCCATGCCAGGAAGACCTTGTCGATCAAGGCGTGGTCGGCCGGCTCGCGCTCGATGTGCGACAGCAAGCCGTTCTTGACGAGCTTCTCGTTCCTTGCCCAGGTCGCGACGTCAGCCATGAACCGGCCGAAGGCTGTCCGGTCGAGGCGGTCCTCAGGCTTGGTCTCCTCCTTTGGCGGCTTCGACCCGCTGGATAGCGATGATGCGCCGCCGTCAGGTCGCGGCGACTGCGCAGGCGAGCGGCCAACTGTCGACGATGAGCGACTGCGCGAGCCGTTCGCCGCCTTGTCCTGCCGCTCCCGCTCCTTCATCTGCAAGACGGCGAGCTGGAAGTGGTCGTACGCCAAGCCGAGCTGCGCCTGGTTGAGGCGACCGGTCGTCTGCAGGTTGCGGATCGCCGTGCGCTTGGCGAAAGTCTCGATGGAGACGAGAACCTCGGACCGGAAGCGCTTGCGCTCCGATGCAATGGTGTCGTCTGTGATGATCGAAAACTCGCGGAAAGCGACGACGACTGTATATTCAGGGTGGTTAGCAGTCGTGCTGATGCGCAAGCGAAGTGAACGTACACAGTTCCTGGAACTTGGTGACCTGCCGTTGTCGCGGATCGTGCGAGTCGGGATGCGCGGATTCGCCAAGCGTGGCAAAGAAGGACTTCAGGACGCTGTGAAGCAGACTAGAGTCAGTAGACCTCGCAAAAATGGGAGCGGAAACCGTACTTGATGAACGCGCCATCATCGGTTGTCTCGAGGAGGGCGGCTCCGTTGAGCTTGAGGATGGCGAGACTGTAAAGAGCGGGACTGTCAGTTCAACGCTTTCAGACGCAGAGTGAACCGACTGACCCGACCTGGAAGAGGACTTTTGGGCCCATGAGGAAGAAGCAGTCGATGATGCTGCGAGCGCGTGCGAGTCAGCAGGGCACGGCACAAGATTTGCGAGCAGCACGCACCGGAAGGCGAAGACCATCGGCATGGACGAGATGTAGAGGGAGAGGAACCAAGGCAGAGACGCGACAGAAAGCTGAATATCGGCCTGGACGAAGTGGTCGTGCAGGGACGGCAAGCATCGCTGAACGAGGTGCTCGAAGACTCGCTGGTCGAGTACGGTGCCGTACATTGAGGGGCTGCGAAAGTCATCGTAAGCCTAAGGTCTTCGAGCGGGACTGTCCGCCAGCGCACCTGTAGTAGCCGGGAAGAAGGCGGTCGCAGAGCACCGACAAGCACCAAAAGCATTGCTCTTCGGACATGTAGATGAGGAAGGACGCGGTGACGAGGTTCATGGCCTGCAACGAGCGGGATCAGGCGTTGCGCATGGACGGGACGAGGCGGGCGACGGACCTGACAATATCCGAGCGCAGGGTTGCTCCACGCGTACGCTGTCAGTACTCGCCGCATGGTGTCGATGCCCTTTACGTCCTGATACGCGGGATACTCAGGTAATCTGCGTGATGAAGCTGTGAGCGGAAAGGCGAGCTGGAGGAGAAGACGTCTACGCACGATCGGTGCAGGTCCTTCTCGATGTCGTCGGTACTCGCGCTTCGCCGCCCCTCGTTGTCCTTCAAGATCTGCTCGTACATGCCCGGGTTCTGAAGCCGCATGAACATCGAGCCGCACGTGAGCTCCCACATCTCGCCTCGCAGTCGATTTGGAAGGCCGACGAGGACGAGCCGGGTGAAGGACGGGTATCGGATGAGGGTGAGGTTGCGGCCGTAGTCTGCCGGAGTCGCAAAGTCAGCTTTTCTGCGACGATTTGGCTAGTCTGCGGCGGTCAGGGCGCCTCACCTTGGAGATACTGCCGCCAGAGCTTCATCTTCGATTTCTCGCGCAGTTTCCGAGGGTCACCCGGGTACTTGAAGATCATGCCACTGTAGGCGAAAGCGTGTCAATCGAAGTCTCCCTCGCCGTACGAGTCTGAGCGAATTGCACGACTTACAGACCGGCGTGGAAGCGCCCGTCGATGCCCGATTCGGTCGTCCATGGCTCGTCATCCTCTTTGCCCTTGCCCTTCTCGTCGAACGAGATCAACTCGGCAACCTTGCTCTCCTCGTCCTTCTTCGGCCGCTCCTCGTCCTCCCGATCCGGCGAGAGAAACCACTCCGAGAAGAACGTGTTGGCGAACGGTTTGAGTGCCTTCATGAGCGGCAGGCTGGCTTTCAGGCGGACCCGCAGGTTGGCGCAGAAGGCATCGTTCGTTGGACGAAGCGAGTTGAGTTGGACGATCTGCGCAAGCGAATGTCAGCGGGCACATCTGCGACACTGAACGATAGCCGTACGATACGCAGACCGTGAAACAGAGTCAAGCCAAGAGCGAATGCGCCGACAGCGGTTCCTTCCTGGCCAGGCGCCAACTTCTCGACTCGCCGTACAGTCGCCAGAGGTAGCGTAAGGCGGCAAGATCTCCGGTCGAGCGAAGTGAAGGTCAGGTAGGACGTCGACAGGTACAGTTTGCCGGACTATCGCGAGAGACGGCGAGAATCAGTTCGGACTTGGCTCGAGCGACAGGAGAGAGGGAACGAACGTAGGCATCCTCGTGCCCGGCCATTGCCAGCACAGCGTGCACTTCTCCAAGAGGCTGCTCTTCATCTGGCAGGCCAAACGCCTCGCGAAAGAGGTCCTGTGGATCGGAAAGTCCTCATCAGTTGGACGCTCGGCACGACGGGAAGAGGGTCGACTCGCCTCCTTGGTCGGGTCCCGCCAGTACGACTTGCGCTGATGTGTGCGCAGAGACATCTCTGAGCGCTCCTGTGCCCGAGCGCGGCTCTCCCGGTGTCGCTTCGCAGAGGTGAGATAGGCTGGGAGGACGTGGGGCTGCGAGCGAGTCTGAGGGTCGTCTCGGCTGGTGTAGGGTTGCTCGTTCCGTCCGAGTAGGCCAGCAAGACTGCTCGAGCGCGAAAGAAGTTGAGATAGCCGAGGTTGCGAGGTGAGCGAGGTGCGAGAGCGGGTCGAGGAGGCAGAGGGCTGCGCGAGCGAGAGAGTCGACTTCAGCAACCTCGTGAGGCTGTCTTTCAAGCTTCTGGGACAAATCAAAGTCGCTTGAGGAGCAGGCGCATTCCGGAGAAGCGGCGGAATAATGATAACACTGCACAACAGCGAGGGAGAGACAGGAAATCTACGAGGGAAGGCTCTTCCCTCCGTCACACACCCCTCAAGCCTTCGTCCTATCCCTCGCAGCCTGCGCAATGATGGCATCTGACTCGCTCTTCCAGTTGAAGACGCCCCGAGGGACGCCGCCCGCTCCTCCTCCTCCTGGTTTCGCCGCAAGAGCTCGCTCGTGGTGCATGGACCGGCGGATCTTCGGCGCCTTACGCTCGGCCTGCATCTCCTTCTCCAGTTCGACTACCGCGCCAGATGGGTTCCGCAACTTCTTCCTCGTCGTGCCGTCCTCAACGATGACCCGGTCCTGCTCGGCGAGCGCGTTCGACGAGTCCAGTGGCGCAACGCGGCCAACTCGCGCGTTCTGTCCCTTAGCGACAGCAACCTTCTTCATCCTGCTCAGCTGGGTGTTCTTGCCCCAGCCGGCGCCGCGACGAGGAGGCGAGCGTGAGGCATCGTCGAAAGAGGTGTCGATGTCCTCGACGTCCTCCGCTGCTCCTTCGACAATGACGGCAGGCCGAGCCTTCTCCATTCGAAGCGGTACTCGTCGAACCGGTCGCACACCCGCCGCAAGCAGCTCCGGGTGCTGGCGAAACAATTCGCCGTCCTGGCTCGTTGCCTTTGCGCCCTCGACGGCTTCAGCTCCCGCTACGATGTGCTGCTGAGGCGGGATGCGGTAAGGGAAGGTGTTCTCCCATGCTTTGCGCTGTGCGGTTTCGCCTATCGCGGCGGCTGGTCGGTTGTTCTGTGCGTAGGTTGGCATGGCAGCGGCTGGGCGGGAGTGGACGTCGTAGGCTTTGGCGCGAGGAGAGCGATGGAAGAGGGTGAGCGGGCTAGGGAGGAAAGAGGCCGTGAAGATGATCAGGATGAGAAGGAGGACGAGTCGAGGCGGCGACAGTGTCTTGCTGGCGAGGGCGAGGCGGATCATCGTGGCTGTCGACGTTCGACGGTGGCTTGCGTAGGCCTGGCTTGGAGCTCGTCGGTGCGAAGCGGGTCGTGGCAACCCTTCATCCTCAGGCTTCTCCTTGCCCTTCTCCTCAGCAGCGGTACCCGGCTGCGCTCGAGTGGGTGTTGCAGGCGGAGTGTCGGGAAAGACAATAGTGCTGCTCGTCGCTGCGGGTAGTTTTCGGCTGTCGGAACCGAAGAAGGCGCCGATGGGCGTCTCAGGAGGAGTCGAGAGAAGAGAGACTCGGCGTCGGTGCTGCTGAGGGGTGAAGGCGGGGAGGAGTTTCTGCGACGACATGGTATCGAAGTGAGCGTCTGCAGGGCCAGCGAGGTCAGTCAAGGCGCTGGCTAGGAGGAGAACGTCGCTGCGCACCTTGCGGAGGAGACAAAAGAAGCGGGCTTGAGGCAGTCGGCAGAGATGGGACGGCAGCCGCAGTATCGTTCGCGCTCAAAGCGGTACAGCGTCAGGCAGCTTCGCCAGCAGAGCAGTACAGCGGGTTAAGCGAGGCGAGCGGTGAGAGGGAGAGCTGCGAGTCCACCTGGAGGCGGCGGGGAGTGAACTGGTTCGCCGATCAGAGTCCGGAACAATTGCAAGCACTGCCCGGGAAAGGCTAAGCAGGCTTCGTAGGAGAGGCGCTCGAAGAAGGCTGGTCGAAGGCAGGCCCGGATTGGGAAGGTCAAGCCTGCGCGGCTGGTTCGCTGCCTCTTCTGCGCTTCATTACAGCGCCGTTCTGTGCGCATGGAAGAGGTTCGACGGAGGTTCGACGAGCGGTGTCGAGCGGGCGAATGACGAGGGCAGGAAAAGCCAACACACCTCTGCTTTGCCCGGTGCGCCTGTTCCCGCTGCTGGGCAGCTTCCCAGCGCGGCGGACTAACCGGCAGTAGCACTGAAGGCTCGCAGTGTAGCGCGAGCCATCCAAGACGAGTATGAGAGTTCGGTCGAGCCGATGGCGGCCTCAACGCTGCGAATGCAAGCCCATTCATCCTTGCCAGTTACGCCACCTGGAAGTGCGATTGGCCGCACGGTCAGCCTGTACAATCCGGCTGCGGATGTTGAAGTCGCGCAGACAAAGAGAGGCGGATGGCGAAAGCCTTTGTTCTCTTCATCGTGTGACAAAGGACGTCGCATGACCGGTGCTGCAATTCATCCTGCCCGCTCAGCGCGCGACGGGTGCGAGGTCGACGGAGGCGAGTCCGAGCCCCCGAACAGCGCGCGTTGTGTGAGAGTCGTTTGCTGGAAGAAGGGGTGTTCGAGCAGACAGAGTCGAGCCGCCGCCCTTGGAACAGATCGGAATAGGGCATTCACGCTGCCTCGACCGCTCGCAAAGCAAGCTGAAAGGGGCAGCTCGAGCAGACAGAGCGAAGGAGAACAGCACCCGCGGCGAGAAGAGGACGAGGAGAGTTGCGATCCAAACTGATCAGACTGCCAAACGCGATCGAGACGCGCTGATAAGCTGATAGAGTGAGCGCGACGGCGGTCAAAGCACTCGCCTTGTCCTCCTGCTCGTCTTTGTTGGGTCCAGCGAGTCCCTTCTGCTCCTTCGACTCGAACTCACACGCTGTCAACTCCCTCGAGCGCCGACAGAAGGCTTGTCACTCGTCAAGTCGACACGGCGCGCACTCGACGCGCTTCCCCTGGCAACCGCTCGCGAAACGGATTGTCAACGAACATGCCTGCGCCCGCTCACTCGCTCACTCCGCCTCGTCCAGCGCATCGTCCACCTCCCCTTCACTCGACCCCGTCCGCTCACACCTTCCGCCGCGACTGGCTCGCTCCGCTGTCCCCTTCGCCTTCTCAACTCGCTTCTCCGTCACCCAGCGCGACCATGTTCCCGTCTTCGTCCCCAGCAGACTTCCCTCTCGACGCGCCGATGCCGCCCCAGCCCGCGGCGACCCCCTTCACTAAGCCCCTCAACCTGGCAGACGTTGCGGCGGCCGCACTCGCGCGACCAAGGACGCTGGAGCCGTGGGCAGAGCGCGACGACATGGGCGAGTGCCCGCCGTCTCCGTCGTCGTGTGGGTCTGCGTCGCCTTACCCGTCGCTGCCGAGCTCGCCCTTCAGCGATGCGACGTCCTGCGCGATGACCCCGTCGTCCTCGGCGGGCTCGTTCTGCCTCCCTCCGCCCATCACGCCGCCGCCCGTCGCGTCTTCCTCGTCTCGCCTGCCTTCTTCGGCTTCTGCGCCTTCTATCTCGTCCCTGTTGCCGCCTCCAACTCCCCCAAAAGCCGCGAGTATTCCTCGAACCGTTTCCGCCCCGGCTCTCGCGCCCGTCTCGAACGACCCTTGGCACGGCACCGACTTCTCGCTCAAGCTGCTCTTCACGACCAACAACCAGCCCATCTCGACGTCGCACAGGTCGCCGACCGCGCCCGAAGAACCTGAGCAGACCCTCCCACCCGCCTTCTTCCCCTCGCAGCGCATCTCGTTCTCTCCTCGTCTCCGCATCACCTCGCAAAACGGCCTCGCGTTCTCGTCTCTCGGCGGGATGCACCTCGGCGTTACGGGCATGTGCGAGACGCTCGATGAGGAGGGCAACGTCAAGTCGAAGCGGATGATTGCCGACTTCTGCATCGACCTCTCGAGCGGCTTGCGCATCTGGAAGCGCGATGCCGAGTCGGTCAAGAAGACGGCGTCGAAGAAGATGGGACGCGTTGACCTCGAGGAGGACGGCGAGACGCGGCTGCCGCCCGGGACCTACGTCCTCCCGCTCAGCATGAAGGTGCCCAATTCGGACAGGCTGTGCGTTCTCACCGCGTCCAACTCTCTTGACACGACGCTGACATCTACTCGCACAGTCCGCCGTCCTTCGAGTGCGCCCAGTTCCGCATCTCGTACACCATGTCGATTGCGCTCTTCTCCTCGGCGAAGAACTCAAACGGCACGCCCCGGCGGCTCAAGGTGTTCTCCGTTCCCTTCCATGTCCTGCCTTCGACCTTGCCCGCTCCAGCACCCGAGCTCCCCGTCCTCACGCACGACCACAAGAAGGGCGTCTTCGAGTCGCTCATGCGCTCGCTCACCCTCTCGCCTCGACCAACCGAGACCGGCTACCACATCGTGTACCCTTCGCTTCCGACCTCGCACTTCTCGCCTGGCGCGCACGCATCCATTCCTGTATCACTTCGCATCGTCGATCGGCCACTCGAGCCGACCGACTTGTACATCCGCCTCGCCCTCGTTCGCAAGACCTACGTTCGCGAGTCGTCGCAAGGCTCGCTCGCCAACGCCATCGAGGACGAGTGGGGACTTGGACCTGGCGTCTCGCTCGCCGCGCTCGGATACCCCGAGGAGGTCATCGTCGACCCTTGGTGCAAGGAGGAGGAGGAGATTGTCTCCCGCTGGGGCTGGGTCCCGTACTCGTCTCGTCCTGGCGCCGACCCAACTGAGAAGGCGGAGGTCGTCATCAAGGACATCTCCCTCCCGCTCTGCGGCGCAGACGGTCGCGGCTGGACGCACGGCTACTCCACCGCCCTCGACCTCGAGCCGACTTCTCTTCCTCCGACGACGCACGGCGAGTGCAGCTGGTTCTCGCCTGCGTTCCGCACACGCCCGCCCGTCGCCAAGGAGTATGGCCGCCACGTACACGTCTCGACTCGCTTCTTCCTCTCCATCGAAGTCGGCTTTGCCTCGCCCTGCCTCCGCGAAACTTTCGCCGCCCTCCGCCAAGAGTCGCCCGACATGGAGCTTCCGCGACCCAACAGCTTCACCTCTCCCGCCTCGCCCCGCACGAGCGTCTACTCCGGCCAGTCGACGTCGAACCCTTTCTACGTCCCTTCGAACCGCTCTCCTCGCCGCATGCCAGCAGGCCAGGACTCGACTCCCGCTGGCGCCTTTCCCTTCCCCGGCAAGTTGCGCGAGCTCTTCATCCCCGTCACGATCGGCTCGGTCGCGGAACCGGGACTCGCATGCTTGAGCGGGATGACGGAGGCGGAGACGGCTTCGCGGAGGGCTGAGAGGGAGGCGAGGGAGGAGCGCGGCGAGGACACGCGTAGGGACCACGGCGAAGGGCCTGACGGCGCATGGCTCTGCGCTCCTCCGACGTACGAGGACGCCCTCAAGTCGCCTCCCTGCCTCTGAGCGGATGACACCTTTCTCACGGACACTGTTCTTTCGACTTTCGCCTCGCACATTGCATCTCTTTCATCGTTCTTTCGCGCACACTTCGCATCATGCCCTCGCAGTTGGACTCTCCTGGTTGTATCGCTCGCTCGCCTTCTTCCGCACTCTTGTATCACCTAGAAACGAAGACTTCCTCACGCATCTTCCTCTCTCCAACCGGACCGTTGGCGCAAAGCGAGAGAGAGAGAGAGAGACACTGACAACGCGATACAACCCAAATCAACCCTACATCCCTGGCCACGCTTCATTTGACACCCATCTTCTCCGCCCTGCTCTTCGCAATCAACCACATGTCGCGCAGTCCGCGCTTCAGCTCGTCCCTCCACGGCTTCGAGCCGGCAGGCGAGATGCGCAGCTGCTTGCGCACATCTGAGAGGCGCGGTTCGGCTTCGGAGGCGGTGGGAGGCGGGAGCGAGAGGGAGAGGAGGGACTGCGAGCGGAGTCTTGACGTCAGTTATGCTTCCATCTACGAGGAACAGCAGGTAGCGCATTGCGAAAGGCATGGCTAGCCAGAAGCACGAGACGGCAATTGTACTGACCTCGAGTTCGGGTACAATTTCCGCGCGGGAGCGACCGTTGACGAAGGTGATGAAGCGCAGGCCAGGGAAAGCGTCCTCGTAAAGCGAGTTGAGCACCTGTGTTAAGCAGCGCCTCAAACGCATCAGCATCCGATGGACAAGGACCGTTGGCTGAGTTGCTGATGCGATGACTGCGCTCACGCACCTGCAATCGCTTAAGCACCTGCGCCGGCGTAGCCTGCTGACCCGCCTGCGGCGCCTGCTCGCCCTCACTCGCCTTGCTCAAGTTCTTCGTCTCTCCAATCCTCGGGTGGGCAGCCAAGAACGCCGCCTGGTCCTCGACATCCCACTCGTCCACGATTTGCGCCGCGAGGGCGAGCAAATCAGAGTACGATTTGGGCTTGGAAGAGCCGGGAAGGGAGGAGATGCGTTCGTGGAGTTGCGGAGTGAGGAGGGTAGAGAGCGGAGGAGAAGGCTCGAGCAGCTGTTCGAGGACTGGACGATAGACTGAGGGAGAGGGAGAGTGGACGAGAATGTCGATGCGAGGAGGAGGGAGGCCGTTCATCGTTGTTGACAGGAGTGGAGAGAAAGAGGTCGGGGTGAGGGAGGGCTGCAGGTGCGCGAGACAAGGTCAGCGGGCGTCGGTGCTTCAATCAGGGTTATCGGCCGCACTTGGCGGGCTCTTGAGGATCCGGTAAGCTGTGAGGGAGACGGGATAGACGCGAGGAAGCGAGGTGGGGGAGATGGAGGATGTCGAGGAGTTCGGCTCAGGCGAGAGCGGTAATGGGCGGTCTTGCTGTTTTGAGGCTTGTCGAACTGGAGAAAGCACTGTACGAGCCTTCCTAGCGAGAGTGGTCTGGTCGTCGAGGAGTGGGAGAAGCCAACCCTGCTCCCGACCTCCTGCACCTCAACTCGAAGCTCGTTAGCCGCGCTCGAGCTCGCTAGATTGCTCCATAGACCGCTGCGACCCTAGACTGTGGCGCGCACACCATTCCACGCTATCCTCGCTCTTCTGCACCTCCCACTCCTCGAACCGACATCATGCCGCCTCTTCCCGCACTCATCATCGTAATGGGCGCTTCAGGCTGCGGGTGCGTCCTGCTCTGGCTTCTTCGCTTCGCCTGTAAGCTGACCGAACCGCCTTGAGCAGGAAGTCGACCGTTGGGTTGGGCGTCGCAACGGCTTCCGGTGTTCCTTTCGTCGACGGGGACGACTTGCACCCTGCGGCGAATGTAGCGAAGATGAGCGCTGGGAACCCGTTGACGGACGAGGTGCGTGAGGCCCGAACTTGAGGGATGGAGGCAACGCCTCGCTTCTTTCGAAGAAGCTAATCTTCTTTCCTTTCCTGCTTCCACCCACAGGACCGAATTCCTTGGCTGCACAAGATCCGTGAGACCGCCATCCTACTTACCTCACCCGAAGGACTCGCCGCGCTCGACCGCCCCGACGCCCCTCCATCTCCCTCGGAAGTCGACTCCGCCGCGCTCTCTCACGAGCTACACGCGGCCATCTCTCGCATCCAAGCACCATCGCTCAACGCTCGGCTGGAGATGCGGCAACGAGGGGAGAAGAGGGAGAGGGAGGCGGTTGTGGTCGCTTGTTCGGCGTTGACGGTGCAGTATCGTAATTTGCTGAGGGGCGAGGAGGCGAGGTTTGTGCTGCCGAACGAGAAGGAGGTCACTGCGGACAAGCACCTGGATCCGCACATCGAGACGTTCTTCATCTACCGTGCGTCGAGATTGTCCTACCGCTTCAGCGTTTTTCCCTCGTACCTTCTGGCTAACCCTCCCGCCTCTCTCGCAGTCCAAGGCACCCGCCCTCTCCTTCTCAACCGTATGGAACACCGTGCCGGCCACTTCATGAAGGCGTCGATGCTCGACTCGCAGTTGGCGACGCTGCAAGAACCGCACGAGACGGACGAGGTCAACGTCGCGGTTGTCAAGCTGGGCCAGGGCGAGGGCGAGGCGGAAGAGAGGGGCAAGGAGGCGGTCATTGCGGATGCGGTGGCGCGGGCGAGGAGGTTCGTCGGTTGAGGCGACGAGGCAAGCGACGAGGTGAGGAGGAAAAAGAGGACGTCGACTCGGGTCTTCCCGGGTCTCTTCTCGCGTTCAGTATAGGGTTAGCATTGGGCATAGACTGCACTGCATTGCGCCTTATCGAGTCCTTGTGATTTTCCCTCTCGCTCGCGAAGTCGCAATGCGTTGAGGCGCGAGTCGCGTTCGTTCACTCTCGCCAAACTCGCACGGATACGAGATGGACGGCGAGCCAGTGACCAAGCGACGACGCACGACGCCGCCCGTCTCGCAGGGCGAACCCGCGACCGTCGCAGGCGAGCCCACCGCCGACGCCAACCTCGCGACCCAGCAGGACATCCCCGACGAGGACCATGCAGCGCCACCGTCGAGTGCAGCAGGCGCTCACGCAAAGCCACTGTCCGCACTCTTCCAGGCCAAGACACCCAGCCCGAAGAAGAAGAAGCGCACCGTCGACCTCCGTCAGGCGGGGAGGATTGGCGAGGACGACAAGGAGAACTTCACGGCGCTCCTCGCCAGGCTGAACAAGGAGAGTAAGTCGCTCTGTTTCATGCAGTGCACGCGGGCTCATCCGAACGAGGCCGCGGATTGCGGGGGATGTCCCTCTCCCTTCGTCGAGGAAGAGCCGAACGTCGCTCTCCTCGCTCTTTCGTTCGATGCGCTGACAAAATGCCTCACACAGCGCCACAGGAAGAGGCAGAAAAGTGGGGCAGGCCAGATGCGCCAAAGCTGAACCCGCAGCGCGACGGTCTCGGTGCGTCCTTCCTTCTCCTCGTCGCTTGAAGGCGGTCTGACCGCTCCTTTCTTCCCCTTCGCAGTTTTCCAGCAAATCGACATCGAGGAGTTCTCGGCGGGAGGCGGCGCTCCTACGATCAGGGCGTTTGGCGTGACCAAGGTGAGGCGGTCGTTCCTCACCTTGCCTTTGACGCATCTTCGCGTTGCTGACGGGCTTCGGTGCCGCGATTCCGTCGCGCAGAATGGCAACTCGGTTCTGCTACACGTCAAGGGTTTCCTCCCCTACTTCTGGGTCTCGGCGCCGCGCGGCTTCACCAACAGCGACTGCCTCCCCTTCATGGAGCACCTCAATGTGCGTCGGCGCAGCTTCCGCTTCGGTCTGAGCTCGACTTAGAACTCTGCTGACGCTGTCGGTCGCCCGAACTTCCACAGGCCGCCCACTTCAACGGCATCCGCCCTGTCAAGGCCGTCTCGCTCGCCAACAAGCGTTCGCTCTGGGGCTACAAGGGCGACGCCGTCTCTCCCTTCATCAAGATCACCGTCATGGATACGAAGCAGTACCCCAAGGTCCGCAACGCTTTCGAAAGGGGCGAAGTCCAGTACAAGGATTTCTTCGACGGGACGGCGTTGATGACCTACGAGAGCAACATCGCCTACACCCTTCGCTTCATGATCGATCACCACGTGCGTACTTCTCAACGAGCTCGCTGCTAGCAATGCTTATGTCATTGCTCGAGCAGATCGTCGGCATGAACTGGCTGGAGTTGAAGCCGGGAACGTACGAGCGCGCCAAGAACCCCGTCTCGAACTGCCAGTACGAGATCGAGTGCCAGTGCGTTCCTTCCGCCCCATACCTCCCGAGTCCCGCTAACCCGCCGCGGCAGACACGACCAGCTCATCTCGCATCCGGCCGAAGGCGAATGGTCCGGCATCGCTCCTCTCCGCATCCTCTCGTTCGATATCGAGTGCGCCGGTCGGAAGGGTATCTTCCCCGAGCCCGAGATCGACCCGGTCATCCAGATCGCCAACATGGTGACGCGACAAGGTGAGTGCGCTCGTTGATGGGCCGTTGCGAAGGTTGCGCTCGTTTGAGCATCTCTCGCTAATCGTCGGTCTGAATCTCCGCAGGCGAATCGAAGCCCTTCATCCGCAACGTCTTCACACTCAACACCTGCTCGCACATCGTCGGCTCGGACGTCCTCGAATTCAAGAAGGAAGCAGACCTCCTCTCAAAATGGCGCAAGTTCGTTGAGGAGGTCGACCCGGACTTGATCATCGGCTACAACACCAGCCAGTTCGATTTCCCGTACCTCATGGACCGCGCGAAGGCGCTCAAGGTGTCGGACTTCCCGTACTTCAGTCGGCTCAAGGGTGAGTCGTCGGTGCGAGGAGCACTTCAGCCTTCTACGGTTTCGACGCGTGTGCTGACAAAGTCCATCTCTCGACGATAGGCGTGAAGACCGAAGTCAAGGACACGCATTTCTCGTCAAAGGCCTACGGCACCCGCGATTCGAAGGAGACGAGCATGGACGGCCGCCTCCAGCTCGATATCCTCCAGGTCATGCAGCGCGACTACAAGCTGCGCTCGTACACGCTCAACTCGGTTTGCGCGCATTTCCTTGGTGAGTCGGGACGAACAGCAGTCTCAGCTTCGTCGCTCGTTCAGCGACTTGAGCTGATCGATACAAATTCCCGTACAACAGGCGAACAGAAGGAAGACGTGCACCACTCGGTCATCACGGACCTGCAGAACGGTACCGCCGAGTCTCGTCGCCGTCTCGCCGTCTACTGCTTGAAGGTGCGCGACTCGCTGCGAGCGTAGCCGTTGCCAAACTGACAATCCATCCTCTTGCAGGACGCCTACCTCCCGCAACGATTGATGGACAAGCTCATGTGCTTCATCAACTACACCGAGATGGCGCGTGTCACCGGCATCCCCTTCAACTACCTCCTCTCGCGCGGCCAGCAGATCAAGGTCATCTCGCAGCTGTACCGCCAAGCGCTCAAGACGGGCTACGTGATCCCCGCGCTCAAGCAGGAAGGGTCCGACGAGCAGTACGAGGGAGCGACCGTCCTCGAACCGGAGCAAGGCTACTACGACGTTCCCATTGCGACGCTCGATTTCGCCTCGCTTTACCCCTCCATCATGCAGGCGCACAATCTCTGCTACACGACACTCCTCGACGTCAAGATCGCTCAGGCGCTCAACCTCAAGGAGGGCGAGGACTTTGTCCGCACGCCTAACGGAGGTAGGTTGCTTTTCGTACCGCTTCGTCCGCTGTTGCTGACGTGCCCGTTCCGCGCAGACCTGTTCGTCAAGGCGCACAGGCGGAAAGGACTCCTGCCGACGATTCTCGAGGACCTCCTCGCCGCCCGTAAGCGTGCTCGTGCAGAGCTCAAGCAGGAAAAGGACCCGTTCAAGCGTGCCGTCTTGGACGGTCGTCAGCTCGCTTTGAAGGTTTGTCGGTTTCTGACTCCTCGGCTTGTTCTCTTGACTGTGAAGTAGCCCTCGCTGATTGTGCGTTGACTTGACGAACAGGTGTCCGCCAACTCCGTTTACGGATTCACCGGTGCGACGATCGGCAAGCTCCCTTGCCTGCCCATCTCGATGTCGGTCACGGCGTACGGTCGCGAGATGATCGACCAGACGAAGGAGGTACGGACGCGAGCGAACCTTTTGAACTGACTGAGCACGCTTGCTGACGATGTCTCGCACGATGCCTGCAGGTCGTGCAATCGACATACAACACGGCGAACGGTTACGACTACGACGCCAAGGTCATCTACGGCGACACCGATTCCGTCATGGTCCGCTTCGGCTGCCCCGACCTCGAGACGGCGATGAAGCTGGGTGCGTCGCCTTCTTTCTAGGCTCCTCGCTCCCACAGCTGATGCTGTCTCGCTCGCAGGTGCCGAAGCAGCGGACTTCGTCACCTCCAAGTTCATCAAGCCCATCAAGCTTGAGTTCGAGAAGGTCTACTACCCGTATCTACTCATCAGCAAGAAGCGCTACGCTGGGCTGTACTGGACGAAGCCGGAGAAGTACGACAAGATGGACACGAAGGGTATCGAGGTGAGCGCAGAACCTCCCCTCGCCTTCGTCGCCGAGTTAACGGGCTTGGTGAATGGCGTTCGCTCGTAACTTGCGTTTCACAGACCGTCCGCCGCGACAACTGCCGCCTCGTCGTCACCGTTATCGATACCTGCCTGCGCAAGATGCTCATCGAGCGAGACGTGCGGGGAGCCGAAGACTACGCCAAGCAGGTCATCTCGGATCTCTTGCAGAACAAGGTCGACCTGTCGCAGCTCGTCATCACGAAGGCTCTCGCCAAAGCTGGTGCGTCTTGATAGTCCGACCGGCAGGATGCGTGCTGAATGCTTCCCGCCCGCAGACTACGCCGCGAAGCAAGCGCACGTCGAGCTCGCTGAGCGGATGAAGAAGCGCGATGCTGGTTCTGCACCGGCAATGGGTGACCGTGTGGCCTGTGCGTTCGGATCTTTAACGTCTTACCAGCAGCCGCTCACCTCCTTCCGCTTCCCAGACGTGATCATCAAGGGCACGAAGGACGCGCGCGCCTACGAGAAGTCCGAAGACCCGCTATACGTGCTCGAGAACAACATCCCGATCGACACGAAGTACTATCTCGACAACCAGCTCTCGAAGCCGCTTATGCGTATCTTCGAGCCGATCTTGGGCGAGAAGGCGAGCTCGCTGCGTGAGTCGCCTCCTCGCATCGCTTCATACTCAGCGTGACTGATTTCACGATTTGCGACAGTCGCCGGCGACCACACCCGCACTGTCTCGATCGTCGCACCGACTGTCGGCGGCCTCATGAAGTTCGCCGTCAAGACCGTCACCTGCCTCGGCTGCCGCACGCCTCTCAAGCCGAACTCGCTCAGTCAGTCGCTCACCTCCTTCGCCACCCGCCCCCTCGCTGACCCAGTCAGCACGCGCAGACCAAGCCGTCTGCAACAACTGCCGCCCTCGAACGGCCGAGTTGCACGCCAAGCAAGTCTCCATTGCCGCACAAGCAGAAACGGCCTACGCTCGTCTGTGGACGCAGTGCCAACGCTGCCAGGGCTCGCTGCATCAGGTGCGTTGGCGACGACGCTTTTGGCGAAAGAGCAAGGCTGACGAACGCTCTCGGTCGCTTCGCAGGACGTCTTGTGCACGTCGAAAGACTGCCCGATCTTCTACATGCGCAAGAAGGCACAGAAAGAGGCTGTCGACGCCGTCGGAACGCTCAAGCGTTGTGCGTACTGCTGCAAACTTCGTCTCGAGCGCAAAAGCTGACGAATGTCTCCTCGCGCAGTCGACGGAGAGTGGTGAGGCGGCGCTTCGGCTTCGGCATTGTACTCGTCTTCTCGCTTGTCTGTCTTGTCACGATTACGTCCGTCTCGCTCGCTTGCATTGCCGCACTTTCACCTCACTTCGCTCCTCTCGAGAGATTCGCTTCAGTCTGACGTCAAAGTCGTGTATGGATCAGTAAGATGCACTGCACGCAGACGATGCGAGAAAAGGCGTGTGCAAGAAAACGAGTGCAAGGGGATGCAGCGCGCGGGGTGAGGCAAACAGATCTCCTCAACGATGCGAAGGGCACAACTAGGCGACTAAGCGGTGGCAGCGACCGATCCGCTGGCAGGAGCAGTCGACGCCGCGTCGACCTCCATCGTCTCAGCCGCTTTGTCGCCCGCCTTCTCCCTCTCGACCGCTGCCTGCGCCTGAGCCTGAGCCGGCTCCTCCGTTCCCTCACGCTTGACCTGCTCCGCCTGCTGCTGCTGCGGCTGACCTTGCTCGGCAGGTCGACGGAGAGGAAGTTTGATAGCCGCCTGGACGGGCAAGCCGCGCATACGAGCCTCAAAGTCGTCTTCCTCCGTCGCGACCGGCGCGGGCTTGGGTGCAGGTGCTTGAGCGGGTGTAGGTGTGGGTGCAGTCGCCGCGTTCCTCAAGAACCGGTCGAGCGAGTCAACCATCCCCTCTCCACGCCTGACGAACCCATCCAACCTCGCAATCTGTTCCCTCGCAAGATCCAGTTCCTCCCTGAGCGACGCCCTCAGATTTGCGAGGTCCTTGACGCTGAGGGACGAGAGAGGCGCGTCTGCTGGTAGAGCGGGGAGGACGAACGATGCGGCGGTCGGAGGCGGAGGGGGGAGGAGGACAGAGGGAGTCGTGTAGTGCCTGTGGGGAGGATGGGCGTGGTGTGCGTGCGGAGTGTGCGTGGTGTGCTGGTGAGGGACCGCGTGGTGGTGGTGATGGTGGTGCGAGTGAGCGGCGGCGGGAGTCGCGACCGGTGCAGGGGCGGCGGGAGCAGCGGCGCGCGCGTGCGGCTTGGACGCCGCGTTCGCCGCGTTCGCAGTATGCGCCGCGATGGCCGCCAGCTCCGAGAGCGTGTTCCTCGGCGACCCCTGCTGAGGCGCGCTCGTCGACGCCGCCGCAGCAGCAGCGGCCGCCGCCTCCCTTTCCCTCTCCGCCAACACAGCAGGCGACGAAGTCGCAGCCGCCACCGCCGCAGCCTTCTTAGTCGTCGTCTTGCGACGCTTGGCGGGCGGCGCAGGCGTCGACGAGTCTCCAACGGATTGCTCGGCGTCTGAGCCGCCTGAGGGGGGAGGGGAGCCGTCTGCTTGGCCTGTCGCGCGCGCGTGGGCTTCCATCATCGCCGCGCGGTTCTGTGCGAGTAACTGATCAGCCCTTTGTAGCTGATGGTGAGATGGAAGCAAGGCAGGACGCACTTGAGCAGCAGGAGCGGCGGGTACGCGCTTGCGACGCTTGATCGTCGGCTTCTTGAGGTTGACAGGACGGTGTTGGCCGCCGTGCAGCTTGTAGTAGAGGCCTGGTAGCATAGACGAGGTGCCGCAGAGGCGTTGGAAGGCCGTCGATCGGGGAGGGAACGACGAGGACAAGGCGGGGCGATGAAGGGGTTGCGAGAGTCAGCGCGCGGCCCCGGCTTCAGATCAAGCGTATTCAGACCTCTGCAACAGCGCGCGAGAGGCGTACGGGGCGAAGAGAGCGAGAGACGACTCCATCAGATACCTCGCCGAGCGGGCCCGCCTGAGACATTCCCTCGCAGGGTTCGTTCTCCTCCCTCCCTCTTTCTCCTCCTTCTGCTCCTGCGCCGTTGTTCGATGCTCACGAGTCCTTCAGACTCGTATCAAACGCCCTTAACCGAGAACTGAGACCGAAGACCGCGCGAAAGATGCCGCCGAAAGTCGCACGAGATGGAACGAGCGTCGAGCAGGACTCACCGCAAGCGTTGCACGTCACGCGTCCCTCGCCGTCTCGCCTCCAAAGCGGTGTAGTCCCTGCGAGAGCGCGCGAGCGAGGAGAGGTCAGCGCACGCCCGTTTGCTCGCAGATCGAGTCTCGAAGCGACGGCTCGCACCGCTGGGCGCAAGTTCAAACCAAAAGCGAAAGGCGCGACTCACTCGTCCCACAGTTGTGGCACTCCATCACCCCGACTCCCTCCTCCTCGCCTCCTCCTCCTCCCTGCGCTCCCTGCCCTCCACCCGCCGCCTCAACACCCTTCTTCCTCCTCTTCCCCGCGCCCGCTCCCTGTCCACCCCCATACATGATCCGATTATTATAAGCCGGACATCCCTCGCAGCAGGTTTGGCCGCCTGAGCCGTTGCAGATCCCGCCGCCGGGGCAGGAGCCGGGCGCTGGGTCGTCTGCCCGAGAGGCAGAGGGGGTGGGGGCGGTGAGGATTGGTGGAGCGGGTTGGGGAGGGGAGAGGGTGTGCAGTGTTGGAGGGGGAGGGGCGGGAGAAGCGGAGGGAGCTGGGTAGGCGGCGTGAGGAGGAGGAGGAGGGTACGAGTGCGCGAGTGAGGCAGACGCTGCGGCGGCGTGTTGCGTCCAGTGAGTGGGCGCATGAGGCTGCGGAGGTTGCTGAACGGAAGCGGGGTAGGGAGCGGAAGAAGGGCCGGGAGAAGCGGTTGCGGTTGCGGTCGAGCTTGAGGGAACGGCAGACGGGGCGGGACTGCCTGTCCCGCTCGACGGGCGAGCCTGGCGTCGGCTCTTCAAGTACAGACCTGTGCGATGGAAACGCTCAAGTCAGCAACTGACGGTCGGAAAGAGAAAAGGGGTGATTTCGCGGCTGAAACGCACCGCAGGCATTGCAGATCGTCTTTCCCTGCGGGTCGCGCCTCCAAAGCGGCGTCTGCGTCGTCCCACACGACGTGCACACGTTGGGCGGCTTGTCCCTCCTGCTCGACGGGGCGGGGGCCGAGTTCGCCGCCGCCGCCGACGAAGGGGCGTTCGCCTCAGCGGGGCCCTTGAGCTTCGGGAGCTTGCCGTTGTAGTACGGGATCGGGTTGAGCGCCGTGGGAGGCTGGGGAGTCGGGGCGGCAGGGGCGGCTTCGTGCGAGGTGGGCGACGGGGCGGGCGGCGAATGGCTCGCTGCGCGCGGGAGGTTGGTCAAGATGGCTGCGACGGCTGCGTCGGCCGACTGCTGAGACTGAGACGCAGGCGAGGCGCTTCGGCCCGTCGGGTCGGGAGTCGCGCTGGTCCATCCTGCGAGGGAGGCGAGTCTGTGCGGCGACGCTGCTGCTGCTGCTGCGGGAGTGTGGGAAGTGAATGACGAGATGGGCGGGAGGGAGATGTGCTCTGGCTGTGCGGCATTCGCTGCGAGAGGGATGGATCGGGGAGCAGCGGCAGGCGGGTCAGACTGAGGAGCGGGTGGAGCGGGTGGCGCAGGCTGGGGTGGGAGGTGTTGTCCTGCGGGCGAGTGCGGCGACAGGATGGACTGGATGCGCATCATGGCGCGCTCGCCTGTGCGGTGTGCGGTGTGCGATGCGAGGGCGAGTGCGATCGCAAATCAGCTGAGCGAGGCCGGTCGACTCGGGTCGCGCGGGAGGGTGGGTGCTGTCTGTGGCTTGTCGAGCGAGTGCGATCCAGCCGACGAGCACGTGCACCGACTCTCAGCGAGCGCAAGCGGTGCGCGGAAGGAGGGGCGAGTGCGAGCGAGTTGAAATCGGAGCCCTCAGCCAATCACACGGCCGCCGATTCCTCGAGAGTGTGCTGAGTGAGTGTGTGGTGGTGTCGGTGTGGATCACTGGCGATGGAGCTGTCGTCGTTGCTGTTCTCGCTCTCCTCGTCGTCCTCCTCGCCGTGCTGCAATCGCACTCACTCTCGCTCGACTCGCCCAGCCTGAGACACTGATCAAGATCCATCTACTCTCTTATCCTCTTTCTCACTCGACACCGAGATGCGGCTCAACGAGTCAACAGCCCTCGTCAACGACCGCATCGTCCTCCGCCCTTACCGACGATGGCACGTCCCGCGCTACCACGAGTGGATGAGCAGCGACGAGATGAGGGACGCAACCGCGAGTGAGCGACTGACACTGGAGCAGGAGGAGGACATGCAGAGTGCCTTCGGTTCGAGCTCTTTGATCGACTGAAGCTGACGATGGTCGAGGCAAACAGGATCATGGCGACTCGACGAAGACAGTCCGCCCCTCCTCCTCCTCCTCTCGCTTCTCCCGCTCACTTTCACGGTCCCACAGAATTGACATTCATCATCCACCTGCGCCAACCCTCCGCTTCCTCTCCCATACTCGACCCAGCAGGCTTCCTCGCCGCCCACTCCGACCCCTCAACAATGCTAGGCGACGTGAACCTCTTCCTCCACGCGCCCTCGTCTCCTCCTCCATCTTCCTCACCTCCTTCGCAGAGGGCAGAGATGGAAATCATGTTGCCCCCCTCGGATCTCTTCAAACCGCGCACCGGCCTCGCCTCGCTCTCACTCCGGACTTTCCTCTCCTACTCCTCCCGCGCCCTCCACCTCCCTCCCAGCGCGTTCTTTGCCCGGATAGGATTCGACAACGAGGCTAGTTTGGGATTGTTCAAGAGTTTGGGGTTTAGGGAGGGCAAGAGGGTGGAGGTGTTTCGCGAGGTGGAGGTGGTTTGGCCGACGAGTGAGGAGGGGGAGAGGTGGCCGTGGGAAGGGAAGGAGGGGTGGGAGGTGATAGAGTTGGAGGACCCGAGGGATGAGGAGCGGGATTGAGATGTATCGGCCGCAAAGAAGGAATGGAACGCATCTCGCTCGACGTCGATACAGTCCCAAGGGAAGCCCACAGGCAGCGGTAAGACCAGTCTCGATGCTGCTGCAGGGATGAGCCAGAGCGGATCTCTCGAGTCTATCTTGGCCAGTCGAGCCAGGTCAACTCGAATTGAAAGGTCCCTTTTGTTTTGCAACAAGAAATCCAGAACGACTAAGACGAGGTGGAGCCGGGAAGGAACGCGAGAAAGGGGATCCGATAACGGAATGTGAGAGGAGAACCGAGAAGGAGAGCGGACGGGAGAGGGGGTTGGAAAGTCGAACGAAGAGGGGTGGGGGTATCGCGAGCTGAGGGGTGCGTGTTGGGTGTCCAGTATGACAATCTGAGAGGTCGAAGAGTCGAGTAGGCGAGTAGGCGAAAGTTGAAGGATGCGAGTTGAGGCATGCGAGAAGGCGAGTCGGAAAAAGGAGGAGTCGGGGTGCCCAAGGGTAGAGTCGAGTCCGTGACGAAAACCGGGTCGAGAGGGGAAGTCTATGTGTCGAGGGGGAAGGATGAAGGCCGGTTTAGTTGGTCTTCTTGGCGACGGTCGCGGCGGCGCCCTTTGCGGCATCGACCTTGTTCTGGCCGGCCTTCTTGTACGTGCGGTTATAGAACGCCACAAACAAGAAGAGATAACTGGCTGTTTTACGCGGCCCATGGGGCGTCAGCTGCCGCGCTCGCAGAAGCCAACGAAGAGAGGAAGGAGGACGAGGAGAGGAAGGAAACTCACTGAGAAGGGCGCAGCCGAAGATTGCAGCTCCCTCCGTCCCAGCGCACGACCCGAGGGTCGGGAGCGACCCACGGGCGTACGTCCAGGCGAAGTAGCTGTAGCTGGCGAAATAGACCGTGAAGAGGTCGATCACGAACTGGGTGATCTGCAGCGTCGTGAGGTACCTATCCCACGCGGTCTAGTCAGATCTAGCACAAGGGGAGTGAAAGAGCGTGGAACAAACTTCTTCCACCAGATCTTGTAGCCGGCGGCCGTCATGAAGTAGTAATAGTACTTCACGACGGCCCTCGAGCGGAGTCAGCTTTTCCCCTCAACCACATACTCAATGAACGGCCCGCAACGCACCATGAGGACATGCACAAAGAGGTTGAGGGTGATGACGACCCACGAAACCGAGGTGCGTCCGTTGAGCTGCGTGTAGCACAGGACGGCGGTCGCGGTGTGGTGGAAGACGTGGAGGAACTGGAGGGGCTTCTTCTTGACGACGAGGAAGACCGTGTCGAACAACTCCCAGTCTGCGCGCGACGTAGCGTCAGTTTGCGAGAATGGGGCGGCGCGAGAAGGTCGGAGGGGGCGCACACTTGAACTGCGCGGCATCACAACGTCAGCTTCCGCTTCTTCGCGGGACAGGAGGACCACGCACGTAGTAGTTGAAGATGTAGTAGGTCTCGAGGCGGGGCGTCCAGGCCTCGTCGGCGCAGATGGCGTGGAAGAGGCCGTGCTTCCAGATGATGGGGACGATCTGGGCGCGGTAGAGCGTGAGCGAAATCCTCCCAGGCATCACTTCGTCCAGTACGCACCTCCTCGAGCATCAGGGCGAGAAGGAGGCCGGAGCCGGTCGAGAGGAGGAAGTTGTGCAGCATGAAAAGAGGCTTGAAGCCTGTGCATCGGCGGAAAAGGATCGAGTCAGTTTCTGTGAGCTCTGCAAGTTCGAGTCCTTGTTGGTGAAGCTCCTCCGGGACAGGCGAGCTCATCCGCTCGACGGTGTCGTGACCTCGAGCGGTTGAAGCGTGATCGGAACGCGTTCTCGTCGTCTAGCAGGCCTTTCGCTGCCCGTCCAAGGCTCTCCATCCCCCAAGCGTCCCATTGACGCGTCTGCATCTCTAATCCGACGCCGCCGACGCGTTGTTCCTGCACGAGCCCCAACTTCTTGGTCGAAGAAACCCCAAACTCACGGTACGGCTTTGATCCGCGCATGAGCGCCTGTCCTCCAAAGATGACTGCGAGGTAGACTGCGACGGCGACGACGACCTCGGGCGTGGTCGAGAGGGGTGTTTGGCCCGGAATCCAGTGCTCGATGGTGCGCGGGAGCGAAGGGATGGGGAGCGCGTGCAGGAGCGAGTAGACGGGGCCGGGGGACGGTGCGACCATGGTGGATGGACCTGAGCGGGTCGGAAGCGTAGCCTGGGTGCAAGGAGACGGAGGAAGAGAAACGGCGAGAGAGGAACGAGCGTCGGGCGCAGCCAAAGCCGAGGTGGCCAAACACGTCCCTCGCGCGCTCGCACGCTCTCGCCGGGCCTCACTTGGGTCGGCGTTGCGTTCACAGCGACAGATGCTACCAGCCAGATCCAGCAGAGCCCGGCTTGCGAGCCAAGCGAGGCGACAGGGCGTCAGGAAGGTCACCCGCCGGACACCTCTCGCTCGCAACAAAGGACGGCTCGGATGATGGAAAAAGGTGATTGCACGGTAGCTAGACCTCGGAACAACCTGCTGAGTGGTCGAGCGAGGCGAAAGAAGCCGTCGTCGACTCGCCCTCGAGCTCCGAAGTCGATCCTGCGGCGATGCGTCGAGTCAAGGGGACGGGGGAGAATGTAGGCCCTCCGAGCAACGCCCCGCACTGCCACCCTCGAGACCCAGCGCCCTCATATCAGCCAGCGCATCCCGTGCGAGGAAGCGCGGCATCGGGTCCGGCGCCAACGGAAGTCTCGAGAGCAGCCCCCGAAGGGAGGCGAGGCGCCGCCTGCGGTGTCTGTGTGGTCGACAGAAGGGTCCTGGGTGTTCGGTCTGAGCAGCTGGAACGGCAACCGAAGCACGTTCGCTGGACCCTCCTTGAGAGGGAGGGCAGGAAAAGCTACGGCTGCAACCTGCGCGGGCGGGACGAGCGAGTGGTCAGTCGCTGTGAGTGTGCGAGTGCCGTGCGAGCGAGGAGGGTGCTGCTCACTTTGTGCGGCTCTTTTTCATTGTTCGTGGGAGAACGAGCGAAGGGACGGCGCGAGCGCAGGCAGGTGGTCCGCCGGAACTCGAGGGGAGGCTTCCCAGTGACGGTTGTAATCGAGTGGTAATGCTGAATACAACTGATTACACTTGCCGACACTCGCACGCGACCTTCGCGTCGCGGCGTTCTCGACTTGTTGACAAGTGCTCTCTCTTGCTCGTCACACCCGCTGCTGGTTGGGAAACAGCTCAGACAGCACACTCGACCACTCAACTCGACCCTCGCGGCATTGCCAGGCGCACCGCGGACCGACGACGCCAGCTCCCAACCCTCGACCTCGCCCATCTCGGCACCCACACTCGCTCCGTAGCACACGCCCTGCAGGCCAGCCAGCCAGTCCAGCAGATCCTCCCTTGACTCGACTACATCGTACACAGCCGCGCGACCCCAAAGAACGAGCGTCTCTCTCGCGTCATCGGCATTGACCTCGCGTCCTGGTCACCTCGCCAAACACCCGCTTCCCCTCCCTCAGCCCTCGCTCTTCCTAGCTCTCTCCGCGCGGACAGGACCAGAGGAGGGAGATGTCGCTCGTGCTGCCCAAGCCGGCGCGACAGAGCTCAAGTGACCAGCACGCGCGACGCGAGACGCAGGCGCAGGCTGGAGGTTCGATGGGTCAGGGACCTGCGGGCGCGGCTGAGTCGCGTAGGGCGAACGGGAAGAGCGTTGAGAGGCGGAAGGGGAAGGGCAAGGGGCGGATGATGATGAGTGCGTCGAGTTGTTCCTCCGACTCTGCTTCACGCGACTTGCCGAGGGGGACTTGTTCGCTGACCGGGAGTCGATCATTCGGTTAAACTGCGCGCAGTCAAGATCTTCTACTCCCTCACTTCGCCGCGCTTCCCCTCCTCGTCCGCACCAACACCCAGCACCTCCTCGCACCTCCTCCCCGCCTCCACTCCCTCATCCGACTTCCTCGCCGTCCTCGACCCCTCTCTCGCCCCGTCCCCATCCTCGCACTCCCCTGCTCCTCCCATACCCGCCGCGCCAAGCTCGAGCGAAACAAATTACTCGTGCATGGCGAGGTTGTCGGCGCCTGTTTGGGTGCAGGTTATCGGCAGCTCGTCAAGCGGGCGAAGAGCGGATGGTACCGAGGTTCAGCAGCAGCAGTTTGGGCGCGTGACGCTCAAGACGTGCCTCAGTGCCATCTGCATCTCTCGGTGCGCCGCTTTTCGTTCCCTTCATCTCGCTTTGACGTCGCTGACGCTGGTGCGCCCGAACAGACCTGAGCTCGTCATCGACTCGACCAAGGACTTCTCTGTCTCCGCCGTCGATCCCTACGAGTCCTCGCATCGCCGCCAGCCTCCCAGCGGTCCTAGCACGTCCTCCACGGCCTTCGACACGACCAACGCTTCTTCCGACGCCCGGCCGGGCGAAGGACTCGTCGAGGGAAAGGGAATGTTGTCCTGGACCCTCGCGGAGAAGAAAGAAGGCACGACCATGGTGGTCGGGCGGATTGTTGGAAGTGCGGGGGGAGATAGGCGGAGCAAGCGGCGGAGTGGCGACGATGGGGGCTTTGCGATGGAGATGAGCGAGGGAGAGAGCGATGCGGATGAACCGGAGGAGACGCTCGAAGTTTGGTTGCAGTTGACCGAGGTGCGTACCGTCGCTTCCATCGTTGCTTCACGCTTGCTCACGTGGTCTCGTCTCGCAGCGCGACGCATTCACGCAAGGCCAGTTCCTCGACTGCCTCCGCTCATACCACAACCCAGTCCAGCACCTCCAGAGTGAGATGTCCGACTTTGCCTCCTCCCCTCCCAAGCGTCGCGAATCCGCTCTCTTCACTTCCACATCCTCAGCACTCCCTCTCGCTCGCCCCGCTTCCACCGCGCCTGTACCCTCAGGCGACCCCGTCAAGCGCAAAAGGCCGCGCGAGACGCCTTCACTGCCAATTCCGCCTGTCGCCGCGTCAGTCCCGCCTGCGCCCTTCGCTACCGGCGCCTCATCGCCGGCGTCCTTCCTCCCACCTCCTCCTGCCGCCTCCACCACGAACGAAGCCGGCCTCGCGGGCCTGCAAGACCCTCGCACCCTCGCCCTCCTCGGTCAGATCCTCCCTTCACTCACCGCAGCCGGCGCCGACGCGAGCGGTCTCCTCGCTGCTCTCACGCAGCAGCACCAGCAGAGTCAGCAGGAGGCGCTCTTGCCCGCCATCCAGACGCTCGCCAAGTTCTGCGGGATCAACTTGCCTGCTCAGCAGCCGCAGCCCGTGCCGACGGAGCCGCTGCTCACGTCAACTGCGGCGGACCCGTCTTCGCAGCACTGGCAGTCGGACCTGCCACGCCCTCCGACCGGCGCGCCTTCGACCTCGACCTCGACCTCGACCACGACAGCCACCGCTTCCCGCAAGCCCAAATCCGGCTCGACCTCGTCCACCTCACACCGCGAACACTTTGCCGCAATCGACCTCACTTCGCTCTCAGCCTCGCATGCCCAGGCAGTCGGCAAGCAGAATCCGCGAGACCCGCAGAGCGGGTGTGCAAACTGCAAGAGACGGAAGAGTACGACTTGGAGGGAGGGAAAAGGGCCGGATGGGAAGCTCATGAGCGTTTGTAACGGTTCGTCACGCGCCCTCGTTCGCGTCCCTCAGAATGTGACTGACAAATCCGACGGTTGCGCAGCTTGCGGGACGTTCTACAACAAGAACGGGTACCACCGCACAAAGCAGCCTGCCGGTTCGACCGCATTCGCTACCTCGCCGCCCCTTTCGACCTCCGCCCTTCCCTCTACCTCGGCCAAGCCCGCCGGTCGACCGCTGCAGGGACGCCTGACCGCAACCTGCGAGGCCGACCTCGTCAAGCGCAAGTCGAAGAAGCAGAAGACCGGCTCTTCCACAACCCACCACGCCGGCTTGATCCCGCCCTTGTCGCCGTCGAAGCAGATCGGCCCTCGCTCGCCCGCGCTCAACTTCTCCTTCTCGCCTTCACGCGCGGGCGGCAGGTCTGCCGGCGCAGCTTTTGCCGGGATCATGAGCTCGCCGGGCAAGTCGCCTCGCATGCGCTGCAGGCAGGCCAACGGGACTGCCGCAACGTCGCCTGTTCGTGGACCGTCGAGGCCGTCGAAGGGAGACGGCACAATGTACAACTCGGACGTTGAGGACAACGCATTGAACCCGTTCGCGTTCGGCGGCATCTTCGGCCTCACGAACCGCAGCCCGAGCCGGACTCGCGCGGAATTGCCACGTCCGGCTCGCAACAGCGGCGGAAAAGGTCAGGCGGGCATGCCCAGCTACCTCCTCACCGCCAGCCCCGGTACCGCCCTCGACCGCATCCTCAGCGAAACCAACATCGGATCGATCGGCGGCATTGTCAGCGAGCAGGCCGGCCAGGGCGAGTCAATGCAGTTGGACCAGGCCAGCACCGTCCCGGACGAGTTCAACTTCTTCCTCCAGCCAGGTAGCCCTACGCTCGGCAAGGAGAACGCCCGTCCGAACGCGGCAGGAAAGATCAAGACCGCGACGACCTCGACCGATGCGCCGACTACCGATGCCGACTCGTTCGAATCGGTCCTCTCGTCTCTGCGCCGCAACTTTGATGCCCGCCTGTCGTCGAACGCCTTGACGGCTCCGTCTTCGCCTGCACCCTCGTCGCCATGCGTCTTGCCCAGAACGAGCACTGCCACGCCTGGCTCCAAGGGCAAGGCCCCTCAGTCCTGCGGCCGCCCGCCTCCTTCCATCCTCGACTCTTTCATCGATGGTCTCGTTCCCGCTTTCGCGCTCGACTCGAACGCCGGTGGAGGCGCCGTCATGAGTACCGGCAGGACGCCCGCGAGCGACTCGGACGCTTGGTCGCCGGACAACGCCGCTCAGCGCGATGAAGACCAGACGGTCACGCTCGACTCGTTTGTGGCGTCCAAGTCGCTCGGCCAGCACGACCTGACGCAGGACCAGGCTTCACGCATCACCCGTCCCTCGCACGCCTCAACGAGCAGCTTCGATTTCTCGAACGGCGGTCCGAGCAAGGCCGCCAACCGACGAGCGGCCTTCATCCCCGCTCACCTCCTTGCGCCCTCCGACGCCACCGAGTTCGACTTCGGCTCGCTCCCGCCGTCGAGTCCTCCCCTCCTTCCTAGCGAAGCGTTCCCGACGCCGTCCGACTTTGACGGGATCACTCCCTCTGCCGACGGAGGCGACGCCGACGACCGCGAGTCTCGTCAGCAGCAAGGCGCCGGGATGTTGACTATTGAGGCAGTCGCCGAGACGGTCGCGCGGGAGCCGAATGTCGACACGCGCAACGCCATGATCTCGCTCCTCCAATCGCTCGGCGCATCGTCCGCCGGCTCCGAGCAGGTCCAGCTGCCGGGCATTGCCGCCGACACGGTTCAGCTCGACCGCGACACCGTCAACAAGCTCCTCTCGCTGATCTCGGCAAGCTCGCAAGACGGTTCGACCGTCGCCGCGGTGGACCAGGCCGCGTCGACCTCAGCCACCGCCGCAGCGGCCGACGCCTACATCGCACACGACCAGTCGGCGGACTACTCGAAGCTCGACCTGTTCGGACCGCTCGATGCCGGGTCGTCCACCATGGCCGGCGCACCTCCCGTCGAAGAAGGACAGAGCGGGCAGATGCAGGACCTGTTCCGCGACCTTTTCGATCGCTTCTGATTCTCTTTCCCTTTCTCCTACGACTCTTGCATAGCCCGCATTTGCACACCCAGCTTTACTTACTGTTACCCTTTCGCACGCGCATAGCCTTTCTGTTCGGCCTCCTTTCGTTCAAGCTTTTTGTAGATACCCTCGCATGCCAATGACTACCCTTCGCTTCCCTCGTCGATTTGGGATTCTCGCGAGGAGGGGCCGGAGCCATACAAGTTCGCCCTTGCTTGCCTCACTCACTTCTTCTTCACTCTGACGCTGCCAAAACTCTCCTCTCTCGGCTTACACGCACTCTGTCGACGACTATGGCTAAGGTCCGTTTGCAGGCGTAGGCGAGACAACGAAGGGGAGGCAAATTCGTGTGCGAAGGGTCTGTGCAAGAAAAACGACAAGAGGGGTCGTGTGCGAAGGCGCGGCGTTGTACAGGAGGACACTGGGAACAAGTGAATACAGGTGCGCAAGGCATGAGAATGCGGCTAGTAAGACTTGGGCGGCGGAAGCTTGCGGACGGCAACGGCCCAGTCAGGCGGCGCCTTCTTGCCGTCCTCCTTGCCGACGACGGCGGAGAGGACCCTGAGCCACGTCGCCTTGGCCTCTGGCGAGTCGGCGTAGAAGTCGATCCTGTTGCCGTCTTTGAAGATGAGCCGGAAGGAATTGTCCATGCGCGAGAGGTCTTCGTCTTCGTCCTCGAAGCGGGAGGCTCGGCTCTTGGGCGACTGGACGGTGGCGACGTTGAGATCCTCAACTTGCGAGACGAGCGCAAGGTTGATCTCGACGTGCGAGCGCTTCGTGACTTCGCTGTACGGCACGAGCGTGCTGCCTCGTAGCTTGACGACGCGCCTTCGCCAGACCTGCGGTGCGAGACGGTAAGCAGTTGCTGATAGAAAAGGGTAGCCGATTCAGACTCACGGTCGTGTCGCCGCCGAGCTGGGTAAGGACACCTTCGTGCGTGATCTTGGTAGCCCACTCCGCCAACTCGAGGCCCTCGAGGACCTCGTCCATCGACTTTGGCAAGTTGGCCTTCGGCACGCCCGATACTGCCGGCACGAAGAGCAAGTCGACGGTGAGGGCTCCGCTGCACGAACGAGGCGACGACGAGCTCTTTGAGACGAAGGGAACCAGGATGCGCGACTTCTGCAGCCGGCACTTGCCTGCCTCGCTCGCAAAAGTGACGCGCGCTGTCGCAAGCTGGCCATCGGACGATACGTAATCGAAGAAAGGATCGGGCGTGGGAGGAGGAGCAGTTGGGGTCTTGATCGGTGTCGGCTTCTTCTTGGGCGAGGAGAACAGGCGGAGGGCGCGGTGCGTCTTGCTCGGCGACGCAGGCGGTGTGGGAGCAGGAGAGGGGGCGGAGGGCAGTGTAGGAGTGCTCGAGGGTGGAGGGCGGGGCACCGAGAAGTGGATCGAGAAGGCGAGGTCCTGGTTGCAGATCCTGCATGGACGAGCGTGATGAGCAGAACCGGTTGCGCGCGGAAGGTGAAAAGACGTACAACTCGAACTCCTTCTTGAGCGAAACCTTGCCGCTCAGTTCGCGAACCGCAGCGTCGACTTTCTGTCGGCCGTTGTCGAGTGTCGCGGTTACGGAGACTCGTTGCCTCGGCATGGGCATGCCTTCGAAGCTGACGTCTCGGACTGTTCGCGGACTTGGTCAGTAACTGTCGTTTCGAGTGGCAATGCGAAGCGGCTCACGGAGAACGAAGAGCTGGCCGGCATACTCGCGAGACTTGCGCACGCTTTGCGAGTTGACGCTCATCGTACTGAGCGAGCGATTGATGGCGTGCTGCGAATGAGGTGGTGAGCTGCGTCCCCCGATGCAAGACGAAAGGCATGAACGCACGACGTCTGAGGGACGCTTCTTCCGCCATGCGCGGCCAGGATCGACATCGCCTGCTCGACTACCGGTGAAGTCGCTGACGACGACGAGCTGCTTCGACTCCCTGACACGGTACGTCCGATTGCGTGAGTTGTAGATGTCGTCGAGCGACTCGAGAACGCTGGAACCGAAGCCGGCATCGCCCGCCTTGCGCTCAAAGCCAAGCTCAGGCATCGTAAGCTGCGCTTGCAGCGCCGTCGACGACGTCTCCGCAATGCTTGCGTCGCCCGTCGAGCGACTGCGGCGGCGTGTCGGCCTGCCAGACTTGAGCGGCGCAAGTTGCGGAACGTCGTCGTCGCCTTCCGCGAGCTCCGCCACGCCCAGCAAGCTGTCGCCGCTCCTCCACTCGCCGCCTTCCCGTCCCTTCATGCCACGCTGCAGCCGCTCGAGCGGACTCTGCATCTCCTCCGCGACTTCAGCCGTTAGAGGCGAGCCCACGCTCACTCCGAGCTGTCCTCGTTGAGGCGAGGCGGCGATCGTCGGCATCATGTTGGACGAGAGCGTCGCCGAGCGCGCTTTCGGCGCTGCGTGCGCCTCGATAGCACGCGAGTCTGCCGGCGCGGTCGAGGGCTGCGAGGTCGAGGGAATGGCCGTCTTCGCGGTCGAGGGGAAAGCACCGAAGGAGGGAAGCGGGCTACTGTCGCCGAAGAGCGCCTGGTGCGCCTTCATGCGCTCCTCGAGCCTGTCCCTACCGAGGCGGATGGTACCTCCTCGAAGCGAGCCGTTGACCGACGAACCGTACCACGAGACGCTCGAAGTGGTGACATCGCTGCCGACAAGAGAAGCCTTGCGGGAGAGCACAGGCGAGGCTTCGACATGGCTTGCGGGCGTTGTGGTCTCGGCAGCACGATCGACGTTCAAGGTGGAAGGGGACCCGAGGGCCGCCGGCGCGATTGCGGGCGCCGTCTTGTGTGCGGAATCGTGCGGACGAGGCTGTAGAGGCTTGGTGGCCGGAAGCGCGAGCGGTTGCGCTTCGCCGTCGAGCGTGACGACGGATCGAGCAGCACCATCGTCCTCGAAGCCCAAGAAAGGCGACGTGCCGGGGATATCGGGGAGGGAGAACTGCGACTCGGACTTGACCAGCGAGGGCACCGAGGATTGTTGCGGCGCAAGGGTCGTAACGGCGAGCGAGACGGGTGCTAGTGGGAGAGGCGGTCGACCTGGAGAACCGGGCGCGTCGGGCAAACTGGCTCGTCCGCGCGACAGGATGGCCTCCTTCGTTGCCGTGAAGTGCGCATCGTCCTGCTCTTGCTCGTCGTCATCGTACGACGAGGCGGACATGATCTCGCTAGCGCCATCATCCGCGCCCGACACCGTGGACACGCTGAAAGCCGACGCCGGGGCCTGCGGGATGTTGGGCGATGAGTAGCCGGAGGTGTCATGGTGGCTGGGCAGGTCAGGCTGGTCGGCGAAAGACGGGATCTGGCTGGGTGAGAAGACGTCGGTTTCGTCGAATGCTTCCGACTCCTCGTGAAGGTATTCGTCGATTTGGCCGATGACCTCGTCCATCGCTGAACTGGCAGACGAGACGACAGACTCGTCCGCATCGGATCCGATCTCGACGTCGTGCACCTCGACGCTGCCGCCCTCCTCATAGGTGAAGGAGCCGTCGGGCTGATGCGTGTAGTGTGGCGAGTCGCTCTCTTCGTCCGAGCTGTCGCGACCGTAGTAGCGTCCTTCGTCGCTGAGCGTGCTGGCGTCGCTCAAGCCGCTCCTCCTTCGCTCGTCATCAACCTCAAACTCGAAGACCTCCTCCGTCTCGGCCCATGCGACGCTCTTGCTGCTCGGCTGGCGGCGAACAGTCCGGCCGACCTCCTCGCGCTCCGTCTCTTCGCCGTCATCGTATCCGCTGCTGATAGGCCTCGGACCACGCATACCTCGACGAGTCTGCGCAAGAGCCGAACCGCCTGGCGAGCGCACGGACGAGGAAGGGCTCGCCTCACTCGTATAGTGCCTTTCGCGAGGCGGCGTGTTGGGCGGAGGGACGGACGAGCCGGCGATGATTCGACCGCCTGCAGACGCTGAAGCAGGTCCAGGGCGAGCACCGAGACCCATTTGCCCGTTCATCTTGGCAGATGAGGCGAGCTGCGGCGAGGCATCGTCGCGGGGCAGCTCGTAATAGGCGGAGGGGGCGCTTTCGCGAGTGAGGGGTTCGATCTCGTAGGGCGCCTGCTGAAGCTCGGGCGAAGGAGCTTTGGTCGACTTGGAGGCGAAGGGGGAAGACGAGACGAGGTTGTTCTGGCGGAGAGCGGCGAAGGACGACGTCTGACGACGCGGGATGTCGTCAAGAGGCGGTTGAGGATTACGACTGGCGCTGTCGAAAGCTGGTCGAGTCGGTTTGAAAGGTGAAGAGGAAAGAGTCGCCGTCGTCGGGCTGGGAACCGCGGTCGCCTGCCTGACTGGCATCAGCGGTGCGCCAGGAGAGGACGAGCGACTCCGCGCCAACGAGTCACTGCTCTTCTTCCGACCGAGAGCGAGCTCGTTCAGCTCGGAAGGGTTGCTGTTCTCCTTGACCGGTTCGTCCTGTTCTCCGCTGGCCCTCCTCGAACCACTTGTCCGCCGCCCAAGTCCTCCCTGCGCCGCTGTCGTAGGGATCCTCGACGTGTTGTACAAGCCGAGGCCGGGATTGGCGGCCTTCGATGGCGAACCTCCAGCCAGCTTCTGGAAAGGCGAGTTGGAGACGAGTCCTCCGGTCGACATGTGCTTGAACGAGCCAGAGTTGCGCCGTCGTGCAGCGATGGCTTCTGCGCCTCCTTCAGCGCCGCGTACGCCGGCAATGACGACAGAGGTAGGACGAGGGGCGGAGGACGAGTCGAGGGTACGGGCGGCGGCAGGAGAGCGGGTCGAGTAGACAGAGGCGGGTCGCGGGGGCGTTGGCGCTGCCACTGCAGCTACTGGGGCTGCCATGGTGTGCGCAGATGATGGCGGAGAGGGTCTCAGGTGAGGTGTGCGCTGCCGTTGGCGACAGTCAACATCGAGGATCAGCGGGCGACGAGGGAGCTGGGGGAAGGCAGGCGCACCTGTCAGTCAGTCGAGCCAGCCACTTGTCAAGTAAAGCAAGCTGTCAAGCGAGTCTCGGCCGTGTGCGAGCGAGTGAGCGTGAAGCGTAGCGAGATGAAGAAGGTCGCGCGATGTTGAATGACCTCGACCTCGTCGCAGCAGCTCAGTCGACGCGTTCCTGTGACAGCGCAGGCTTGAGCAGTCAGTAAGTAGCTACGTGGCGCTCTCTGTAACGGGCGCTGGGCTCGGAGGCGACCTGCAAGGTCACGTGCGCGGATGGCGAAGAGGTTGCGAAGTATGCGGAACGGTCTATGGAGGTTGAGGGCTACAACAGAGCGAGTGAAGTATCGTGAAGCAAACTCATGCGAGTGTCGTGAAGGCGAAGGGGATCGGAAGAAGGCTTCAGGCGTCCTCCTGCGGGTGTTCGCCATAGACGCGGACGGGGATCGTCGCTTTGGCGGGTGCTGCTGCATCGCCATTCGCATCGGGAAGAGGCATGATCTCTTGGTAGTTCTCCCATCGCCGCTCAGCCCACTTGGTTCGTCGTTGCGCCATCCTGGAGGGCCAGAGAGTTAGCTCACGAGCCTCGCGGGAAATTTGAAGGAACGCACAGCTCTCGCGCCCAGCCTTTGACGACAGGGTGCTGGATCCGCGTCACAGTCGTCTCGAAGAAGCCTTGCAACGTCTTGCAATGTTGGGCTGTGAACCGGGGAACCAAGTGAGCTGGGCCCGGTGGTGGAGCAGAACGACACGTACAGTTCTCGTACTCGACCGCCTGAACGCAAAGCTCGAACAGGTCGAGGTCCTTGACGAACTTGCTCTCGGGCGTCTCGCGCGCCTCGTACTCCTCCCACAGCGACTTGAGCCGGAGCGAGGCGATAGAAGGGTGTCCAAGCAGGCCAACCATGCGCTCCATCGCTTTCTGCGTGTACCGGCGTGATTAGCACGAGGCCGTGAGGAAGCGTCCGAACGCTGCGCACCTCTTCCAGGGCGAGCTTCTGTGCCTTCGAGACGCCCGAAGCGTGTTCGGGAGTGATGTCGCCGACGTCTGCCTCGGCGAGGTCGTGAACAATCGAGAGCATGACGCATCTGCCGATAAAGGCTCAGTATAGTTCGTCAAGAAGCAATGATCCTGACCTACTTGGAGATGTCGAGCGACTGCGTCTCGGGGAAAGCGAGGCACATCATGGCCATCCTGCGAGCGGAGGAGCGTCAGCAAGATTCGCCGGTCTAGCATAGAGAATCACGCACCGGTACATGTGGTCGGCAATCGACTCTGCGTTCTCGATGCCGTTGTTGACCCATCCTGTCCGCTTGTTCGTCTGCACGAGGCGGTCGGACGGGGTCAGCTGAGTTGTGCACTTTGCTTGTACGTCCGCAATGGCCCCTCTGAGTCAAAAGCGAACGGACAGAGCGTCCACGCACCTGTTTGAGCGGCGAGTCGAACAAGAGTCGGGAAAGAGAGAGAACAAAGAGGTCAGTTGCCCGTCCACCCCGAGCAGGAACAGCACGCGCACCTTGAGACGTTCAAGCGTGTGGAAGAAGCCCAGAACACCCTCCTGACAGTCCTGCGGGACCTCGGGCGCGGCGGGAGTCCCGTTCGTCGATGAGGGCGAGGTTGACATTGTTGACTGAAAGGAGAGCGGGAAGACGCAGGCAGAGCACTGGCAGGTCCGAGTGAACAGTCCAAACTAGTCTGCTAAGCAGCAAAGCCCGTCAAGCCAGCGGAGCGAAAGGGTTGGACACAACGAACAACCTCGACTCGACTCCGCTCTCTGTCTCCGACTCCCGCTGGAGTAAGCCAGTCGCAAGCGGCGCGAGAGCGCACAACTCTGACGGGGCGAAGGCGAGGCAGGAAAACGGGATGATTACAAGGAACGCCAGTCTTGGGCTAGAGGGAACAAGCGAGGGGGAAGAAGCGCCAGCAAGGCGCAAGCGGTATCGACGCTAACAAGCGAGGGGAAATGGGGACGAGGTTGGAGGGGTATAGAGAGGCCAGGGGATCTCGGGGCGAGCGGGCGAGGGGAATCGCCTCTTACTCCTCGTCCTCCTCCTCCTCCGACTCGGCCTTCTTTGCCTTCTTCGCGGCGCGCTTCGGGGCGGCCTTCTTCTTGGCGGCGGTCTATTGATTGAGAGTGTCGAGACGGTCAGCGTCGTCAAAGGCGGCGCAAATGAGCGAGAGAGTACTCACCTTCTTCTTCGGCTTCTCCTCCTCTTCCTCGTCCTCGTCATCCTCCTCCTGCGCCTTGGCCTTGCGCTTGGCAGTCTTCTTGACGGCCTTCTTCGGCTTCTGCTCCTCCTGTGAAGGCAATGGGCAAAAGGTCAATTCGCTAGTCTGGTCGGCAGTTGACGAGAAGGCGAACAAACCTCCTCCTCGGTCTCAGCGGCCTCTTCCTCCTCCTCGCTCTCATCCTTCTTCTTCTTGGCAGCCCTCTTCTTCGGAGCGGCCTACGCGAGGGAAGCGACCGAAGTCAGTGCAGTTCCGCTGCGAGCGAGCCGTGAGGCGGGACGCACCTTCGCCTTCTTCGGCTTCTCCTCCTCCTCTTCCTCGTCGTCCTCCTCGGTAGCCTTCTTCTTCTTGGGAGCGCGCGTGCTCTTCTTCTTCTTCGGCGTATCGATGGGGTTGCCCTCCTCGTCGAGCTCGACCGGCTTGCGCGCCGTCTCGGGGATGTCCTCGTCGGCAACTGCACACGCGTGATGAGAGCGTCAGCTAAATCAGCGAGACAGAGGCAACTCAGGCGGGCGCACCGTGACCCTCCTCGAATGCCTTCCTCACCCTCTCCTGGTCCTCAGGCGTGAGGTCCTCATAGCCGTCGAGCTCCTCAGCCGACTCAAACGAGGCGCGCATGTTCTCGAACTACTTGGGCGTCACGCACCCCCAGTGCCTCCAGGCGAAGCTGGAGTTGCCCTCTGTCAGGCGGGAAGGCGGATCAAGGAGGAGGCGAATCGAGCAGGACAGGGTTCGGCCGAGTTTAAGGTCAGCTTCGGCCCACAAATAAGGCAGCTGTGAGCACACGCACGGATGGTGACGAGAGTGCCGCAACGGAGGCTGCCCTGCGAAGAGAGTCGAGCGGTGAGTTGAGGACGTTCACGGGCGGCGCCGCAACTTGGGTGAAAGGGACTCGCCTTGGGAATCGCATTTCCGTGACAAGGCTTAGCACCTTTGCACTTCGAAGTTCCAAGCTCTAGAAGCCAGGGCAGTCGAAAGGAACGTCGGAGGGGCGAAGGAAGCGAAAGGAGGGGTTGAGACGCCGAAACGGGCGAGAAAGGGCGGGTTTGAAGCGCGACGGTGGGCGGAGTTGACAGAGACATTGGTGGGCAGTGCAAATGGTCGAGCGGCGAGAAAGGCGTTGGCGAAGCGGAAGGAGGGCGAAGAAGGTCGAGGAGCGGAGAGGGGAAGAAGGCGGGGTGAGAGGGACAGGGTATGAAGAGGCGTCAGTTGCGCGTTCCAGCATTCAAGAGGAAGGGAGAGCGACTGACTTGCGTACTCGAGACGGTAGCTCATCTTGTGAGGTGTTGTGAGGGGAGTGTGCGGGGAGGTGACGCTGTGAGGCGGCGAGCAGGCGACAGAATGGTTTGTGGTCGCGCAGGAGTGGCGAAGAGAAGTACACAGAACAATTGGTCAGCTTTTCGACCTCCCGCAAATGGTTAAACGCGCGATCAAGCGTGATGAGGTAGTTGCTGGACGGCGAGGACGAGGAGACTGGCGCGGGGCTTGCGGGTAGTGCGACCGGCTTCGACAGACTCCAAACACACCTTAAAGAAGCTAGAGACACTCGGTGAAGCTGCTCGAGCGGTGAGAAGCGGTGCGAGGTGAAGCGGGCGAGGTCAACGAGCAAGAGGGTCGATGTCAACGCGACGTTCCGGCAAATTCGCGCTTCAGATGGCAGTAAGGGTATTGAACATTGGGCTGTAGCTGGTCTACAGTCGCGCGGATCGCCTTCTACAATCCCGCCGCCCTTTTGACATCTCTCCCGTCCCAGCACCGAACGTCAACCCGCCTCACACCTTTGCCAGCGTGCCACAACGCGCCTCTGCGGAGCAGCAAAGTCAGTGGAAGTTGGCTTCCGGCCGCGGAACAGCCCAAGCAAGCCGCAAGCGAAGGGAGGATGAAGTTCGCGAAAAATCGTGGCAGCGGCAGCTGGTAATGGGGCAGAGTGCCTAGAGTCACACGCAGAAGCTCAGGCTAGTCCCCTGTACCGCGCCTAGATCGAGCAAGAACGGGAATGGCAGCTTGTCAAAGCGAAGAAGCGAGACGAGAGGCTTCAAGGCATCAAAGTTGCGGTGGTGAGAGCGACGCAGAGCTGCCCTCGACGTCCAACTTGGCGCCCTATCTGTGGCGAAGCGTATTATCCGTCCCACGCTACACTCACCCGGCGAGAAGCCGTCGGGAGTTGGGAGGGCGAGTCGAGCGTGCGGCAGAACGACGGCACCTCCCGGGCTGCGGGTTGGACGGACGTGGATGTCGGAAGCGGTAGAAGGATTCAGCGAGCTCAGCGAGCCCAGCGGATGTGTGAGAGAAGCCAGCATTAGGTCGCCTGAGTTGGCGACGAATCACAAGGGGGGCTCGGGCTCATCACAAGGGAGCGGCGCCGACACCAGCTCGCCGAGAGGTCGACGCGTGTCCCAGCGTACTGTCAGGGCCCTTCTGGGTACCATCCGCCACTTCTCGCCCGCGCGCTAGGCCTGAGGACGCCGGGACAGGTGGTGGGTGATGAAGGCGAGTCCCATCCCAACCACCGCTCCAACCACCTCTAGAGGGCCGGCTGACCCGCGTATCGTCATCGCAGTACCTCTTTGCGGCTATTGATGCACGCAAGGCGCGCGCACGGGAGCAGAGCGGCGGAGTTGCCAACGGCAGGGTGGGGCGGACGCGGTACAGCGCAGATGAGCTCAAGCGCTTGGTCGTGGAGGCCAGCGAGGCCGTGGTGCGTCTCACAGTCCCTTTTCAGGCCGCCACGGGCGCGCACAGCTGACCAGAAGGCTCCGTTGCCGTGCTTGCTCTCCTCCGCTTCCAGGACGACAAGTCGGCCGCGAACGAGTTCCAGGAGACGCTCGAGCGCATAGTGAACGAGATCAAGAATACGACCGTGCGTGCTGCCATCTGGATGACCTCGTCTAGCCCGCTGACCCTCTGGCCCGCAGGAACACTCTGGTCCGTTCCTCCAAAAGGTTCGCAAGGCAGACGTGCCCGACTACTACGATGGTGCGCGCGCTCGCATGCTTCAGAGATGCCATCATAGTGACTCTTTCTCTCCACAGTCATCAAACGCCCGATGGACCTCGCAACCTTGCTCAAGAAGGTCAAGCAGCAGTCGTACCGGACGAAGAAGGCGTTCGCAGAGGACCTCGACCTCATTTGGTCCAACTGCTTGCTCTACAACAGTCATCCGGTGCGTAATGGGGAAGGCGGAAGCAGCGGGCCGAGCTGACACGACTTTCTCGCAGAGCCACCCGCTCCGACACTCGGCTGAAGTCCTTCGAGCCAAGTCGAACCAGCTTCTCGAGTTCATTACCGACCCGACCCTCTCGCAACGATCCCTCCTCGCCGCTCACATGTCCTCAGCTGCACTCGACGCACGACGGGCGGGCAGCACTCGGGTCGGAACGCCGGACGAGGATGCGGATGCGGACGCGGAGAGCGATGACGAGCCGGCGCGGCACAAGCGGGCGCTGAGCGAGAGGTTTCTGAACGGGATCAACGGCGACAGTGAGTTCTCTCAAGCGGATCAAGGCGAACCTGGACTGACATTTCCTCCTCAGCTCCTCACGACTCGTCTGCCTCGCCTGCACCATCGCGCTCTGCCACACCTGGCATCACTCGACGTTTGAGCCGCAAGTTCAGCGCAGGACCCGTGCGTTGTCACCCTCGCTTTCGCGCGAAATCGCGCTAACCTGTACACTACAGCTCGGCCGCGTCTCTCCCTCACCTGAACCGACTCCCCCTCCTCCTGCCGGCCTCCCCTTCGAAGAGCAGCCCGCCTTCGTCCGAACACCTCAGTCGATGCACGAGTTTCTCCTCCTCGACCGCGAGCTCTCCAAGCTCGAAGGTTCCGGCTTCAAGCCGACCAAATCGAGTGCCTCCGCCCTCCTCCCTCCTTCCGCCTTCGAACCAGCCTCTTCTACCGTCATCGCAACCAGGTCGAAGCGCAAGACGCACAAGGAGCACATTGCCGACCTCGTCCACCGCCTCAACCCCGACTTGCTGCCGAAACCTCCCGCCGAACCCGCTTCGTCGACCGAGAACTCGCCCGCTGCCTCGACTCCCACTGCACAATCCGAGCCTCGATGTCAGCCTACGCAGCCTCTCGAGGCAGTTTGGTGGGACATTGTCGGTCCTGCACCCTCCTCTTCCGCCCTCATCCCCGCTCCTTCCGCCTCAACCACCGTCAACGGCATCAACGGCCACGTCGCCGAGTCATCTGCGCCGCCTGCACCTTCGGCCGTACCAGCCCTCGCAGCGGGCATGCCGCACGTTCCTTGGGTTGGCTACTCGGCCACACCCTTCGCTACCTCGACCGGCTCGCGTGCGGGTCCAGGATTGGACGCGAAGGGCAAGGGCAAGCAGAAGGCGGGAGAAGTCGCCATTCGTGCGAATGGAGTGTCGAAGCAGGTTGCGAGGCGGAAAGAGGCGGATGTTGGGCTGGCGCCAAAGATGCGGCGAAACTGTGAGACGTGGAGGCGGATCAGGAGGGTCGGTGCGGTTTTGGCGAGGGAGAGTACAACGGCAGATCTTGTACGTCCCATTGCGCCTTATCTCGGCCGGCGCCTTCTGACGCTTGCACTTGCAGGAATCGCCGGTTGTCTCGTCCGACGAATCCGATACCGATCTTCCGGCTATGAACGGCATGGACGTCGACGGTGCGCGACCTGCGAAGCGACGACGGCGAAGCCGTCCGATGTTGTCGGCCATCAGCGTCCCTCAGCGAGCCCTTGCTTGCCCAGCAACAGCGCCAGTCGCCGCGCGAGAAGCGATGCGCAGCTTTGCAGGAGGTATGCTTGCGCATTCGGGCTTCGAAGGTGCGTCTCGCTTCTTCTCCTTGCGATCTCAGTCCTTTCTCACAACTCATCGCGCAGGTGCGAACGCCGGCGCTCTCGACGTACTGGGCCATGTTGCGGGCGAGTATCTCGCAAACATGGCGCGGACACTGCGGTTCTACTCTGATCGCTATGGCGCCGATATGTCTGACAAGGTGAGTAGCGCTTTCTCTCTCCAGGCGAGAAAGTCCTGCTGACCCGCTCCGTCGCGCAGCGCATCCTCGTACACGCGCTCGGCGAGAACGGCGTGCCATCGCCAGCGCATCTGCAGGCATACGTCTCTGAAGACGTCGACCGCTACGGCTCGCGGCTTTCCGACTTGCTCGCCAAGCTTGAGCGTGCACGGCGAGAACAGCTCGATTCGCTGACCGAGGAGGACGTCGCTCGAGCCGACGGTGCCGATGAGGCGCTCTTCGCCGACGATGGCGAGGCGTTCGTCGCGGGTGACTTTGCGACGAGGATCGGCGAGGACTTCTTCGGTGTCGCGGAGCAGGGGTTGGATCAGGAGCTGAGCGTGTCGACTCTGGTGCTGCCGAAGTGGATCTTGCGGGGCGAGCCAAGACCGCTCGATAGCGCATCAACAAGGTGCGTTAACCTTCGCTCGCTTAGTCCTCCGGCTTCCGATGCTAACCTCGATACTCTTCGCAGCTCTCTCGCCTACTCGCCTCCTCCCGCCTTCGTCCCCCTCACGCCAGACGCCGTCTCGTTCCAGATCGGCCTCCTTCGACCGTACCTCTCCCACCGCGCAGCCCGCCCCGACCTCGGTCTCGCCGACGAGGCAGGCCATCTCTCCGGCACGTCGTCGCGCTCGAAGACCGGCGTGCGGCACAAGGTCCCGCCTCACGGCCGCATCCCGTTCAAGGGCAAGAGGCGGCCCGACGACCCGACTATGCCCGCAGCGATTGCGGCGCAGCTTGCGGGCGCGAACGAGCCGAAGAAGAAGAAGAGAAAGGTCGCGCAGGTGGAAGAAGCGGTCGTCGAGAGCGGCGGCGAGTGAACGTAAAGGAAAGTGAAAATCGAAGTTGCAGTACTAGTTCATCTTGGCGGTGAGAGCTCGCTGGAGAGATGCATAGCGATGGAATCGACCTTCTAGTCGCTGTCCCTCTAGTCGCTGTCCCGCTTCGAAGGCTCGCCGTCTAGAAGGATGTGATCTCGCCGTCCGCGAAGCTCAGCCCGCCGAACTCGCGCTCCATCTCTTTCTGTTCTACCCGGGAGCTGTTCAAGTGGGCGCTGCATGTGCTGAGAATGGCGGGAGAAGCGAGCGTGAGGGAGGAAGCGGTCGGATAGGCGGGCGAGGAAGGTTGCGAGGCGGTACTCGTCGCCGAGCTGGGTGTCGGCTGTTCCGATGCCTCTGCTGAAGACTGTGAAGGCGCTTCGGATTGAATGGAGAGGGAGCGAAGTGGTGAACGAGTGTTGCGAGGGCTGGCTGGCGGTCGACGATTCTGGGAAGGTCAAGATGGTCAGCTTCCTCCGCTTCATCGCCCAGCCACACGCACCTGGTTCTCGCCTGACGTCTCGGGATCAGAAAGAGGCTCGGAGGATTGCAGAGGTACGGAAAAGCGGTCGTCCGCGCCATTAGCCAGGCAGTCGAAAAAGACTCGAAAGCCCGCGTGCGAGCCCTGGCTCTTTAGCTCCGCGATTGGTCTTGAGCAAGGCGGTGCAGAAGGGGTCGAAGGGAAGGAGACAATCCCTCGGGGAAGCAGCGGGCTGAATGTCGAGTCGGCGGATAGAAAAGATGAGGATTTTCTTCCGGACCGCGAGGACGTCCTTCGTCGCTTCGAGCGGTGATTGTCTGTCGCGAGTGCCATTGAGATCATCGTGTGCTCCCGCCAGACCCTCGCTCACCGCAAAGCGGAAACAACAGACGCACCTGTCGACCTCGTGCCCGCAACAGTCTCCACCGCCGCCGTAGCAAGCTCGCTTGTTGGCCGCACAGTCTCGCTGACGTGCTGCAAGACCCCAGGAGGAACGGCGCCTCGTCTCCGAGGCGATGAGAGCGGGGTGAAGGAAGAGGAGGACGAAGGCGAAGAGGGCGGTTCTGAGGCGGCTCGGGGACAGGATGGCATGGGCAGCGAGCCAGCGGTCTTCACTAGCGATGCGAGCTGGCGTGCCTGAGCAGCGAGCGGATTTGAGCGAGTTTGCGGTGTGCGAGAGGAGAAGAAGCGGGAGAGCGGGAGAGGAGCAAGAGGGTCGTCTGATTGCGACGCCTTCGTCTCGGCGCCTCTTGAAGCAGGGTAGCAAGTGCAGTAAGTGTACCTAGCGGTGAACCAGAGCGAGAAAAGAAGCAGGCAGATCGCGAAGCAGACGCATCAATGGGGAGGCACAGCGAAACGAAGACGAGCCCGCGAGCGCATTCTGTCGCCGATCAGCACACGGAGTTGCACTTCTAAATCTTGAGGAGACCGTCTACCGGGATGCCCTGCGGCGGGCTGGCCTTCATGAAGGCGGCGCGAATCGGAGTGACCGAGACGGCTCCACTGTGAATGGCATGCTTGTCCGTGCCTTCGACCTGTTCGACGCGAGGACGTCAGCGAGACAACCAGGCGAGAGCGGTGAGAGTGAAGTGGGACACCCACCAAGTCATCCATCTTCGGATTGACGAGCGCCGAAAGATCCGGCGCGAACACGAAGTGCAGCCTCTCCTTCCAGTGCTCGTCGCGCACCATCAGGTTCTCGCTCCCTTCACTCTGCTCTGCGCCGCCAGTCTCCTGCTTCGGCTCAGCGACCGCAGCTGGTCCACCTTTCTCCTCTGAAGCGGCCGAGTCGGGGTGCGGGGTCGACTTGAAGAGACGGCCGTACGAGGTGCGAGCCATAGTCGTCCATCGGACCTCTGGTGACGAGACGATGTCGGGGAGAAGCTGTCGAGGACAGTTGGATTAGCCGAATCTCGGCGAGACGCTCACAACAAGCGGGAATGTGGACGCACAGGCACGTTGACCGAGTACACGTCGACCTTGCTGTCGCCCTCGCCGAAGCCAAGCTTGTACAGCCGCTCGACGACTTGACAAGACAGCTTGACGGCGGCGTCGACGAACTCTTGCGGCGGGGGCTTGTAGCCTTCCATCAAGCCCCACGAGAGCGCAATCGCGTGCGAGCCGGAAATGGCAGCAGCCATGGCTGCGCCGACGGTACCGCTGCGAGCGAGAGCGCGTCAGCTGGGTTGGACGAAAGAAGGCAAGAGGGAACGAACGAGGACATGGCGAAGGCGGTACTGGTGTTGCGTCCAAAGTTTGGTCTGCACACGATTCGCATGAGTACAACTTGGCGCGAGAAAGGCGGCTAGCGGGAAAGGCGCACCCAGAGATAACGAGATCAAAGGAGTCGGGCGGGAAGAGGTTGTTGAGGGCGATTGAGGCACAGGTGGCTGTCGAGAGGAATCGTGCGCTTGTAAGCACACTCCCAGTATGAAGTTGTGAGGATCAGAGGCGCTTACCTGGCGTCCCCTGCAAGAGAACCCATTCCATCTCGCCGTCCTTGGTGGTCCGCGGCAGGTCTCTCAACTCGCCTTTGGTTCCGTCCTCTCCTGCAGGATAGTCTGCAGTCCGCAAGACATCATCAGCGTCAATTTGCTGGAAAAGAGCCACACAGAGCGTTCGAGGACGCACAGTATTGGCCAGTGACCTTGTCCCCGATCAAATAGCTTTTCCCGACCCAGCTCTTCTGACTATCCGGCACAACAACCCTCACGTCCCATCCGAGCTGCTCGACCAGTCCTCGCGCGAAGGGGTAGATGAAAGGCGAGTGACCGGTCTTGGGAGAGGGGCGGCCGTCGTCGTTCGTGAGCAAGACGCGGAGTCGGCGGTTGGGTGGTGAAGATGAGGGCATGATGCTTTGCGGGCGCTGCGGTGGTCGCGAGGCGGTACGATGCCTTGTGAGAAGTGGACAGCGATCCGGACGAGGTGAGGTGGGGATTGGCGAAGTGAGTGAAGGAGTCGGGGGTCGTGCGGGCGGCGCAGGCAAGAGTGAAGGGACTCGAGAGCAGCCGTGGCTTCAGCGAATGGCCGAACAGCGAGATTGCGGTCTCAAGACGGAGGACAACGTTCGCAAGCCGACCCGTAGAAGGCGAACTCCCGCAGCAATCTCTCAAAGACGAGTAGCAGTAATTCAGTACAGTACAGACATACTCACTCGAGCGTATGATACCCGCCTCCTTCCGCCGTCGTCGAAGGCAGCGGCGCAACCGGGTCCTTCCTGCTCCCAGTCTTCCCGCCGCCCGAGCCTCCTCCTCCTGCACTCTTTCTGCCCGAGCCGGATGACGGCGGTGGAGGGGGCGGAGGAGTCGCACTGCCGGCGGAGGCTTCCTCATCGAGCGAGAAGCGGGTTTGATACGAGTGTTGCTGAGCGGGCGCGGACCAGACTGCGCGAGATTGCCGAGCGCGTGAGCTCAGAGCTACAGTCATACCGTTCAGCTGTACGCACCGGTCTCGCCAGTCTCGTGCCGCGCTCCGCCGCCGAACGAAGGGAAGGAGCCTGGGATCCGGTCGGCCAAACCACCTGGAAGGCTGAAGCCGGCCCCCTGATACCCGAAGCTGTTCTCGCCGCGCGCTCGTAGCTGACTCAGCGCGTTCATGATCGTGATGAACTGCCCGAAAGAGGTGAGCGGACAGAAGGGAACGTAGAAAAGGGCTTTCAGGATGCACCTTGAGCAGCCAGTTGACCATGATCAGAACCCGCACGAGCCCGTGAGTGCTGTTCGACACGAACCACTGCGAGAAGGGGCCTCCGTCAGTTCAGCAAAGAATGGAAAGGACTGGGAAGGGAACGAACGAGGAAGTCGAGGAAGATGGATCCTCCGAGGACGGCGACGAACTGGGCGATGCGCGACGATACGACTCAGCCTTCATCCTCACTGTGATCTCAGAATCATACGCGGGATACGCACCTGCCGAACCGTCTCTGCGGCACTCCCACCCTCGTCCATCCTCGTAACGACCATCAGCCCAACGATCGATATCGCCGGGTTCCACGCCGGTGCATCCGACAGTGCTGCGACGCAGGAGAAAATTGTGTGACCCTGCAGGAGCCGTGTGAGGTCGAGGTCGCTCATCGCTTCCGCTGAGGGGGCCGAGTCGAGGAGGTGGGGAAAGGAGAGGGCGAGCGAGAGGAGCTGTGGCGGCGCAAGGGAGTCGCAGGGTTCCTATAGGAGATCTGAGCCTGTGTGGGTAGCCTCTGGCGCTGTCAGCGAGGGTTGTTCGTGGTCGACCCTTCGCGAAGGTGACGCCCGCAGGCTGACCCAGGACCGCTGGCTTGCCTCGCTTAGATGGGCTGGCGGCGCTGTCAAGACGCTTGCAGCGACGCCGGCAACCACGCTAAGCCACACGCGTGCAGCCGCCTCTTCTCCCGCCCGCTCACGTCTCCTCGACGCTCTCATCCTTCCTGCGTTTGTCGCTTGCGATGGTGTTGTGGGGCAAGGACTTCAATGGCTGGAAGCGCGGAGGATGAATTGCCCGAAGCGCTCTCGCCGTGCAGTGCTCGCCGGCTCCAACCCTTCCTTGCTCGTTCTTTTCCGCGACACCTACGGCTGTCGAAGGCGGCCACGCCTGTCGCCGGCGAAGAGGCTGCTAGGCCGTCGAGCTGCTCCACTTTCCGGCCGACATCGTGGGACATCTCGCAAGTCCTTTCGATACTCCGCTGTAGTCTTCCCTCCTTGCCTCTTCTCGTCCCTCCTCCTCTGGCTTTCCTCGCCTACGGGTGGCGTGCTCTGCCGAATCTCTGTCCCTTCTCTCGGTGTGCGCTGCGTGTGGGAGGGGAGTGGACCCCGTAACGAGAGGTGAGACGGGTCTTGTTCCAGCGCCAACTCCTCTTCCCCTTGTAACGTCGTCCTTCTACCGCAAGACTCGCTGTGTTGCACTCGACGCCTACGGTAAGAGCGCACGCAGGCTCGAGTGGTCGCCGACAGCCTCTTTGCTCTGCAGAGTCGCGACCGCCGCCCTGCGAAGACGCTCAAAGAGACGTCAACCAGCTTTCGCAGCGCAGGAAGAGATGCAACTCACCTCTGACCGACGTCGACGAGACGATCGAGCTCGTGCGGTATGAACGGCGACAGCCCGCGCACGAGGCCAGCGAGGATGGCGCCCGCAAGGTTGTCTCCCGCGCCCGTGACCGTGCCAACTTGTCGCTCGTCGAGCTCGAGGGCGGGGTAGTGTCGCAAGACGATTGCCTCGCTCGGCTGGCTGCTGCGGACAACGACGGTGCCCTTGCGCGAGGGAAGTGACGACCACGCTGCGACGTTGTCGACCCCCGAAACTCGTTGGACGACGAGGACGCCCCGCGAGCCGCTCTTGATGAACAACGAGCCAAAGAGCGATGTCGAAATGAGACGGACAGCCATCTGCGCGACGCCTTCGTCGATGACCCATTTCGGCAAACGAAGCGAGAGGTCGTGCGCAGGGACGGTGACATGGTCGAACCACGGCGCCGAGTTGTACAGCGGGTGGTCGGAGAAGGCGATGTGTTGGTAGAGATGCGAAAGTTCGTGAATATTGGGTGCTGAGAAAGAGACGTAGGACGAGGTTGCGGGGAGGATGGATGCGAGTTGAGGCTTCTTCTCGAGTGCGCGGAGGAGCTGGAGGGCTTTGGCGTTTGAGGTCGGTTCGAAGAAGGCTACATATGCAGCGCAATCAGTGATAGGTCGAGGGAAGCGCGAGCAAGGGCTCACTTGAGATACTTCGGTCGAGGCAGTGCGTGACGAGGTCTGCGATCGCCTCCTGCGAGAGGTTGCCGTCAAAGCAAACAAGCTTCGGCGAAGCAGACTGTATCCTCTCGAGGATCTGTAAGGCCGGAGGTCAGCAAGTCCCGGCGCGAGTTCGCATACGCAGCTCACCTCCTTCCCGCGCAACTCGGTCGCGATACCCATATCCGCGATCCCTCCAAGGAGGTCGCCCTTCTCGTCAAGCAAGATCCCGCATGTAGCCGTTCCGCTCGTGGACGTCGAGATGAGTCCGTCGTCTCGCATTCCTCGCTTCGCCAGCCCGCTCTTCGCAACGCCTCCGAGCAAGTCATCCGCAACAGGCGCGACGAGCATGACTTCGTTCTTGCTCGTATCGGAGAGAAGGGAGTGAGCTGCGCCGGCAACATTGCCTGCGACGCCTCCGAGCGTGAGCGAGACCGTGCCAGGCGCGGTCGTCTGGAGAGGCGAGGACGACGAAGGATGCATCGTGATGTCGACAGCAAGTACACCTGCGACGACAAGCGATGCCGGAGGAGTAGGAGTGTCACTTGCAACGGCAGCTGTAGGAGCGGCGGGTGCCGAGGCGGAAGCTGAGGGCAAAGGTGCGGGCATGAAGACGGAACTTGCGGGCGAACTCTGCCGAACCGAGGATGCGTGATTCAGTATGCATTCCAGTCTAGTCGTTGAAGCTCTATAGAGAGAGAAAGTTCCGTCACACCTCTTTCAACAGCCTGGCGTACTCGAGCGCGATCTCCCCGCCGACCCTGACGTTGTTCCGGATGAGCGCCTTGTCTGTCGCGAAGATTCAGCGCCACACGTCAAATGAGGGAGAGAAAGCGACGCACTGCTCTCGAGCGACTTCCCCTGTGACAGCTCCGCAACTCGTCCAAGAAGCCAGGGCGTGACCTGTTTCCCGCTCTTGGCCATCCCATTCTCCACGCTCTCCGCCACCGCCTGATCCACCGCGCGCTGCAACTCCTCGCCGATATCGTGGTACTCCGCTGGTATAGGGTTGCCGAGGAGGAGCGAAGACGGCAGTCCCAGCTTGTCCGTCATGATGATCGTTTCTGCGACCTCGCGTGCCGAATCCAGGTTCATCGGCGCCTTGAAGCCCGATTCGGCCGTGTAGAAGGCGGGCCATTCTCGGTCGGCAGTCTTGTAGACTGCGACGGGAACGGCGTGCGCCTCGAGGTACTCGAGCGTCAAGCCGATGTCGAGGATGGATTTGCTGCCGGCGCAGACGACCGCGACGGGTGTGTCACTCAGCGAGATGAGATCAGACGAGATGTCGAAGCCTGCGAAAGAAAGATCAGCAAGCTGCAAGGGAGCCAGAGTGCAGATTTGGACGCACTCGTCTCCGCCCCTCGGTGAACTCCGCCGATTCCGCCGGTCGAGAAGATCTTGATGCCCGCCAGGTGTGCGACCGCCATCGTGCCCGAGACCGTCGTCCCTCCGTCTAACCGCTGCTTACAAACAAAGGTCAGCTCCCCAGTCTTGCTCACCGTTGTCGCACGCACCTTGACCACCGCGGCTGCCAACTCTCTCCGCCCGACCTTCCACATCTTCTCCGCCATAGCCTTGTCTTTCCGCGCCTCCCAGCCCCGCTCAGCGAGATAGTCGAGGTCCTCCTCCTCCAAGCCGACCTTGATTCGCCCATTCAGGATGGCAATGGTCGCGGGGGTCACGCCTTGGCCGCGGAGAATGGCTTCGCATTCTTTCGGGAGCGAGGCAGAGTGCGGCGGTGGCAGTCCTGTCGAGCGATTCCTTCATCAGTTTGAGCAGGTGGGGAGGGAGAGGGTCGGTGACAACGCACCGTGGGTGACAAGCGTAGACTCGAGAGCGACGATAGCACGCCCTTCAGCCTTGGCCTGCGCGACTTCGGGCGCAATATCGAGGGGGAGACCAGCGAGCGAACGAGGACCGGACCAAGTCGATGGCGAGGAAGTCGTTGAGAACGGGCGAGCGCGTGGTCGACGTGCGGCTGTACGCAGAGCAGTTCTAGGGAGCATCTTGACGTCCGTAGCCAGCCAGAAGGGTTGGCGCGAGGAGGACGAGGTTGACCTTCGCAGGCGACGGGCGAGAGGGACGGGCGAGCCGAGATACGCTCCCCTTTGCTTTCGTGGGCGCTCTGTTTTACTGACGCTAGTCTGTCTTGACTTGTTCGGAATGTCGACGCTGCGAGCCTTGCGAGAAAAGACGGAAGAGACGGAGAGGAGAAAGGAAGCCCTTGCATCATCCCATCCGTCGTTAGAGCGGGTCGCTCCTCTGATCGTCCTACAGGCTCTTCTCCAGCTCAACGGTTGTCGGAAGCGGCTCGCGAGGCGTCACCGTCGTCCAGCGAGTCCTCTCCGACGTCGATAACATCGCATCTGGTCCTCCGTTCCCTCTCGCAAGGGCACCGTAGTTGTTAGGCAGCACCCATTCGAGCGACGCAGTGGGAAGTGCCAACTAGCCCGCCCTCGAGCTCGACAAGCGACAGATCGGGACCGTTATTGTCGAAGGAGACCCTCGCAGGCGCGATGCTCGCCGGACTCCTCAGCGCAGGGTGTCGCCCTTTGTGCCGCAGGACTTGGATTGACTTGTTGACGTGGGTCGGAGGTAAGGCGCGACCACTGGCAGGGGTCAAGAATGTGCTTGAGGTCGAGCTGGTGCATGCTCTTTGTCACCGCCGCGACGTGCGATTGCGACGTCGAGATCTGACCGTAGGACTGCTTGAGGATGTTCCAGGCGGTGGATGCGCTCGTCGTCTCGTTGATGAGGTTCCTCGCCTTGCCAGCGACGTTGAGCGAGATGTACCAGTACGCCTCGCGGTCTTTCTCGTCCCGGGCCTCCTGCGACGCCTTGGCCCAGACCCGATTCTGCTCAGAGTCCTCGGTCGGAGTCGTCGGACGTGGCTCGGTGCCAAAGACCCACTTGTCCCACTTGTTCAGGTGGATGGCCGCCCGCATCGTATCGTGCCACGCCCGGTAGTCATCTTGGCCTCGTAACGGGTCGATCTTGATCCTCCCGAGGTTCGGCGGTGCCGACATCGTCGAGACGTATCGGCGGAGAAACCGCGGAACGGGGAGGAGGAGTAGGGAGGAGCGGGAGAAGCGGATGGGATGGGTTGGTTGCTAGTCGTGTACCGACTCGGGCGCAAAACCTGTACGCTGAAGACGTTCTAGCAGCTCTGTAGCGTGCGAGAAGCGAGTCCTTCAGCGTCGGTGAGAATCGCTCAGGCGAGGAAGAGAGAGCAACAACTCGGTGAAGGGTCAGCAGGAGGTGTGTGCGTCTGCCGAGCGCAAGTCCGGCGCTCGCCTCGCGAGTCCTCTCGTACGCAGCGGGAGCCGAGAGAAGTGACAGAGATTTGACAGAGCACGCGCACTAGAAGGCGAAGAAAGCGAGATGTTCGAAGAAGAACGAGAAGAAGGAAGGACTACGGCGGAGGTGTAGAAGTAGCTTGCGACGTCCGCTTCGTTAGGTGACGCGAACTCGACGCTTAAGCAGCGTCCTCGCCAGCAACAGGCTTGGCCTCCTCCTCAGCCTTGGGTGCCTCCTGCTGGGCAGGCTCCTCCGCCGACAAGTCCGACGTCCACAACGTGAGGTTGTCCCGCAAGAGCTGCATGATGAGCGTCGAGTCCTTGTAGCTCTCCTCCGAAAGCGTGTCGAGCTCGGCGATGGCGTCGTCGAACGCCGTCTTGGCGAGGTGGCACGCCTTCTCCGGCGAGTTGAGGATCTCGTAGTAGAAGACGGAGAAGTTGAGCGCGAGACCGAGGCGGATCGGGTGGGTAGGCGCGAGCTCAGAGGTGGCAATCTCGGACGCGGTCTTGTCTGTAAAGCGGAGGAGGGGTCAGTTTCAGCAACGTTCGCCACGTCCTGCCAACACCCTCCGTCTAAGCAGATCGCCAACTCACAGGCCTCGTGGGCAGCGTCGGACGCCTTCTGGCGCTGGTCACCGGCCGCAAACTCGGCGAGGTAGCGGTGGTAGTCGCCCTTCATCTTGTGGTAGAAGACCTGTTCGCTTCCGACGTCAGCGGCCCGCTCGAACGCGTCCCAATCCACTCGGTACGCACCTTGGACTCGCCCGACTGGGCGGCGGGGATGAGGTGCTTGTCGAGAACGTCGAGGATGTCGTTGCAGACATCCGACAGCTCGCCCTCGACCTTCTCGCGGTACGCCTTGATCTTGGACACCTGGCTCGAGTTGCCCTTCGCCTCCTCCTTCTGCTCGATCGACGAGATGATGCGCCACGACGCGCGACGGGCGCCGATAACGTTCTTGTACGAGACCGAAAGGAGGTTGCGCTCCTCGACCGTGAGCTCGACGCCGAGCTTGGCGACCTCCTTCATCTCGTTAACCATCTGCGAGGCAGGCACGCAATCAGCCAGCCGTTTATCAGGGGCCGACTCGAGCCCACCACCGCCTCGAGTGGGTACTCCAACAGACGGTGACAGGGCTTCGCAGTCGTCAACCCGGGACTTACTTCGTCGTAACGCTCGGCCCTGCAAAGAGAACGACCATGCAAGTCAGCACGCGAACGGTGAACGGGGAGAAGGTGCTCATCGCGGGTGCTCCGCCCCCAGACAAGGACGCGCCAACACGCTCGTCTCGCTTCCAAGCCACTCCTCCACCTCGCGCGGGTCCCAGACCGCGTCCACCATGCAAAGATAGCCCTGTCCGACCGTTCAAGCCCGCGAGCGAGGCAGCTCAAGTGCTGTTCGCGCAGTAGAACCTCGTCGTGTCGCCCGACCCAATGCGGCAGGCGTGTGGGCAGGCTGGGAGGCGCGCGCGAGCGGGGAGAGGGACTGCGAGACTGACTGCTCCGAGATGCGGGCCATGTAGACGTGGGCCTCGCGGCTGCTGGATCCTTCGGCGGCCATTGCTCGTGGATGGGTCGGGGGGTGGGTGGGAGCGGGGAGAGAGGCGGAGCGACGGAGACGGGAAGCTCTGCGCGCGTGCCGTTGAGTTCGCTGGTCAGTCCTGCGTGCTCTGGCAATCGATGCGAGCCTCAGCGCTGTCCCTCACGAGTTTGAGCGGTCGAGTGAGCGAGAGAGGTCCGTTGGCTGGCGACGACGAGACGAGGTCGCGCGCGCGCTCACCGCAAGAGGGCTCGCTCGAGACGCAGCTGCATTCACACGCTTTCGTTCTGTCTGTCTGTCGCACTCGGGCAGTCCAACTGCGCCGAGCGAGCGAGCTGTCGTCGTTGAGACAGCCTCTCTCGCCCTCTTCCCTCGCTGCAAGCGGGAAACGGCCGGCATGGATGGTCTGCACTTTTAAAGACAGCTACAATCCCATTGGAAGCAGCGCACCCTGTCACGAGCGGGTGTGCCGTGCGATAAGTCCGCTGGCAGAGCCACCCTCCCGCTCGTTCGCTCGCTCCTGACACTCGCTAGGAATGGCTGCTCGACCAACTGCTGTCCAGGCAACTGCTCGTGCGCTCAAGCGCACCGTCCAACCAACGGCCCGCGCCGCCGTCGCCACCGCCTCCTCCTCCGTCCGCATCCTCGCTTCGGACCGTCGTTACCTCCCCTCGTCGAGCTCTGCGTCGCTTGCGCACGCTCGTGCATTCTCGACCACCCCTGCACGCTCCGCAGAGCGACCCGCGCGCCGGCCCGACTTCAAGAAGCTCGACGCAGACGACGTCGCCTACTTCAAGTCGGTCCTCTCGTCGCCCTCGTCGCTCGTGACGACCATCCCTTCGCCCGACGGTTCCTGGCAGGCGGCGAGCGAAGACGATTTGGTCGGGTACAATGTCGACTGGATGGACAAGTACAAGGGCAACTCGCCTGTCCTCCTCAAGCCAAAGACGACCGACGAGGTCTCGAAGATCCTGGCGTACTGCTACAAGAAGCGGATTGCGGTCGTCCCGCAGGGTGGAAACACCGGTCTCGTCGGCGGAGGCGTTCCCCTCTACGACGAGCTCATCCTTTCGACCGAGGGCATGAACCAGGTTCGCGCCTTTGACGACGTCTCCGGTGCGTAGGGCGCCCCTTCCTACGGTGAAGACGACCTCCGACTGACACTCTCTCATGCACAGGCATCTTGACCGCCGACGCCGGCTGCATCCTCGAGAACCTCTCGAACTTCCTCCACCCGAAAGGCTACATGATGCCGCTCGACCTCGGCGCAAAGGGCTCATGCCACATCGGCGGCAACGTCGCGACGAACGCCGGCGGCTTGCGCCTCTTGCGGTATGGCAGTCTGCATGGGACGGTGTTGGGTATCGAGGCAGTCTTGCCAGATGAGAAGGGGACGGTCTTGAGTGTGAACATGCCGGGAGGTGGTGGAGCGGGCGCGCTGAGGAAGGACAACACCGGTGCGTACGAAGAACGAGCGTCTTTGCGATCTGCGCTGACTTTGCTCCGTCCGCAGGCTACGACCTCAAGCAGCTCTTCATCGGTTCAGAGGGCACGCTCGGCGTCATCACCGGCGTCTCCATCCTCACTCCTCGGCTACCCAGCGTGAGTTGAGGCTGCCAGCCTGTGTTTCACCGCTCGGTCTCTCTGTTCCTGCGGGTGCTGATGCCATCTTCCCCTTGCAGGCCATCAACGTTGCCGTCCTCTCCGTTCCCGACTTCAAGTCCGTCCAAACGGTCTTCAAGGAGACGCGCGCACAGCTCGGCGAGATCCTCTCTGCATTCGAGTTCTTTGACCAGGAGGGACTCGAGATGGTCCTCCACCACACGGGCGCCAAGTCGCCTTTCGAGACGGAGCCTGAGAACGGACGGGCGTTCTATGTCCTGATCGAGACGAGCGGGAGCAACAAGGACCACGACGACGAGGTTCGTTCGAATCCTCGCCTCCATCCTCAGCTTGGCTGACCTCCTACGCGGCATAGAAACTCGGTGGCCTGCTCGAATCGCTTCTCGAGAACGAGACCATCACCGACGGCACCCTTGCACAAGACGAGACCCAAGTTCAGTCGCTCTGGTCGCTGCGCGAGTCGCTCCCCGAGGCGGCGGGCAAGATGGGCCGCGTGTACAAGTACGACTTGTCCATGCCGGTCAAGGACATGTACTCGCTTGTCGAGGAGGCGAGGGAGCGGTTCAAGGAGAAGGGGCTGGACAAGGACGGGAGCATCAAGACGACGGTCGGGTACGGCCACATCGGTGACGGTGCGTTGTGGCTTATTCCCGTTTCTCGAGTGCAACAGACGTTGATCTCTCGTGCGGTTGCAGGCAACCTGCACATCAACATCGTCGCGAAGGACTGGGACGAGAAGGTCGAGAAAGTGATTGAGCCGTGGATCTACGAGGCGACCTGTGCGTGCTCTCCTTTTTTCCGCGCGCGAATCCAGCGTGTGAAGGGTGCATACAGCTATCTGAAGGGCGCGGGAGTAGTCTGGCGGTCGCTACCGCCTCGAAACCCGTCCGTTTCGCTTCCTCTTCGCAGGGATTGACCTCCGCTCGCTCCCACAGCCAAGCGCAATGGTTCTATCTCAGCTGAACATGGAGTGGGGATTATGAAGGCGAATATGCTGGAATACTCGAAGACGGAAGCCGCCATCGGCGTCATGCAGCAGATCCGCCGCCTCTTCGACCCGAGGGGCATCCTCATGCCGTCGAAGTACCTGCCGATGGAGAGCGAGGCGCCATTCGAGCAGGAGAAGAAGGAGCACGTCGGTGCGGAGCAGTAGAAGCGTGTGTAATGCTGCAGCAGTCAGCGGTAGAGCGAGACCCCGTCCCGTCTGCCTTTGTGCCGAGTCGGGAGTCCCCACTGCGTCTCTCAGAGTGCTCTCGTGCTCGCCGTCAGATGCTAGACACTAGAATGCGAACGAGAGAATGCTTGCAATCCCGCCAAACGTCCGTCCACCGCCCAACTTCCTGCCTCCTCCGACTTCCCTCCCATCCCTCCTTACAAGATCTTCTCCTCGGGCATAGCTCCCGCCTCAGCCCTTTCGCGGTGAATCTCCCTCCGGAACGACGCGTAGCATTCTCGGCAAATGTGGTGGGCGAGTTTGGGTGCGCCGCAGCCGGGGCACGAGACGAGGTCTGGCGGGGAGAGCGGCGAAAGCAATCGAGAGGTGAGCTCGAGTCCTGCAGTGCTCCTGTGCATCTGAGAGAGCAGTGTACGCACTCTGCTTCTCCTTGAGACCCTTGTGCGCACTCCTCATCCGCTTCGCCGAGTGGGTCGTCCGGCTCTTCGGCGCCGCCCACAAGATCGGAGGAAGGAGGTCTCGCAAGCCAGCGAGAGTGTCGGAGACGAGGTTGGCGAGAGAAGGAAGGGCGTACGTGGGGAGTGCGGGTGCGGAAACGGCGAGTGAAGGAAGGGAGGAGGGCGAGGAGCGGAAGAGGGAGAGGACGAGCTGGTGGGCTGGTCGGGGCGCTTGACGGAGTGCAGGGAGTGCAAGAGTGGCCATCGTGGCTCTAGGGCGGTCGCGCGTATGGGCGTCGCGGAGGTAGAGTGCGGGATCCTCTCGAGGAGATGAAAGTCGACGGCTCGGGTTACGCCGCGGGTGGGCGATTGGCGGCGGCTTAGAAAGGTGTTTTGGGCTACTCGTGAGCTTGCTGATGGTTCGGCAAGACAATCTGAGCGGTGATGAGTCTTGACGGCGGCGAAGCTCTGCTCGAGGAGGCAGAAGACGGCCTGGTGTCCCAAAGCTTTTTGCTGAGCGCGCAGAACGTCGTACGACACACTCAAAGAGCACTACACACGCGCACAGCTTGTCACGAAAAAGAAGCCAGCTTGCGCCCGTCCGCGCGCTCCGTCGCTCGCAGAAACGCTGCGAGCTGAACAATGCTGTATACGACAGGGAAGTAGGTCCTGAACCGCCCGTCTACGCCGACAGAGTCTCGACAACTGCCTCGCGCAGCTGCGCCGTCTCGTCCAAACCCGCCTTTTCCGCGTCCCGGGCCTTCTCCTCGGGCGTTTTCAAGTGTTCCGGCTTGGGCGTGTACTTCTTGACCTTCTTCTTCGCCGGAACCTGCTTGACCTCGACCGGGTAGGCCCGCTTCTCCGCCTCCTGGAACTCCTGGCTCCCGTCGAACTCGGCCTGGATGGGCGCGAGGAGCGCGTTGATGGCCTGCACCGTCGCGTTCTTCAGGTCGCCAGGGTGCACCTCGCCCTTGGCGTAGGCGTCGTCGAGCTCGTCGACCGTGCGGAAGTGGCGGACCGAGCCGCCAAACTTGGGGTCGCCCTTGATGGTCAAAACGGCGTCCGCGGGCGCATCACCCTCGACCCAGGGACGAGCATCGGCGCGACCCTGGCCCTTGAAAAGCTCGCCGATGGGCACGACGACGTGGCGGATGAAGGCGAGGACACCGTTACCCTCGACCTCGCCAGGGGCGCAGTGCGCCTTTTGGATTTTGCTCTTGACGGCGGAGGGCGAGTCGAGGAAGTCGATCTTCGAGTTGGGGTCGGACGACGACATCTTGCCGCCCGAGAGACCGGGAACCATGAGGTTCATCAAGTGCGAGCGCTTCTTGTAGCCGATCTTGGGGAGGTAAGCCTCGGCGTAGGTGAAGATTTTCCGCTGATCGACGCCTCCGAACTGGAAATCGACGCCGAGGTACTCCTCGTCGAGCGCCTGGAGGAGAGGGTAGAGGAGGCCGGAGAGCAGAGGCGACGAGACCTGCTTGACGACTTCCGCTCCGGCCTTGCGCGCATCGTGCTCAGTCGTGATGGCAGACATCTTGTACTTGTCGAGGTTGTAGTTGGCGGTGTACTGGTACGACGAGCCGACGACGAACTTGAGACGGTCGAGGGGGAGGTTGAGTGAGCGGAAGACGGCGGTGATCAGGCGGCGGTAGTAGTCGACTCGTGCTTCGACGAGCTCGATGGGCGCCTTCAAGTTGTCGAGGAAAGCGTGAACATCTGCGAGGCGAGTCAACCTGGGTCAGAGGAGGGACGGAGGATGGGGAGAGGTCCTTAAGGCTTGACAGCCGACGCACCGGCGAGCAAGACCTTGACCTCGACATTCGCTGTCAAAAAGTCGGCAATCTTGGCCAGAGGTACGAAGTAGCCGAGATGGGCTGTGGAAGTCGGGAAGGAGAGGTCAGCCCTACACTGCGGCTCGTAGGGCTACAGGGCCCCAGCACCACGCTGACCCGAGAGAGCGCAGGCGGACTCACGTCGACCGGTCGGCGCCGTTCCCCAGTACGCAACGAGATCCCGCTCCTCCAGCAGCGCCTTGAGCTGCTCGGCGCCCAGCACCTCCCCCAAGTTTTGCGTGATGAGCTGGAACTTCTCTGCCGGAGTCCTGTGATCCCATCACGAGTAGTCCAGGCGGTGCAGAGCGAGGACGGTGCGTAGGAGAGCGCGACATCAGTCAGGAGATGAGAGTGAGCGAGGAGGCCGGAACGGGACGTACAGCTTTGCGGCGGTCGCGGGAGGCACAGGCAGGGTCCCTTGCGGAGCGTCGGCCATCCTGAGCAGTCTAGAGCGGAGAGCGAGCGAAGGTGCGGAGCGAGACCGTCTTCAGGCATTTGGATCGCGAGGCGAAGGTGCGCAAACTCGCGGGAGGAGCTGAGCTGGGCTCGCTGGGCCCTCTCAAAGGTCAACAGGGTGGACGTGCCAAGCGGGAATACATTACGACTCGAGGAGGTGCGACTCTAGGACGGACAGCGGAGGGTAAACGAGGAAACGGCTCTATGGGCGGGCGGTACGGCTAAAAGGAGCGGATGCTGGGGGCTCAAGCGAAAGGACGAAAGGAATTGAAGGATTGTCTGTCCGGAAGAGAAGGGGGGCGGTCCGAACCAATCATTGCGCCTTCTTCGCCTTCTTCGCCTCGGCCTGCGCTTTGCGGTACGCGTGGTACTTCTTGTCGGTGCCGAGAAGCCTGCGAAATGCGTTGAGAGTCAGCACGAGGCCCAGAGAGGCGGTTGAGGCGCGACGAAGGCGCAACAGAGACCGGAAACGGTGTCTCGAGGCCCCAGATCGCCTCGAAACGTCGAAACTCACCAGTCCCACACCCTCATACTCGAACTGTAACACTCGGTGAACTTCTCGTGGCTGGCAGCGCAAAAGAACGAGTCAGAGAGCCCAGAGAGACTCGAGAAGCGCCAAAAGGCGACGCACTGGTAGTCATGGTGCTCAGCGCCGGCCCAGATGGGCAGCCAGTGGTTGAGCGACCAAGGGAAGTCGTAGCCAGAGTGGGCGTCAACAGCCTGGAAGAGGCGGCAGCAGATCCAAGTGTACTGTCGGCGCCAGCGACTCCGTCAGCGGGACTTTCGGGGGAGGGGGAGGGACGCGACGCACCATGGTGATCAGGTGCATGTTACCGCCGGTCAGGTAGCACCAGAGCAGAGGACCGCCGACTGTTCCGAGACCGAGAACGAGGACTTCGATAGGGTGGGCGTACTCGGCGGCGAGGCCGAAGGGCGCGGAGTAGGTGTGGTGGACTGCGGGTCGCAAGACGACTTAGTTGGGTAGCTGGGACGGTGGAGAGAGACGGTAGACGGACCCTTGTGGACGTGCTTGTAGAGAGCGCTGTGAGGACAATGGGGTCAGCATGGACCGAGACTGCCGATCAGCGCCGCTACGTACCGGTGGTGCATGATGCGGTGAACAGTGTAGTGCCAGAAGTCCTCCATGAAGAAGAAGAGCATGACCTGCGTGCGCGAGATTGTCAGATCCAGGCGAGAAAAGCAAAGCGGGAGATGAGACGCACCTGCGGCACGATCTGGCCAAAGAACGACGGGAACGGGACTTCCCACGTCTTCATGCCGACTGCGACAGCCATGGGGTGGAAGAGGTAAATCTACGGGACGATGGTCAGCTTTCGCAAGAGGAAGAATGGCTCGACCGCAACGCACCTGAGGCAGCTCGACCGAGAAGTGCGTCTTCAGCACCTCCTTCGTGCACTCCCACTGCTGCTTCGCCGAAGGAACCTTGTCCTGCAAGATGAGAGAGGATCAGGGCAAGTTGTGGAAGGAGAGTGAGCGGGACTGCGACGGACCGCCTGCAGCTTGTACTGCTTGAACCATCCCATGTAGTCGATGATCATCCATGGCAAACACCGGCCGAAGTAGACGACCTGCACGAGCGATCTCGATGTAAGCGGAGTGCCCAACAATCGAAGGGGTGCGAGTCGCTGCCGACGTCGTGGCGCTCGGATGTTTCGGCGAGGACGCGCCGAATGCACGCAGGTGAACGGAGAGGAGACTCGCCTCGTGCATGACGAACGACATGATGCCGGTCGCGAGCTGTTTCGAGGTGCGGTGCGAGCGGAGGTGAGCACTGCATCCTCATCGCTCGCAGGAATCGGCTCTGTACGCACGGTGGTGTTTCCGACCCAGGAGTACCAGTTCATCCACGCCACCTCGAGCCAGTTGAGCTGGGCGGGGTTGACACCCGCGTACAGTCCGGCGACATCGTTCTGCTGTGTGCTCTTGATAAAGTCGCGGACGAGCACTGTGCCGTTGTTGAGCGCCTGTTCAAACACTGTCGCCATCGTGGCAGCACACACAAAGCTGAAAGGAACGAGCGAGAGAGCGACGGCGGCGAAAGTGGTTCGAGCAAGTCGACCTGCGCCACACGCGAGTCGGTCCGACAGACAATCCGCGAGCACAAATCCGAGCAGCCGCGATTGGCGCACAGCAGCATCCTGGCGAAGCACAGCGAAGAGCATCGCAGCACGGCGCTCGCTGTTGTCGTAGTAGCGTAGCGAAGTCGCTGACCGAGTCTCGGAGCGAGAGAGGGTGGAACGACGAGAGTCGCATGCGAAGGAGAGAGGGGTATCGAGGCGGCAGGTTCGTACAACAGGCGGGATATGCTGGCGTGAATGGCGAAGTGTCACTGCGCGTACTCGAACTTGATGCGCGAGAGGAGGGCAGGCAGCGAGGCGAGTTGCGGGCCGTATCTGCCAGCGGGAAGTCGTCAGGAGGCGTTCCGTGGGCCAAGAAGCCTCGCACGCACCGCACAGCGTTGTCATACAGCTCGAAGAGCGGAAGCGCAACGAGCTTCATGTTCTTCGGGACGGTCAGGACCTCTGCGCGAAGAGTGTTAGCGACGATCGAGAAACGAGTAAGGGCGACACGCACGGCGCTCGGGCATCTGCATCAGATACCACGTCTTGATCTCCTTGGGCTTTGTAATGTGTCTGCGAGCGGGAAGAATGCGGTGAGGATGAGCGGCGGACAGTGAGTTTAAGGAAGAACTCACGCGGGCATGTAGGGGTACTGCGGGGCACAACGAGTCAGCGCGCGCTCCACAGCAGCACAGTGAGTTTGCGCACCATGAAGGACTCGAAATTCGGGCGGAAGTACTGCCCAATCGCCTCTCCGACCTGCCAATCCTCCGGTCCTGGCAGCTCCGACCCGTTCATCGCCGCGTCGCCCGCACTCTCCGGCCCCAGCTTCTCATGCATGCGCATCTTGAGACCCTCCTCGTTTGACTCCTGCGGTTTCAGGTAGTCACCCGGGAGCTTGAAGAAGGCGTTGGCGATTTGGAGGAGGAGAACGTGCGGGTGTCCGTGTTCGTGGACAACCATGACCCCCTCGACCGTCCGCCTCATGCCGTACTGCGCATAGTCGGATTCGCTGCGAGCCCGTACGAGTCGTCCAGGTCAGCCTCGCCAAACCCTCCTCGAGCGAGAGGAGAAGAAGGATACGCACAGCCTCTGCAAACGCGCAACGACGGAGGGGTCCTCGTCCACCTGGGCCTCCTTGGTCGCAAAGCTGTAGTCTGCACCGCGCAACGAGCCGCCGACGAGTCAGTTGGCCTGGGTGGGGCTTCGAAACTGATGAGGAGGGAAAGCGAGGGCGCACTGCTCAGCGGGTAGCTGTGGCGGGGTCAGAGACGTCAGTAGGGCTACGAGGACTGCTCACGACCGCACTCACACCTTGAGCGTCGACATGGTGCGAGCTGGTCCTGACTGAGTTTCGTCCTCGTCTCTCTGCCTCGTCCACACCGCTTGCTTCCCGTTTACGCTGCGCTTGACTGGCTGAAATAGTTTCGCAGACGCTCTTCAACCAACCATGCATCCGCAAATCGCTGGAGCAACTTCCGCCGCCGCGTCCTCAACGACAGCTCCTCCCGTTCCAACCGCGACTCTTCCGCCTGCACAGCTCGAGTCTGGCTCTGGGCTTGAGGAAGCTTTTGCGGTATGTCACGACGGCTGGGGCCGAATGAACGGCGGGCTGCTCAGAAAGACCAGCACCGTCCAAGTACCTTACGTCCGCCTGCGCGTGCCGCCGTACGACAAACACCTCGTCCTGGTCCGTGACGTCTACACGGAGATATACGCTTGGCTCTGCAAGAAGATGGAGGAGATGCGGAGCCTCGAGCGCTCGGCAGCTGTCCACCTTGTTGTTTCCGGTCGCGCTGGCATCGGCGAGTAGACGTGTTTCAGCCGCTCATCATGATTCCTGCTGATGCCTGTACCTACAGGCAAATCGTCCATCATCCCGTACCTGCAAGCAGCCCTGTTGGAACAGAGTCGACCGGTCTTCTACCACGTCCTCGGCAGCGACAAGGTCGTCCTCTACAATGGCACGGCAAGCGCGGTGTGGACGAAGCCCGCCTTCGCTAATCTTACACCTTACCCACCTGTCGTCTGCCTCGTCGATGCCAAGGGCACATCGTGCGCCAGCGAATCGCAGGACATCTGGGAGAACAGGAACGTTCTCTACGTTCTTGCGGCTTCGCATCAGCAGGCGCCACACAAGGCCTTAGAGAAGACGCACGGCGACACATACTACTGGACACTGCCATGCGCGGGCAAGGAGGAGGTTGAGAACATTCTGTGAGCTGGCGCTGCATTTCTATCCGCCGACTCGTCAACTAACTGCCACCACTTCCACAGCCTCTTGAGACGCCTCCTTGAAGTCTCTACTACCAAGGAGATCACTGTGACCACCGAATTCTTCCGGCTCAGCGACCACCTTTACCCGACCGCAGGTCTTTCCGGAGGAGCTGCCTACGATGCCAGTCGCACCGGCATTCGATTCAGGGATTTCAACAACTATCATCAAGCCAGCAAGCTGCGCTCATCCGCACATGCCAAGGAGTATCTGGAAGAGCTGCACCCACAGGCGAGCCTTGAGATCGACATTGGCGGCGACTGTTTCTACGTCAAGCCAGGTGACTACTTCACTCCGCTAGAGATTCATCACCTCCTCGGCCCAAGCTTCAGGCTCTGCTTGGACACGCAGACCAAGAAGGGCGCCAACCCTGGCGACGAGCTCCGCAGCTTCATCAAGCTCTCCTCCTTCCCGCTCCGCCACTACATCGACCTGTTCAGCGGTGCTGCATTTGATCCTGCAGATGAGCCTGGCGGTCATCATCTCTTTAGCTACGAGATGCCGCATAGGTCGCAACCCTCAGGTGGACACCCGAGTTCTGCAAGGGTGATGCCGACCCGCTTCCTCTGGGCAGCGCTTCGCGAACGCCTCACGGACTTGACCTTGTAGCTTAGATGCACTGGCCGCGTCCTGCCGAATGCCGCAGCGCCTCTCTCGCCCTCTTCGGCGTTGCTCCTCTCCTCACCCTGCGTGGTGCCACTTCCGCTTCCGGTGGCCTGCTTGTTACCTCTTCCCTTCACCATATGCACTGCATAAGTTGACCCAGATTGTGCCGGCTTGCACCGGCTTGCAGCAGCAAAACGGAGCGATGAGAACATTGCGGGCGCAGTGAGGGAAAGAGAGGCGCAGACGCCGCGCATTTTCGTCGACAAGTCAGAGTTGCTCGCTGTTGAGGATCTCAATGGAAGAAGGCGAATTGAAAGTTGCATGCGCAGAGCGGACGATACGGGGCCAGCAGGATCGGGCGATAGCGCAGGGGCCGGTAGATGTGCCGTGAAGGACTCCGCGAGCAAGTTGGAAGCGCGAGAGAAGACAGAGCGAGTTGCTGGCCGTATCTGCGGCGAAGTCAGCTTCGCCAGGCCCCCTCGAGCAAGACGAGGAGAAGGAGACGCACAGTCTCTGCAGACGCGCGACGACGGACGGGTCCTCGTCCACCTGTGCCTCCTTGGTCGCAAAGCTGTAGTCTGCACCGCGCAACGAGCCGCCGACGAGTCAGACTGAACTGGGTGGGGCTTCGAAACTGATGAGGAGCGAGAGGGAGGGCGCACTGCTCAGCGGGTAGCTGTGGCGGGATCAGAGACGTCAGTAGGGCTACGAGGACTGCTCACGGTCATACTCACACCTTGAGCGTCGACATGGTGCGAGCTGGTCCTAACTGAGTTTCGTCCTCGTCTCTTTCTCTCGTCCACACCGCTCGTTTCCCGTTTACGCTGCGCTTGACGGCTACTGCTAGGGTCCCCGAGTGATTGGATCGAACATGGACCCACAGAGCGCTGCGCCGGCTGCCATCGCCTCCTCCTCCCCCCCTCCCGCACCTCCCGTCTCAACCGCGACACCCGTCGCCGAACCATTCAAGAGCGTGAAAGAGAGCGACCTAGCTCTCGCGGCCGCCCAAGAGGCGTCGGGCCGGCCGAATGGCGGCGTCTACATGAAGGACGACGGCGTCGGCGTTCCCTACCTCCGCGTCCGGACGCCGCAGTACAACTACATCGTCATGATTCGCGACGTACACACGCAGATCTATGCGTGGGTTGCTGCGCGGTTGGAGGAGATGCGTGCTGTCCACGATGCAGGCGGGAATTCGCCTGCTGTTCGGCTTGTCCTCTATGGCCAACCCGGCACCGGTAAGCCAGTCTCTTTCCCCAAGGATGCACACGCTGCTGACGAGCACGCCATGCAGGCAAGTCATCCACGCTTCCCGTCCTACAAGCAGCTTTCCTCGAACAAGGCCAGCCTGTCTTCTACCACCACCTCGGCAGCGACATTGTCTACCTCTTCAACGCGGCGTACAGCCGGAAGATGCAATTCGCCGAATTCGCCTCTTTTTGACCCGCGAGACCTGTTGTCTGCCTCCTCGATACGCCCACTACACCGTCCGGTAAACAGACGGACGCGATGTGGCGCAAGTCCAACACGATCTTCGTCCTCGCCTCGTCGCCGCGACAAACGCCGGACAAGAGTCTCGAAAAAGCTCGAGGCGAGACTTATTACTGGACGATGCCGGCCGCAGGCCTGCAGGAGATTGAGAACGTCGAGTCAGTTGCAGCGCCTTGAGCTACTTCGTGCCGTGATTGACCAGCTCGTACTCCCAGTCTCTTGCGGCGACACGTCCAGCTTACCGGCTGCACCTACGTCACGACGAAGCCGTTCCATCTGCATCGCTATACCCCGTCGGACACCTGTACCGCCGGACATGCTTTCGAAGCGAAGGACGCCTACGTCCGCATGACCGCCTCCAAGCAGTGGCTCGATCCGAAGGCCGTCCTTTCAGCCCAGGAAGCGACTACGCTCCCGGACGAGGAGGAGGGGAAACCGGAAGCCGCCGTGTCCATCTCTATTGGCGGCGACAGCTTCGACGTCTCGCCCGGTCCGGACTGGAAGCCGCAGGAGCTCTTCGAGCTGCTGGGTCCAAGTTTCCGGTTGGCGTTCGATCGCACGCTCAGGAAAGGCGACGACCCCGAAGCCTCCTTGCGCAACTTCCTCAAACTCGCCCTCGTCAATAGCAAGAAGTCTCTCGAGAAGATTGTCACAATCCTGCAAGGAGCGCGGCTCGACTTGCGGGAACACCCGACCGGGTACCATCAGATCGCGTACGAGCTGCCGTATGGGCCGCAGCCGAGCGCCGGGGATCCCTCAATCGAACGAGTCATTCCGACTCGCTTTCTGCTGGCTGTCGTGCGGGAGCGAGTCCAGGAACTCCAGGGTGCGATGCCTGAGGCGGTCATTCTCAAGATGCTTTCCCTCCCGCACGCCCGCGGACTGCTCTACGATACTCCCGGCATCCACTGCGTCGAAACGCTCGAGTCGCCCCTCAGGGTCTGCGCGGCCCCTTCCGCGGTCGAATCCGACCTCCCGGCCTGGGTTGAGCCCGCCGCTTCGACCGCGACCGCTACCACTACCTCGACGAGCGGCGAAACTCTGCCGAGTGGTCTCTCGCCTGCCCTCCAGACCAAACTCACGGAACGCGTGACGTTGCAAAGCATCTCTGACCGAGCGACGCAGGTGTGCAGTACCTCTTGGGGTCAAGCGAACGGCGCCGTCCTGCGGAACGAAGCGACGGGCAAGGACGTCCCCTTCGTCCGCCTGCGCATCCACCCTTACAACCACCTCGTCCTGGTTCGAGACGTCTACGTCGAGGTCTTTGAGTGGATTAAGGCGGGCATGGACAAGCTGCGCGGCAAGTTTGACCCCGACCCGATCTACCTCGTCCTCTGCGGCCAGACTGGAATCGGTACGCGTTCCATACTCCGCTAACACGCGAAGTCACGCCGCTGACGCCTTGACGCAACAGGCAAGTCCTCGGCGCTCCCGTATCTCATGGCAACCTCGTGGGAGCAGCGCTAACCGCTCTTCTACCACATCCTCGGATCGACCAAAGTCGTCTTGTTCGACGGGCCGCAGTCGTACGAGATGTCGACCGAAGACTTCGCCGGCCTCATGTTCACCGACCCCGTCCTCTGCTTGATCGACACGCCCGAGACACCTTCGCCTTCGCCGCCGCTCGCGAACGCAATCAGCATCTGGCACACCTCGAACGTCCTCTTCGCCATCGCGGCGTCGTCGACGACTACGACTCTAGTCAAGACTCTCTGGAAGGCGCCAGGCGCTGCTTACTACTGGACGCTGCCATGCGCTGGCAAGGAGGAGATCAAGAACGTTCTGTGCGTCGGCCTCTCTCGCGCTCTTGCACAACTTGCTCGTCGCCTGACGCTTCGCTTCCGCAGTCACTTGCTGGGCCACTTCAAGGACTCCGTCGAGGAGCCGAACACCATTGCGCGACCGCTCCGACTCAGCGAGCACACTCGCCCGACCGCACTTCTCTCCGGAGGCGCTGCCTACAACGCCGGAGCCCGCCTCGGACCCGCTACTGGCGTCGATGAGGTGGCCAACTTCGGCGAGGACGATGAGGATTTCGAGCTCGAGGAGTCGGAGGACGCGCTTGACATCGCCGTCGGCCGCGACTGCTTTTCCGTCGAGCCGGGTGAGACCTTCACGCCGCTCGAGCTCTTCCGCCTCCTCGGCCCAAGCTTCGGCCTGTGCTTCAATCTGCAGCTCAAGAAGGGCACCAACCCGGGCGACGAGCTGCGACGCTTCATCAAGCCGTCCTCCCTCTCGCTGCGTAACGTCACCGATTTTTTCAGCGGCGTTGCGTTCCATCCCCTAGGCGAGCCTGGCGGTCTCCACTTGTTCAGCTACGAGGTGCCGGATGGCCCACAGCCGTCGGGGAACGAGCCGAGTTCTGCGAGGGTGATTCCGACTCGCTTCCTTTGGGCGGCGATCCGCGAGCGCTTTGCAGTCCTGACGGAGCCGTTGTTCTGATGATCTCTCGCCTCCTTCGCGCTATTCACGCCCTCTTCGGCGGTCTTCCTGCGTCTTTGCCTCGCCTCGTCCTTCTGTGCCGTCTCGACGTCTGACATCTCGCTTGCCGTCACCTGCAATGTACTCCTCGTTTGGCGTCTCCAACAAGCTCGCAAGGCGTCGAGCAGCCCAAGCGACTTCCAAGCTGCTTGTCCTCCAGCTCGCGGCGCCTCTCCGCGGATTCTCCGGATCCTCGTCCTCCTCCTCCCCCGGTCTCTCTCCCCTCGCTCAGCTGTACCAGCACAGCATGGCTCGACGCTCTCGCGAGCGCTCGCCTCGACACCGCTCACGCGCTCCCTCGCCCACGTTCTCAGAAGCCTCGACTGCCGTTCCTTCCAGCGACGACGACCGATCTCGCCGGCGCAGCAACTCTTCCGACGATTCGCGCGCATCGAGTAGGACGGGTAGCGACGACGATAGCGGGTCGGACTCTGCAGGGTCGGAGAAACCGTTGCGCGGGCGATCGAAGTCGAGGTCGAAGGCGGACAAGGACGATAGGTCGCCTTCGCCGCACAGGCGGAAGTCGAAGCGACGGACGAAGGAAAGCTCGGACGACTCGAACTCGGACGGCAGCGCCTCGGACACTGGTGACGACGAGAAGCGGCGAGGACGGTCTCGCAGCCGAAGTCGCTCGAAAGGTCGAAGCAGGAGCAAGAAGCGGCGGAAGTCAAAGACTCCGCCGTCGACATCTGGCAGCGAAGAGCTGTCAGACCTCGAGAAGGGCGGCAAACGATCGGATGAGTCGGATGCGGCGTCGACGTCGAGCGACCAGGAGTCGAAGGAAGAGCGGCGGCGGAAGAAGCGCGAGGCGAGGGATGCGAAAGAGCGGGAGGAGGGAAGACAGGAGGAGGCGGAGCGGTTAGCTGAGAAGAAGAAGCGAAGACGGAAGAAGCGAGCTGAGGAGGAGAAGCGCAAAAAGGAGGAGAACGAGGCTCTCAACAGTAGCGACGAAGGCGAGGCAAGTTTGCTTCACTTTGCACTCCCACGCTCCCTGCACTAACGCCTTGCATGCGCTCAGCAGGCCACTCACAGCCTTGGACGGGTGAGTCTGTCTTCCGGCGGTTCCTCCCGTCCGCGCCGTGGACTTATCCTTCTCTCTTCGGGCACAGGTCCACGTCCATCGCCACCACCACCATCATGGCGACGACGAGAAGGAAGAGAAGGAAGAGAAGGTAAGATTCGGGGAAACTCACTTCGAGCGTTCGCAAAACGCAGACTAACCCCGTGCGCTACATAGCACAAGCACCACCACCGGAAACACCTCAAGCGCAAGATGCACGAGCTGAAACGCAAAGCCAAGAAGCATCGGCACAAGCACAAGCACCGTGAGGAGGACGAGGTGCGTCGCGTTCTCTCCTCCTCGTTGACAACGCCGAACTAACGTTCCGCTACGAGCAGGATCCTCCGCCCAACAACACCAATCTGATACTCGCCGGAGCTGTTGTGCTCGGTGTCGTCGTCGTTGCGGTCCTGGCCGTCCTGTACATCAAGAACAAGTCTTCAAGCAGCGCGACTGGGACGACGTGAAGGTGTTCTCTCGATGTTTCAAAGCTCCGTGTAGACGTTTGTTGCAATAGTCTGTCGTTTCTTTATCGCTTCTTGCCCGCACCATTGCCTTTCCGCCTGCGGTCGTCTTCGTCGCTCGACCCGCTCACCTCGCTCCTTTCACCGTCACCGTCCTCCTCCATCTCCTCGTCCTCGTCGTCGGGCACAACCGCCCGCTTCTTCCCCTTCCCCTTGCTCAGCGCGCTAGCCTTGACGAACCCTCCGCTCAAACCAGCGCGACCTCCATTCTCCTCCTCATCGCTCACGTCCTCCTCGCTCTCCTCCACCTTCTGCTTCCCCTTCGCCTTCGAGCTCTTCACCGCCGCCTTCCCCTTGCCCTTGCCCTTGTCTTTCTCCTTCACCCTCTCGGCGTCGCGCGACCCGCCCGTGACAGACTTGTCAGCCGCCAACCTCGGTGCCTTGACCTGCTTCGTCTTGGCGCCCGTCTTCGAGTCGGCTTTCAGGTCGGCGAGTGTGAGGCCGCGCTGGATCGCAGCTGTCGTGAGCGTCTCGTACTGCGGAGGAGAGGTTGTCAGCACGGGCGGGTCGGGAGGCGAGAGTGGGTTGGATCCGCACCAAAGGCTCGCTCCGTCGAGCGGCAAGCTGTAAGGGGACAGTCAGGCCGAGTCTGAGTGTAGAGTGAGTTAAGAAGACGCACCTTGACGTCGTCCACGTTGATCGTCAGGCGTCCAGCATGACTGCGGGAGCAATATGGTGAGCTCTTCGCCCGCCCTTATGCGAAGGCTCCAAGACCTACTTTGCGAACCGCTCGAGATCCTTGCCGAGCGAGACTGCGAGTACGAGCGAAGTCAGCGGGACGGCGGAAGGAAGAAGAGCAGGAGAGCAGGCTCACGAGCTTGTTGGAAGACTACTTCCGCCAGCGTCGCAACGAAGTGTTCCGACGCAGCGAACGGTAGCGAGAGTTCTGTGGCAAGATACGGTCAACGAGGTCCACCTGCTGGCGCGGACCAAGGGCAGCACCCTCTTCCTGAGCGATCTGCGAGTAGGGCAAGTCGGGATCAGTTTTCGTGCCTTGCTGCGCCTCGCGAGCACTGTCGTAGCAACGCACTTTCGTCACCGTGTACCAAACAGCCGCCTTCAGGCTCTATCGCGGCAATCGCACAGCCCCCGAACAATGAGAGGTGTCAGCCAGCCCCCTCTAGCACACAACTGGTTGACTGGGTGCGCACCTGCCTGGAAAGCGGCTCGTCCGCTTCGGTCGTAGCCTTCGCGCGGGGCATCGTGCGGTGTGTCAAGTGAGGGACGCGTTGAGAGATGAGAAATGGAGGAGGAGATGGGGAAGGCTGGAGGAGGCGTGAGGGACGGCTGGGCACGTCGTCAGGTGTATAAGCGGCGTATAAGCCCAGATGACGCAGTACAAGCGCGAACAAGCGGTGAAGCGGGAGAAGGGCTATTGTCAACCCCCTCAACCAAGTTGACCTCGCGACGTCCAGCGACCAGGAGCATACGAAGCCGATATGCACGTTCCCAGGGAGTCCAAACACTACTCTGAGCACGAAACAACTGCGAAGAACATCTACGAAGGGGAGGGGACCGGATGAAGTAGCGAGACGAGGGCGAAAGGCGAACGAAGGCGTCTAGAGCTTGGCACGAGGCTTCTCCTCGTAGACCGAGACGTTGTGGCCCTTGCAGTCCTTGAGCAGGCGGCGGAGGATCTTGCCGGCTGGAGATTTGGGGACGGCATCGACAAGGACGAAGCCGCCGCGGATCCTGCGTCCCACCCATCCTCGGTCAGCATCGCTCTCGTAGCGGAGAGTGAACGCAGGACGCACCACTTGTAAGGCGCATGCTTGCCCTCGACATGCCTTCTCAACGCGTGCGCAAACTCGTCGGCCTTCTTGCCGCCCTTGAGGACTTCCTTGTCGAACGGGACGACGTAGGCCCGAGGGTACTCGGTCGCGTGGTCTTGGTGGTAGACGGAGGTGACGCCGGCGTCTTGGACGAGGGGGGAGGCGCAGAGGGAGTCTTCGAGCTCGGCGGGCGAGACTTGGAAGCTGCGAGTGGAGAGGCGGCGGCGCGAGGAGTGGTCGAGCAAGGGGGTCAAGGAGAAGAGGAAACATGAGAACAGTCAGCAAAAGACTAGAAGATTGGAGGAAGGGATCGCCGCGCACCCCTTGACCTTGATCAGCTCCTTCAGCCTGTCCGTGATGTACAAGTTGCCCTCAGGGTCAAGCTTGCCAATGTCGCCGGTGCAGAACCACCCGTCCTCGGTGAACGACTCGGCAGTCGCTTCGGGGTTGTTGAGGTACGAAATCGTGCAGCAGACGGAGCGAATCAGGACTTCGCCTTCTTCGCCGACGTTGACCGCTGCGTCGGGCACTCAAGACCATCAGCTCGGCGTCGTGAGAGGGACTGTAAGGTGGACGCACGCTTGCCCGTCTCGACCGAGCGAATCATCAACTCCGTCGCGGGATACGCAGGTCCACAACTTCCCAACTGCGACTTCAAGTGCTCCCAAGTCATGCTCTGTTGCTGCGTCGCTCCGCCCGTCTCGCTCAAGCCGTAACCGATCTTGATGAGGATCCCGAGGCGCTTGTACACTTGCTCGATGACGCTTGTCGCGAGGGGAGCGCCGCCGGAGGTGCAGCCTCGGACAGAGGACAGGTTGAAGCCGTCGACTGTGGGATATAGAGACCCGTCAGCGAGAGTGTAGAGTCAAAAGCGAGCGAAAACCTACGCACCGAGAGGAGACTTGGCGAGGAGGACGGCGATGGGAGGCGAGAAGTGCAAGTGAGTCGCCCGGGATTCCTGCGCAATCTTGAGGTATGTGACCGGGTCGAACTGTATGAGCATAGAGCGTCAGTAGAGAGAAAGCTGGAGCTGGGAGGAAGGGTGAGGCGCACCTTGCTGACGGTGGTGACGGTCGCTCCGAAGGCAACGCCGACCATGAGCACGTTCGCCCAGCCAAACTGCACGAACAATCACTGTCAGAACAGAGAACAATGCGAGAGAGAAGGCGTCGTGGGAACACACGATATGGTAGAACGGCGGGAGTCCGACCAACCGCTCGTTCTCGCCCAGCGTCGACGCATGCCACACCGCGATCAACGCCGACCCAATCGCTCGGTGCGTCAAAATGACGCCCTTGGACTTGCCCGACGTTCCCGAACTCCAGAAGATCATTGCCGCGCGAAGGGCATCTTCGCTTCCGGTGTATTTGGGCGGGGTGAACGGCTTTGAGTTCGGAGAGAGGAGGACCTTCCAGTCGCTTACTGTCCATCCTCCGAGGTTCGTCACGGGCTGAACGAGCGAGAGAGCCGAAGCGCCGTAATCGTCTGCGTCCGGGTTGACGAGGAAGACGTTCCCCTTTGTTGGGTAGCCGAGTTGGGCTTGCAGTTCGGGCGTGAGGAGCTTGAAGGCTTGTTGGAAGCTAGAGAGGCCGGAGGCAGTGGTGACGATTGCGGCGGGCTGCGAGAGGGTGAGGATGTGGGCAATTTCTTGAGGTGTCAAGACGGGGTTGGCGGCCGTGAGCTGCGAGTGGCTCGAGATCAGCATTGCTCGAGTAGTGATCACCGAGAGCAGTCGACGCACCGTCAAGCCGGATGCGAGAACACCGTAGGCGAGCGTAACGAAAGGCAGGCAGTTGGGGAGGTGGAGGAGGACGACAGGCGAGATGATCGCTCCGCGGTTGACCTTCGGGTCCGACGCAGACAGAGGAGCAGGGCGGAGGTTCAGGACGCCGTCGGTCAAGGAGGAAGCGACGGTGAGTGCGTCGCGGTAGAGTCGGCCGAAGGAAAGGGTCGCGCCTGCAAGTTTGGCGAGCTCGCGCATCAGTACGGCTTCGTGGGCGTCTCGGAAGGGTACTGACCGGTCTTTCCGTCACGGAAGATGGTCTTCTCGGGCGGGATGGGCTCGCTCATGGCGTGTTTCTGGAGGTCCTTGGGCGTGGCCTTCCATGTCTCGGTGCCCCGGCGGAAGGGCTGCGAGAAGAGGAACTCGAATGCCTGCGTTCGAGGGTCCTTGTCAGCGTTCGAGTGCGGCCGCGGCTGGACTGTGGAAGGATACGGACGGTGTTTGACGAGTGGGGGAGCGGGCTGGCTTTGACGACGGATGGGAAGCGGACGGCGGTGTTCTCGAGTGAAGCCATGTCAACCAGTAGCAAAGTGTGGTCGCGCAGAGCAGTAGGGAGAGCAGGAGAGCCGACGCTGGACTGAGCCGAGGATTCTCCGGCAAGCGAGATCCGGCCGCGGAGTCCCGTCCCGAAGTGATGAAGCCGTACAGCCGCGTGCGAGCCGGGTAAGCCTGTGTGCACCTTCAGTCACAGTAGCCGGTACAGTACCGCGCTGACCGGAGACGACAGGCAAGCGACGCAGGACCTCGCGCGCTCGCTCGTTCTTCGGCGAGGCGGTGCATGCGATGGACGGTGGACGCTCTCCTCACACGGCTTCGTTCATTCGTTACTGCTGCTCTGTGACTCGCTATAGACCCGCTCGAACACGCTAGACCCGACCAAACAGCCGCACGTTCGTCCGCCCGCTCGCTCAATCCTCATCACTCCAAAGTCGCCGGATGGGTCAACACACTCGTCTGCTCACGTTTGACCAGCTCGAGCCATGGCAGAAGGACAACCACTGGATCACGGGAGGGTACCGGCCACTCTTGCGGTCGTACAGGGCTTGTTTGCGGTCCATCTTTGCGACCCATAATGAAACGGTCAACATCGTGCGTGGTCTCTCCGCTCTTGTTGAGTCGTTTTCAAGTCTCACCGATGCACTCGCGCACCGCAGTGGACGCACCTGATCGGCTCGGCCATCGCTGTCTCGACAGCCTTCTACCTCCTCCTCGACCTCTCACCCTCCGGCACCCTCACTCACGGCCGAAAAGGCTGGCTCGCTCCCTTCGCCGGCATACCCTATCCCTTCCCAAACGCAGCCCAGCCGAGCGTCGAGATTTGGGACACGATCGGGTTCGCGGCGTTTTTGGTGTCGGCGAGCGTTTGCCTGGGTGCGTCTTGCGTTTCCTTCGACGCCACACTCTCGCTGACTCGGCGTGCGCGACAGGCTTCTCCGCCTTCTTCCACACCTTTGTCGCTCACTCAAAAGAGGTGCCCAGCGACATCCTCTCGCTCCTGACGCTTCCCTCCCTAACCCGCCGCTACTCGCGCAGGTTGCCCAACGCTGGAACCGCCTAGACTACGTCGGCATCGTCGTCCTAATCAGCGGCACCTTCGTCCCGATGGTGCACTACGGGTTCGCCTGTGCGTTTGCCTCCTCCCGCTTCCTCGAAGTTAGGATTGAGCGAGACTGACGATTTGCGGAGCGAACAGGCGACAGCCACCTTCGCAACCTCTACATCGGTCTAATCTATACCTTCGCCGCCGGTCCGTCCCCTCACCCACCCTTCTCACACGGCGAACGCAACTAACAGACCTTCGCAACGCAGCAACAACCGCAACGGTCGTCTCCCCTCACGCCCAGACTCCGCAGTTCCGTCGACTGAGAACATACATCTTTATTGCGCTCGGGTTGAGCGCGGTCGTCCCTGTTGGACATGCGGTTTGGCGGTATGGGGTGAGTTCGCGCCTTCTGCGCCGGAAGACCAGGATGCGGGACTGACTGCTTCGGTGGTGTGGTGCAGCTCGAAGGAGCATCAGCGAACATCTCGCTCTTCTGGCTCGCGCTTGGCGGCGCGTTATACATCATCGGCGCCCTCCTGTTCGTCCCTTTCCTCTCTCCCCCCCTTCTTGCCCCACTGAAACCTCGCACACAGCTACGCCGAACGCTGTCCCGAGCGTTTCTCCCCCGGGACATTCAACACCTTCTTCTCCTCGCACCAGATCTTCCACGTGTTGATTTTGCTTGCTGCGTGTAGTCATTGGACGGCGATTACGGAGGGGTTTAGGTATTGGCATGGGGAGAGGGGGGGAGTGTGCTAGATTGCTATGGAGTGATCGACGTTTGAGGGCGACGAGGAGAGCGCGTGAGGATAAGGAGGAGAGGGAGAGGGAGAGGGAGAGGAGAACTTCGCTCCTCTCTCGCTGTCACATCGGACGCTCGTGGGACAGAACGAATGATTTGCAAGAACTGTGAGGGACAATCAACAGAACCAAGAGAAGGGAAGCGCAGCGCGAGACCAAATACAGAACGTTGGGAAATGCTTGAGGAGTCGGATCGAGGCGGTCGTTCGACTTCATTGGGGTGTCGGGGTCACCGGGAGATTCTGAGAGGAGACGAAGAGGTCAGCGACGCCCTTCCTCGTCCTACGATGCCGCCTCGCCGACTCACGCGACCCCTCCTGATCCCCACATCCTTCAGCGAGAGTCTCCTACCACCCTCCTCCGCTCCTCGTAACGTCCACAGCCAGTCCGCCCGGTCGAGTCAGAGTGCGTTGGTAGGCTAGACGTGCGTAGGCGCCGGCCATGAAGGAGAGGGCGCCGCTGGAGGTGATGTGGGGGGACTGATTAGTCCGAGAGGAGAGGGAGGAGCGAGGAGCGCGTGGGAGGAGCGGAGAGACGCACAAGGTGTAGAGACCGCGGTGACGGAGGTGGTGGATGGCTGCCATTGTGTTCTGTGCGGTGTGTGTGTGCAGAGAAGAGACGAGAGCGCGAGGGAGGCCCGCGAGGTCAGGTCGAATACAACCGAGTTTGTAATCTGAATACAAGCTGAATACAAAGTCGACCCCCCTGCTCTTCCTCTCCCTTCTACCGCTCCCACTCGCTCGATGGCGAGCACAGCGCCGCACCCGCTCTCAGGCTTCGCAAAGGGCTCCTGGCCAGTGCCCGACTTCAGCCTCGAGTCGCGGCGGCCTAAAGCGTCCTCGACCCTCCCCTCGCTCTTCGCTCGCCGAGACGTCACGACCGCCTTCAGACCGCCCGATGAGGAGAAAGGGCGCTCGCTGAGATCCAAGAGTCAGGCCAACTCGACTTCGGCGCTGTTCAGCGGGAGCGACGTCTCGAATCAGGGAGCGGGAGGGTTCAGTCAACTTGGCTCGGAAACGGTCTTTGCGGGCGCAGAAGACCAGGATGGCGGCGACGACGACTACCTGGACTCGTGGGTTGCGGATGGAGGTGCGCTTGCGGCAGAGGAGGTGGTCGACGAGACGACCGAGCAGGTCGGGGCGGTCGACCTCTCGAGGGACTCTGGGCTCGAGCGCGCTGCCTCGCCGCCTACCGGAACTACGCGGCAAGTAATGGACTGGACGATGGTGCTGGAGAACGCAGTGATGAAGGCGGATGGCGACATCAACCTTCAGTAAGTCTCGCTTCGCTACCCTTTTCTCGCGCCTCGACCGCTTATCGAGACACGCCTGCTACAGCGACCGAGGCGTCACCTGCGTCCCCGACTCGATCTCCGACCTCGCCACCCTGCGCTCCTTCAAAGCCGCCTTCTCGAGAACGACCTTCACCCGTACCCAATCCAGTCCCGCTTCCGTCGCCTCTTCCCGCCGATCCTTCGAGCGCACCTCCTCCGGCTCCATAAGTGCGGTCCCTACTTCTGTTCCCGTCAAGCTCCTCCTCGCCAAGAACCAGCTCACCGCCGACTCGCTCTCGAACGCCCTCTGGTCGCTCCCGAACCTCCAAGTTCTCACGCTCCGGCAGAATTTCCTCGAGCGACTACCTGAAGGCGTCGGTCGGTTGACAGGGCTGCAAGAACTCAACGTCGCGAGCAATCGTCTGAGATACCTCCCCGCCGAGATCCTCCTCCTCGACAACCTTTCGAACCTCGCGCTTCACCCGAACCCATTCCTTCCTGCCCCCAAGCCTTCTACGCCTATTCCACCGAGTACATCTGCCTCGCCTGAGTCCCCCGTTCGCCATGAACGCCTCCTAAGTGCCCTCACTGTCCACTACGCCGTGCCCTCACTCAAGGAGACATGCATCCGACGCCTCCTCACTCCATCTCGTCCATCTTCGACTACTCCGTCCATAAAAGCCGAATACGACGTTGATTACGTTCGCGCAGTCCTTCCAGACCACCTTCTCGCGCCTTTCCTCTCCACCTTCCAGATCTCGCCTCCGACTCTCTCCTTCGCCTGCCAAAGACACTCTTCCGCATCATCCACCCTCTCACTCGACTCTTTCGCCTCGACTCCATCACCCCAACCCTTCGACCCCCTCTCCAACATCTGCCGCTCGCCCCTCCACGCAGGCGAAGACCGCGTCTTCTTCACTCCCGCCTGCGAGCGGTTCGAGTGGGTCTCGGAGGCGACGCTTAAGCCTGCGCAGAAGGCAGATGGAAAGATGGGGAAGGATGGGGACATTAGGAACATCCCGATTCGCTGGAGGGGGTGTACGGCGGCGTGTCTCGACTGGCTCGAGGAGGAGGAGCAGGTCGACCAACACGATATCGATGAGCCCGCTGCAGCGGCAACCTAGACCACCGCGCTCCACCTTTTCCACTTCTCCCTCTCTCCCAGCCGTCTCTCGCTCCTCCATTTGTTCAATCATTCGTCTTTCTCATCTCGCATCACATTCGCATACTCCACCTTTGATCGCATCACTGCAGGAACTCTCGTGTCTCCCTCATCGTCGCACAATCTGCAGCCTGCCCTTCCGGCGTGGCGCAATAGACTTCTTCTCGAGCATCGAACTGGCGGAGACGAGAGTGACACAGTCGATGCGAGCGATACATACTGGTCTACAAGTCTACAGTGCGATAAGAAGTGGGTTGCGGAAGAGGAGGAGCCGCAAGACTCTGACCGCCTGCGAGAAGCTCGTTGTGGGCTCGTGGAGAGCTGCGTAGCGCAGACTGTCAGACAAATGCAGAGTCATGCAAGCTGGAAAACGTACTCGACAGCCTTGACGACCACGGGGATGAGCGAGCCTGTCGAGACGCTGACTTTGCGGTGGTTGACCGCTCGCAAGAAGGACTGGATAACGCCGCCGTGTGCCGTTATTGAGACGAACTGCGCAGGATCGGTTGCGAAGATCTGCAAGATGACCGTGTCAGCGGTACAGCCGTTGATCAGCTGGAGACGGCTGCTCACCTTGTTCAGAACCTGCTGAGTTCTGAGCGCGTGTTGCTGGTTCGATTCCCGCCAATCGGGGCTCCAGAGCTCGTCTGCGAGCAGTCAAGGTCAGCAATGCTCGTACGGGAGGCGACGGGCTGCGCACCATGTTCGGAGAAAGGCACCTCGAGCCTGAAGGACGGGTAATGCCGCTTGAGGTACGTCTTCGTGTTTCGCTTGTCGCCTGTCCACGAGAGTCTTGTCAGTTTGAGTACAGCACGGCGTGGGTAAAGTTGACTGACAGGTATGAACGCCCATCGTCTCGCTGGGAGGTCGCGATTGTTAGCTGAGTTCTCGGAGCGGAATGATGAGCGCACGCACCGCAGATGCTCTCGTATCAGCGGCTTCTTGTGATAACGGCGCTCTTCTAAGATGTCGGACCAAGTGATCTCCAATGTCGAAGCAGCGCGAGAAAGCGGGCTTGAGTAGTAGCTCTGAGGGGAAGGCGCTCCATCGCGAAGCTCTCGCTTCCAGGCAGAGTTGACGCGAGCAGCTTGTCGTTCGCCGAGAGGCGTGAGGAGCGGATCCGGTCCCCACTGCGAGACGCATCAAGTCAGCAGAGCGAAATTGTCTGCGTCTCGAGCGAAACGCACTTTGATCTCGCCGTCACCTTCCAGCATGCTCCAATAGTTGTCCCACGCCTCAGTCCCGTACTTCTTCTCGCCGACATTGTGCCAGCCCTCGCCATGCCGTCCGACGAAGAAGACCTTATAAGCCGTTCCTACGTCCGCCTCCCGATTGAGCCGGTCTATCCGCTCAGCGAACCGCTGCCATCGTTCTTCTGACTTGTCCAGCAAGCCAAAGGAGTCGTCGAGTGGATCGTACGCCGCGGAGTCGTTGAAGTGTGCAGAGGACTGAGCGAAGACTGTGGTTGCGAAGGGAGTCAGCAGCGCCAGGGTCGTCTGGAGAGCTCCGCTACCCACAGCTATCCACTACAGTGTAGTTCGTCGGGCAAAACGTCTGCGTCTCGCCTCGTCTGGCTGAAGCGACCTCGTTTCGGTCGAAGGTGGGGTCCGAGGGTGATTGAAGCAAGAGGAGCGACGAGAAGAGGCGAGAGGCAGCCAGCGCCGGCATGCTGATCTGTGACGTTCAATTTGGCGCCTCAAAAGGGGCGCGAGACTGTCGGTCGCTCGTGGTCGAGCAAGACAGACGAAGCGATGAAGTCGAGTCGCGGACAAATTCGCTGAGGTGGATAGAGGAGGCCGTGTAGAGGTATTTGCGAGTCGCAGATAGCTGGCGCAAGCTCAAACAAACCCAGCGGGGGCGTGACGGATGCTGACGAGACGTTGCGAAGAGAAAGAGGAGAACGTGCGAGCTTCCCCTGGGCCACACCTCCTTAGGAATGGTGAACGCCACAGCTGTAAGTACAAACAAGCCTCTACTGCTGCTCTATCGAGCCGTCCCCGACCAGAACCGCGTGGTTGACCCGCTCCTTCTCGTCCGTGAGTTGCCAGGTCTCGATGCGCTCGCCAAAGTCGGACAGCTGGTACACCCGCATGCGCCGCGTAAACGTCGAGTTGCCGTAGCCGGAGTACTGCGGGCGAGAGAAGGGTCAGCGACGGTGTGGGAAATGGAGAAGAGGTCGAAAGCGCACCGTCGCACCCGCTCCGAAGCAGATCCAGACGCCGTCGACCCGCCTGCAGTCGCTCGTGATGTGACAATGGCCGTGCGCGACAACCTTGACTTCGGGCCTGCCCGTCGTCGGAGTCGCCGCCTCGCCGTCCCAGAAAGCGTCCACGGGTGCGTCGCCTTCGCCTCGGGGCGCGGGAAGCTCGCCTTGCGCGAGGACGCCTTGCTGCCAGAAGCCGCTGTCGGTCTTCGATGCGCCGTCGCCCTCGAGACGTTCGCCGATGCGGAGGCGCTTGCCGGAAGGCGAGACGTCAACCTTGGGCGAGTAGGCTTGTTGAAGCGGGATGTGCATGAAGACCCTGCGAGCACAGGATGTCAGCTCGTGCATGACGGAGGGAGCAGAGTTCGACGCACATCGCGTTCGGCTTGGCCTCCATGGGCGACGCCTTGGTCGGTCCAGCTGGCAGCACCGTCGGCTCGAGCCATCCTTCCTCCGCCAGCATCTCCTCCTCGGCCTCCTCGAGACGATCAGCCGACGCGACACCGACCGTCTCCGTCTGGTCGTCACCCTTGCTAGCGGAGGACTCGAAGGAGATATTGTCGTCCGGGGTTTCGACGATCTCGCTGCCGTCGTAAGGTTCGACTGCAGGCGTAAGCGAGTCGTCGTCCACGGCCGCTCCGAACTCGGCCTCCGTATCGGCCTTCATCTCCTTCTCCAGCTCCTGCAACTCCTGCACGCCCGCCTGCTCCCACTCGTCGTTCAGGTTGGCGAGCGAGTCCTCATCTTGTCGCTTCGTCAACCGCACGAGCCGACGTCCTCCGTCTGAGCCAGCTGGAGGTCGCGCAGGCTTCTTCTTCGGTCGGCCAGGGCGGCGGTTGCTCGAGACTCGATTCGCCGTGATGAGCTGGCGAGGCGGCGTGTACGGGCGAGTGTACGTCTTCATCTGGGCCGAGCGACCGCGGAACCAGTTGATCCTGCGCGAGAAGTCGTCAACGCCGAGCTCGCGCGAAGCAGAGGAAGGGGAACGAACTGATCAGGCTTGAGGTAGTCGTACGAAGGCTTCGCCCACGGATTGACGTTCCTGACGTTGGCGTGCGAGTCGAGGAAGTACATGTTGAAGAGCGCGACGTCGTCGCCGGCGGCGGACGGCGAGCGGATCGAGCGGACGTAGTTGCCGATGCCGGCGACGGAAGACGGGCCGGGCTCGCCCATGAAGAGCGGGAGGTGGCGCATCAGGTCTGTGTGAAAAACAGAAGGTCGGCTAAGAAGACGACGAAGTAGCACAAAGAGAAAGCAGAACGTACTCATCTGACCCTCTCGTGCCAGCGTCGTCTCCTCCTCGTCGTGGTTGCCGAACACAACCGTCCAAGGGATGCCGCGCTCGTACAGCAGCGGCGCCCACTTCAAGATGACCGACTGCGCATCCCACGACGTCTCCTGCCCATTCAACTGGTCCCCGCTCAAGACGACCAAGTCCGGCTTGACCTCCTCCAACGCCGTCTCGAGCCATTTGAGGCTGTAGACGTCCGCGCCGAGCTGCTTGCACTCGGCTTCGCGCTTCCAGTCGAGGTCGCGGCATGCGCCGGGACCGACGGAGAAGTGCAAGTCGGCGATTTGGAGGATGGTGAAGTTGCCGGCGTTCGAGAAGCGGAGAACGGGCGTCGCAGGGAGCTCTGCGAGATCAGCAGGATCAGTTTCACTCGAGCAGGGCAAACTGAGGAGCGCTCAAAGCCAACGCACGCTTGTTCTCCTTGCGGTAGGCCAGACTCGCTCCAACCCTCGTACCCTTCCCATACCCCGTCCCAATCGCCTTCGCATCGTCCGGTCCGCCCGTGACCATCTGCTCGATCCTCTTGAAGCCCGGCAGAGGGTGCACCTCGTTCCCGCCGTACAGGACGTCGAGCTCCGTAATCGGCTCGAGGTCTCCAGCGCTCCCATTCGCGCCCTCCGCCTTCCGCGCGGCAAAGACGTCGGACTGGGGTGTGAGCTTGTAGTGGAGGAAGAGCGGGGTCATGCGTGGCCAGACGCCTTCGCGAAGCGAGGTGGAGACTTCGACCCAGGTGTCCGATTCGGAGAGGTCTTCGATAGAGGCGGTGTGGTTCAGGAGACGGATGTCGGTGATGACGGGTGCGTCGGAGCCGGGGAGCAGGCGGCCTGCGTCGTGACGAGCGTGTCAGTGGCTAAGGAAGTGCAAGGGGAAAGGAAAGGCACGAACGAGCGTAGATGTAGAGGTAGTACACGCCGATCCGCTTGCTCAAGTCCTTGTCAATCCTCTCCCACTTCCCGCGCGTCGCATCCTCCTTCGCTGACGACGTTGGCGAGCAGAGGTCGTACAAGCCGGGCGAGAGGACGCACGTCTTGACCTGCAACTCGGTGAACGGCGTCGTGCTCGGCTCGAGCGGGTCCCAGCCGCTCTTCGCCTTGTCGCCCATCGACGACATGCCCCACAGATCCCAATCGTCCTCGTCCGCCCAGCTGTCTGTCGTCTCGGCGCCTAGTTCCGTCCCTCCCGCCTCGACATTCTCCTTCGGCGGTGTTCGGGAGAAGGCAACCTGGTTGGCTTGGTGTCCGAGGTTGATGGGCTTGCCGTACGGGCGGTCGTAGGGTGCTTCGAGCTTGTAGCGTGCGGTGAGGAGCGAGGCGAGGAGGAGTGTGAGGCCGACGAAGAAAATGCGGACGAAGGTGCGTGACGAAGATGGCGAGAGCATCCTAGCAGTCGCTTCCAGGCGTCCAACAAGCAGCCTCCTCGCGTGACTCCCGCTGATGCTACCCTCCCGTCCTCGAGACTGATGAAGCGGTGCGGCGCGTCGTCAACCGCGTCGGGCGCCGGGTTCGTTCGTGCAGTGGACTTTCGAGCAATGAAGCAGCGGGTACACGATCCTCAGCGGCAGCCTGTGCGTGTGTGAGGCGGGGAAGCGGGAGAGGACCTCGTCCCGAGACACCCAAGTCCCCTCGAGCCCCTGTCGAGGTCGCTTTCACTCCTTCCTCGCTCTTTCCCAGGCCCGCATAATTCGCAATGCTCGTAATGAAGCGCATACAAGCGAATGTTTACCACCCGCACTCGACTTGGCCGAATCAAGGACTCCACATCGATCCCTTCGTCACCGCGCACCTTATCTCGACTTCCTTCGCACCTCGCTCACGTCGTCGCTCTCGCTGCTTTCTGGCTGGATCGCTGCCAGACACACTCAAGCTTGACTCTTGCACACGCTGCTGAGCTCCTGTCGCCTCACGAGAACCGGATAGTCCGCGGTGAACCAGCAGATCCATCGATAGGTGCGTTGATGTCGATCCAGCTCGCCTCGTCCTCTCTGCGAGCTCGCTCTGTTCTTCCGTTGACTCTTGCCTTTCCCTCGCAGCACCCAGCGACCTCCCTTCGCCGTTCGCCGCCCGGGAAGACACCGCTTTTCGCGTGATCGGCTTGCCCCTTCCCTTCGCTCTTCTCCCTCTTCCCACACCTCACACGCGACGACAGCTATGAGCAGGGACGTCACCGCGCTCAAGACGCCCATGTTCGTCTCTGCACTCGCTCTCTCGCGCCCTCTACGCTCACTGACAAGGCCCCCGCACTTCGCCGCCCCACAACCAAACGCCGTCCGTCGTCCCCAGGCCGTCGCGCCCAGAGTCGCCCGGCGCCATGACGCCCAGCATCAACTCTTTGCGCCGCCTCGGACGCTCGCAGCCTCTCAGGAAGATCCTCGTCGCCAACCGCGGTGTGCGTCGCGCCGTCTTCCCTTTTGAGGGTCGTTGAGAGAGGCCGGTTGTGCGGTCCGATCCTGCCGATGCAGGGTGAAGGGAGACGCAGCGGACGCACCGGAGGATGGAGCAGGGAGCAGGCTTTGTTGTATCGCGCGACGGCGAGCTGACGCCCGACTCGACCCCTTCTCCCTTCCCGATGATTCTCTCGACGCTCGCAGGAAATCGCCATTCGCGTCTTCCGTACCGCCCACGAGTTGGGCATGACCACCGTCGCCATCTACTCGCACGAGGACCGTTTTTCGGCTCACCGCAACAAGGCCGACGAGGCGTACATGGTCGGCAAGGGCATGACGCCTGTCGCAGCCTACCTCGCGCAGGACGACATCATCCGCGTCGCTCTCGAGCACGGCGTTACGATGATCCACCCCGGTTACGGCTTCCTGTCGGAGAACGCCGAATTTGCTCGCAAGGTCGAAGAAGCGGGCCTCATCTTTGTAGGCCCGCAACCGAAGGTGATCGACGGACTGGGAGATAAGGTGAAGGCACGCAAGCTGGGTTCGTCGTCATTTCGGTCCTGTTCCCGGATCCCAACGAACTCAGGAAAACGAGATATGGACATCCAAAGCTAATGCGCTCCCTTCATCCTTCCCTTATCCCGCCCAACTTGCCGCCATGCCTGGACTACAATTATTCCGGCGTCAGCCATGTCGATCCAGGTCCCCGTCGTTCCTGGCACGCCCGGCGCCATCGAGAACTTCAAGGAGGCGGACGCCTTTGTCGCCGAGCACGGCTTCCCTGTCATCATCAAGGCCGCCATGGGTGGCGGAGGACGTGGAATGCGTGTTGTTCGCGAGGCGTCCGAGTTCGAGTCGGCGTTCAAGACGGCCGTCTCGGAGGCGAAGAGCGCGTTTGGAGATGGAACGGTCTTCGTCGAGCGCTTCCTCGACCATCCTCGCCACATCGAGGCGCAGCTCATCGGTGACTCTGAAGGTGAGCGCTGATGGACCTTTTGAACGAATGAAAAAAAGATTGACGGGACAAACCCCGCAGGCAACGTCGTCCACCTCTTCGAGCGCGACTGCTCCGTCCAGCGTCGTCACCAGAAGGTCGTCGAGCTTGGCCCGTCGACCAACCTCCCGGACGAATTGCGCGAGCAGCTCCTCGCCGACGCCGTCAAGATCTGCAAGGCCGTCGGATACCGCAACGCCGGAACTTGCGAGTTCCTCGTCGACTCGCGCGGCTACTACTTCATCGAGATCAACCCGCGTATCCAGGTCGAGCACACTGTTACGGAGGAGATTACCGGAATCGACATCGTCGCTGCGCAGATCCAGGTGCGTCTCGTCCGGGCGATTTTCTGGATTTGTGCGTTTCCTGACTTTTTCTCTTGCAGATCGCCGCTGGAGCTACGCTCGCCGAGCTCGGTTTGACGCAGGACACGATCACGAAGCGCGGCTACGCCATTCAGTGCCGCATCACGACCGAGAACCCCGCCGCCAACTTCCAGCCCGACACGGGCAAGCTCGAAGTCTACCGCTCCGCAGGCGGTAACGGTGTTCGTCTCGACGCGAGTTCGGGCTTCGCGGGCGCCCAAATCACGCCCCACTACGATTCCTTGCTCGTCAAGTGCACAACTCGCGGCGCGACTTTCGAGATCGCTCGCCGCAAGATGCTGCGTGCACTTGTAGAATTCAGGATTCGCGGCACGTACACCAACATCCCCTTCTTGTTCCGCGTCCTGTCACACCCGGCATTCGTCGAGGGCAAGACGTGGACGACCTTCATCGACGACACCCCCGAACTCTTCAACCTCGTCAACTCGCAGAACCGCGCTCAGAAGCTCCTTTCGTACCTCGGAGACCTCGCCGTCAACGGCTCGTCCATCAAGGGACAGCAGGGCGAGCCGGGACTCCACGAGGAAATCCCCATCCCGACCTTCTACGACTCGAAGGACGACTCGAAGCCGATCGACACGAGCGCGCCCTGCGAGACTGGCTGGCGCAACATCATCAAGGAGAAGGGTCCCGAGGGCTTCGCCAAGGCCGTCCGCGAGTACCCCGGCGTCCTGATCATGGACACGACCTGGCGCGACGCCCACCAGTCGCTCCTCGCCACCCGCCTCCGCACGATCGACATGGCCAACATTGCCAAGGAGACGTCGCACGCGCTGCAGAACGCGTACTCGCTCGAGTGCTGGGGTGGCGCGACCTTCGACGTCGCTATGCGGTTCCTCTACGAGGACCCCTGGGAGCGCCTCCGCGAATTGCGCAAGCTCGTCCCGAACATCCCCTTCCAGGCGCTCGTGCGCGGCGCGAACGCGGTCGGCTACACGAGCTACCCCGACAACGCCATCTACGAGTTCTCGAAGCGCGCAGTCGAGAATGGTCTGGACATCTTCCGTGTCTTTGACTCGCTCAACTACATCGAGAACATGCGTCTCGGTATCGACGCGGCCAAGCAGGCCGGCGGTGTCGTCGAGGCCGTCATCTGCTACACCGGCGACGTCGCGAACCCGAAGGGCCACAGCAAGTACACGCTCGACTACTACCTCAACTTTGCCCAGGAGCTCGTCGACTGCGGCATCCACGTCCTCGCAATCAAGGACATGGCTGGTCTTCTCAAGCCCGAGGCCGCAACCATGCTTGTCGGCGCCCTTCGCAAGAAGTTCCCCGATATCCCTATCCACGTCCACTCGCACGACACGGCCGGTATCTCGGTCTCGTCGATGCTCACCTGCGCTGCTGCCGGCGCCGACGTGGTCGACGTCGCGATCGACAGCATGTCCGGCACGACCTCGCAGCCGTCGATGGGTGCCGTCTGCTCGGCGCTCGAGCAGTCCGGCCTGGGAACCGGCATTTCGTACGCCAACATCCAGGCGCTCAACCTCTACTGGTCGAACGTCCGCCAGCTCTACCAGTGTTTCGAGGCGAACGTTCGCGCGTCCGACTCGGTGTGTACCCACAGTCTTCTTCTGCGACTCGACCCAATCCGCTGACTCTTCCGCTTCTCCCCTCCCCTTCGCCGCCTTTCATCGCCATCTCCGCCGCGCAGGGCGTCTTCGAGCACCAAATGCCGGGCGGCCAGTACACCAACCTCATGTTCCAGTCCCAGCAGCTCGGTCTCTCTGGTCAGTGGAAGGCCGTCGTCAAGGCGTACATCGAGGCGAACGAACTCTGCGGCGACATCGTCAAGGTCACGCCGTCGTCGAAGGTCGTCGGTGACTTTGCCCAGTTCCTTGTGGCCAACAAGCTCTCGAAGCAGGACATCCTCGACCAGGCCGACAAGCTCGACTTCCCCTCGTCCGTCGTCGAGTTCTTCCAGGGCTACCTCGGACAGCCCGTCGGCGGCTTCCCTGAGCCGCTCCGCTCGAAGATCATCCGCGACAAGGAGCGCATCGACGGTCGCCCCGGTCAGAACATGAAGCCGTATCCCTTCGCCGAGGTTCGCCAGCGTGAGTGTCGCTCTCGGTTGTATCAACGAAGGCAGCCGTACGGAGCGGCGGCGGAACATCAGAAAAGCGGCGGAGCAACCCTGACCCGCTGACCTCCTTCGCTCCCGCAGAACTTGTCGACAAGTACGGCTCGTCGATCTCGTCATGCGACGTCCTCTCGTACTGCATGTACCCCAAGGTCTTCGATGAGTTCAAGGAGTTCAACCTCAAGTATGGCGAGCTCTCGTAAGTCCGCTGCCGCCTGCTCACCTTGTCTCCTTGAGCTGACCTCTGGCGCTACAGCAAACTTCCGACGCGCTACTTCCTCGCCAAGCCTCCCATCGGCGAGGAGGTCCAGGTTGAGATCGAGCAGGGCAAGATGCTCATCATCAAGCTCATCGCCGTCTCGCCCGTCAACCCCGTCACCGGCATCCGCGAGGTCCTCTTCGAGCTCAACGGTGCGTACCCTCGACCTCACACGGTGGGACTCGACTGACGAAACCGCTCGCAACGCAGGCGAGGCCCGTCTCGTCAAGATCGAGGACCGCAACGCCGCGATCGAGACTGTCCGTCGCGAGAAGGCGACGAAGGAGCCCGGATCGATCGGCGCGTCGATGTCTGGTGTCGTCGTCGAGATCCGCGTCAAGGAGGGACAGGATGTCAAGGCTGGCGACCCGTACGCCCCTCTCTCGCCGCCCACCGCTGTTCGAGACCTATCGCTGACCCGTACGATTCCTCCTTCGCAGCGTGGCGGTCATGAGCGCCATGAAGATGGAGTCGAACGTCTCCTCCCCCGTCTCGGGCAAGGTCAAGCGCGTGGCCGTCCAGGCAGGCGACTCTCTCGACCAGGGCGACCTTATTCTCGAGATTGTGCACTCTTAGGTGACCGGGAACGGATGGATGGGGATGGATACTTTGTGCCTAGAACTGACCTGACATCCGGTTTTGTGAATCTGAATCCCAAGCTGTACCTTCTCATTGCGCAACGCGACTGGAAAAGGAGAACGCTGGGGTAGTCGATTGCAGGGAAAGGGATACAGGAACAGTCTCGGGGTAAAAGCTATACGAACGTCTCAATTCTTCGCGCCTCGTCCCAGCCCGCTCATCCCAAACACCTGCTTCGCCAGCGCCGCGAGCACTTCCGCCTTCTCGGTCTGCGGGAGGTCCTTGAAGACCGAGTAGACTGACTTGCCCTTGGCATCGCGGATCGCGCCGAGCTTCGAGCCGCCGAATGCGCCGATTGCTGCGCCGGGGAGGTTGCCTGCGATCTGTCGAGGGGAAAAGGCGGGAGGAGGCGAGGGAGAGACGGTTCCGGCGGTGGAGGACAGGCAGCGCGCGATAGCGTTGTCAGTGGGCAGTCGTGGGCGCACATCGTCGAGGAAAGGACGCACGAATCCAATCACCGCTCCAGCCGCCGCGCCCGACCAGGTCCACAACGGCAAGACCCGGTTCACCTCGGGCCTCAGCATGTCCTCGAAGACGTTGCCAAAGACGTACTCCGCATCTGGCCGCTCGCGCTCCTCGGGCTCTTCCTCCGCCGCCGCACTCGTTCCCGCACCTCCGCCAAAGAAGGACCAAAAGTTCCCGCTGTCGTCCGCCGCGTCCGTCCACCGACTGCGATTCGCCTGCCTCAGCTCATCGTATGCTTGTCGTCGGTGTGGGTCGGACAGCGTGTAGTGTGCGTCGGCGACGGCTTGGAACTCGACTGTCGCGGCGCGGCGGCGGGCGTCGTTTGAGGGGCCGGGAGGGACGCGGTCTGGGTGGCACTGCAGCGACTTGCGCTTGTATGCGGTCTTGATTTGGTCAAAGGTGGCGGATTCGGGGACGCCTGTGAGGGTAGGGGCCAGTTAGCGAGGAGGTCTTGAGGAGGTGACGATGTTTCCGGCTGCATGTGCTCCGCCGGGAGTCGAGAGCCGCTGTTGCACGACGTCTGGCCTCCTGCTATGCTCCGCCCTCCTTTAAGTCCACCCAGGCCAGTCACAGAACCCTCTCCTTGTGCTCGTCGTCTCCCGGTCCGACTCCTCGTCCTCGCTGCTCCGCCGCCTAATGCCCATAAGCAAGTCGCCGCTTCGTCCCTTCTCGCCTTCGCAGTCCATCTCGAGCTTCCACGTCGGCAGCGAGTTGAGCAAGTTGTCGGAGATGTGGCGGGTGGGGAGGAGGTGAAGAGAAGGGTGAGCAAGCGTACCCAGGATGGCGTAGTAGTCGGGGAAGGTCTGCGACATGGCTGAGCAACACAGGCAGCGGACACAAGCGAGACGAGCTCGTTGTGAGCGGGAGAAGGTGAAGAAGCTGACGGCGGGGACTTCGCGACGTCACGATCGACGTGACTTTGAACGGATACAAAGCCGACCTAACCAGACATCCTCGGCTGTAATCTGGCTCATCGGCTTCACTCGTTGACCAGTTGTAGCTTCTCCTGGTCTAATATAACAGTGTACACTTGTGCCCACTGACTTTGCGGTAGAGCACTAGGCGAGGAGGAAGCGGGAGTAGCATTACAACCGTGACTTTGAGCTAATGTTGCAACATTACCCCGTCTCATCAGTTCGGGGCGAGCTTTCTTGCTGTCGCACTCTCACTCGCTCCCGCTTGTGACTGCCGCTGGACGATGTCAGACACCAAGTACGCCGAGATCCAGGAGACGCCCGTCGCTTCCACCTCGCGTGGACGACGGGCACGCCCTCTCTCGCCCGCTCTCGACGAGCAGATGGACGTCGACGACACCAACAGGACGGACGAAGAGGAAGACGAGGACGACGAGGACGACCCCATTGTGCGACGACTGCCGGTCTACTACACACCCGAGTACATCCAGTCGCTCTGCCTCCTCCAGTACCCCGACCGCCCTCCTCGACCCGAAACACACCACCCGCTCCTCCCGCCCGCTCTCGAGCCAGACTGGCAGAACGACGACTCGCCTGCGGTGGGGAGGCTCGTCGCCAAGTTCAAGCCGCAGACGCAGCACCTCGAGGTGACGGTGCCGATGGAGAAGGATCCCGAGCGGTGGAACGAGGAGAACGCGATGCGATTCGCGACGGGCGTGATTGAGGACAAGGACAAGGAGCGCGAGAAGGAGACGCAGAAGAAGGGCGGGAGGAGGAAGAGGCGAGACCCGGCGGAGGACGAGGCAGAGCAGCGGTACAGGGAGGAGAAGGAGGCGAGGCGGCTCGACAAGATGGTCTATGCGAGTACGGGCGTGCCGGAAGTGACGAGCTACTTGATCGGTGTCGTGCGGAATGGTGAGCGCAGCGTCCAGTCATTCCCAGCTGACCCTCGCTGACCGTCTCGCCGCTCTCCAGACGCTCTCCACCTGAACCCGATCAACCAGACTTTCCAGCTCCGCCCCTCCCTCACCTACCTCGACCAGATCCTCGCCAACGAGCGACGCGCAAAACGCGCTGCCGAGCAGAACGACGACGACGATGACGACGAGGTTTCGGAGACAGAGATGAAAAAGGAGCAGGCCAAGGCCGTGCAGGTGTCGGTCAAGCGGCAGGAAGGACAGGCGAAGGGACCGCTGGGCGGAGGCAACGGACGAGCGGGTGCAGGACTGTTCGCGCCATTGCGGGCGGAGGAGGCGGAAGAGTGGAAACCGCTCAAGCACTTTCATGCGAATGTGCGTGTCCTCCTCGTGCAGTTGCTTCCCGCGTCCTCGCCGCTGACTTTCACCCTGCTACCCAGACGGATGCTGCGCGGGACGCGTTCGACAGGATGTGCGCGCCGTCACAGACGAAGCTGACGAGCATCACGAAGCCGAAAGAGTACCTCGCAGCATGAAGGCGCTCCGCCGTTGCAACGCATTCTATAGCATGACCTCCTCTTGCGGCACGTGAAGCTCGAGCACGCGTCGTCGCACAGACCACCGCGACGAGGACCCCTCTCCTCCTTCTCCTCACAACATCGCTCGTTCCTCCTTTGTTGTGATAGCTGACGGTTGCTAGAGGAGATGGCAACGCCGATCGCAGAGCTCTACGCCCGCCCACACAGCGCCTACCTCGAACCGTCGCCGTCTCAGCCAGCTCAGTCTTCGACCACTCCTCCCAGCTCGGCCATCTCATCTCTCCGCGCGTCGAGGTCGACTTACAGGACGTCTGTCTCGCTGCAACCCGACGCAGACCCATTTGCAGCTGGCACAATGGCGCACGACGAGGAGGAGGGCGAGATGGAGGGCAGTCGGAACGGGATCTCGCAAGACTCGACGACTTCGCCCCCTCAGCGCTCGAGCGGTCCGTTACGCCGCACATCCTCGTTCTTTCGCTCTCTCGTCAACTCGACCCGACCGAAACCCCGCCGCGCCCGCTCGTCCATCCTCCTCTCGAGTTCAGCAATCTCGCCGCCTCTTCCGCTCGACCCGCCGCCTAAGGTCGCACCGATCCGAACGAGAGCCACGCTTGTCCAGGTCGGAGTGTTGGCGCAGATGGTCGAAGAACAAGCGGGGTCGGGGTGGAGCGGGACGGGGACGAGCTATCCCTCTGGGTCGACTTCGCTTCGAGGTGCTGCGACGTCAACGCCCGAGCGTACCGTCAAGCGGAGGCGCTCGCTGGGTAACTTGCTCAGACGGACGCCGTCGAGCCTCGGTCAGCACGTCGAGGACGAACCGGTCGTTGCGGACGAGACTTCGACACCGGCCTCGCCAAGCAGGGGTTAGCGACTTCCACTTTCTGCTTGTCGATGTCGCTGACGCTGCTCTCCTTTCGGGAACGAAGACGTCGGCGTCGCCCTCACAACCGACACGCCCAGTCGTCGCGCAGGCCTCAATCGCCGCTCCCTCGTCTCGTCCGTCTCGACTCCGCAGCTCCGCTCTCGAATCGCGTCCATCGCTTCAGAAGCAGCAATCGAGTCGCCCGCAAGCTCTCCGCCGCAACCGCCGTTCCGCAGAGTCGCACAGGCGGATCAGCCTCCTCCCCGCCCGCCGCCGTCTGTTCCGCTCCCGCCCATCCCGCAGATCAACACGATTGCACCGACGCCTGGCACGACTCCAGCAAGTCACAAGACGGGCACAGGCTTGCGACGTCGCGATACGGCACCGTCCGTCTTCCAGCCGTCGAGCTACAAAGCGCCGCCAGGTCTCGCTGCGGAAACGCCTGAACCGCCTTCGCCTCTCCGCGCCGAAAGCCGCGCCTCTTTCCGCTCGGTGACCTCAAACGGTCCAGCCCCGCCGAGACCACAACGTTCTCCCCTCCGCCCAGCTCCCTCCCGCTCCGCTTCGCCCCTGCCTTCCGCCTCGAGCGCGCCGCATCGTCCGACGACGCTCGCGCCGCCCGTCTCGTCCGCCACTTTACCCAGTTCGGGCTCGTCGCCGCTCCGCCAGCGTCTCTCGAAGCTTCCGTCCGAGGAACAGCGCGAGACGGAGGAGAAGGTCCCGCTCGCGAGTCTGTACCTTGTGGCGGGGCTGTCGAAGGACCCGCAGACGTGGGTGCGGTCGAGGAGCGAAGACGGAGCGGGCGAGAGGAGGTGGAAGGCGGAGGTGTTGGGTGTCTTGACCGGCGACGAGGAGAAGCGCGATAGCGACATCAAGCTTGTCAGGCTCGACCGGGCGGAGCGGGAGAAGGTGACGCAGAAGGCGTTGAAAGTGCGTCTTCAGCTACTTGACATCTGGCGCAGATCTCGCGAGCTGACCTGTGCGCTCCCAGATGTCGTTCCGCCACGACGTCGAGCTCGTCTCTTCGCCCACTCAGCCGCCAGCGACGACCTCCTTCTTCTCCTTCGCCACCTCTTCTTCAACTGCGCCGCAGCAGAAGCAGTACCATGCCGTGGCGCTGAAGGTCTGGTCGCAAGTCGAGTCCGCTCGCGCCGCCGCAATCGTCTCGAGACTTAGACGCGACGGCTCGGCAGGCGCAGACGCGGTCAAGCAGGCGAAACGGACGACGAAGCTTGGGCGGCGCCTGAGTCACCAACTCATTGAGCAGATGGAGGGTTTCGAGGATACGGACGGGATTGAGGTGCCCTCGAGCGGATTCGCGACCGAGACGGACGGTCGTGCGTTCTTCGCTCGCCTCTCGTAGTCACATCGGCTGACATATTGTCGTAGGGGACTCGGCTTCGGACGGGATCGCTGGTGAGCGCAGCGAGTCGCTCTGGATGCCCTACTGCATCATCCTAGTCTCGACGTTTCCGATCCATGTAAGCGGGCTGGGTCTCCGATGGAAAAGTCTCCTGACGCGGGTCGCACGCAGATTCTTCTCAGCGACGTCCTCCGTCTGTCGTGGGCCCTGTACCATCAGGACCTCGCGATGCACAATGCCCAAATGGACGTCCTCCTGAGCAGCCCAGCGCCTCGAGCGGGCGAGCGCATCGTCGTGCCGATCAGCCTCGAGGAAGAGCATGCGGACACGACCTTCGTTGCAGTAAGGGCTTTCGTCCACCTCGCTGCATGCGACTGCTGACCGCTTCTCCCGCAGATCATGCCCGGCGAGATCGACTGGGCGACTGGCTCCCTCCGCCAACTACATCTGCCGATTTGGCCCGTCTTCAAGGCGTTGCACCTCGACAACATGCTCACCATCGCAGAACTCGCGCTCGCGCCCTTCGGCAAGATCGCCTTCGTTAGCCGCCACGACTTGCTTCTCGTGCGTGATTGTCTGGGTCCTCGATAGGAGGAGTGAGTTGACGCTCTCGTCATGCAGGACTTGTCGGTCTACGTCTTTCAGCAGATCCTCGAGGGCCAAGGCTGGAGAGGTCTTGTTCAGGCCTCAGCGCATGTCCGCGATCTTACCGTCTACCTAGACGTGCGTCTCGGTGCCTACACATTCCGTCGCCGAGGCTGACTACCGCTCGACCCAGGACTCGGGCCCCTGGCTTATCGGCGCGCCCTTCTCCGCCCGCGCTCTTCTCGCCAGCCTCGCTCCGGATGTCGCAGTCGTCGACCTCGACAACAACCTCGTCACTTGCTCGAAACCGCCAAGCGGAGCACTCTCGAAAAGTCCCGTCCGCGACAAACTGCTGCGCGCCCTCGAAGCAGCGATCGGCAACATCGGCCGCAACTTCGTGCCGAAGGAGGTCGTCGAGGCGTTCTCGCACGGTCGCTTTCGACCTTTCTCGCTTGTACATGTCCGCTCACTATATCGACTTCGGGAAGTCCTCTCACAGCATTTCCACCGGCAGGTCGAGGTCGCAGGCCAGCCCCGCGAGGCCGAGCGTCTTCTCCCCGATCCTGCTTGGCAATGGAGCGACACCCGCGCTCTTTCCGCCTTCTCCAACACCCTCTCGCAAACGCCCCGAGCCGGACTCGTCGGTCGAGTTCTTCGACTTACGAGCCCTCGCAAGAGCGTCAGCCTCGACCACCAGACCCTCCGGATGCAGGTCCTCCTCCGCAAGAACGTCGAGGCGTGCGTCGAGCAGCGCGACACACTCGAAGCCGATTACGGCCGCGCGAACAGGAAACTCGCCGTCTTGATTCAGCAGAGCCTCGAGTGGCAGGAGTCGTTTGCCGTCTTCAAGGAGGTGCGTACGCACCCTCACCTTCCCGGGCGCATCGCTGATGCCGCTCCATGCAGTTCTCGGAGCGCGCTGCCCTCCAGGTCGTCGAGCTGCGGGACCGTTTGGCGGCGGAGCACGACACGACTGCGCAACTCAGCGGGCAACTCGTGCAAGACCGCGAGCGACGCATGCGACTCGAAGCCAGTCTCGAGGCAGCCGAGCAAGCCAGGCTCGACGCCATCACCGAGCTCAGCCGGATCAGCGCCATGCGTCGCCGCGTCGAGGAGCAGCGCGCGCTCTTGTCGCAGGGGGTGCGGGCGGTAATCAGCGGCGCCAAAGACGAGACAAGCCCGATCTACCAAGCCGTTGCAGCTCGCATCGACGGCATCTCGCACCGCAGCCAGACGCCATCGCTCTCGCCTCGCTCGACTGACCAGCTCCAATCACCTACGGATGAGCAGGCCGCCCAGCTGAGTGGACGCTCCGATACGCCGGACCTTGTTGTCGATGGCGAGAAGATTCGGGCGGCCACGCAGGAGGTCTTCCGGGTCATCTCGTCCAGGCTTTCACTTGCCCTGCAGGCCGTTGGCGAGTCTACGGCGGCGGACGCGTTAGCGCAGTCGACGTCGGTCGCTTCCTCGGTCGGGACCACGTCGCCTTCGCGATCAGCCATCAGCGACGATGCGACCCTCGTCTCGTCGACTTCCGCCCCTGCTCGCCCTGCCTCCCCCGACATTGGCCCGTTCTCTAAGCCATCGTCGACAAGCCCTTCCGCCTCGCCTGTCCTCAGCTTCCAGCCGAAACCTCTCCACCTGACCCCGCCAGTCACGCCCGAAGTCAGCGATCCGAACACGCCTTTCTCCTTCGTAACCATACGGCCTCGTCACCGCCGTATTGCATCTGGTTTCTCGTCGCACGGCCGCCAGAACTCGCTTGGTGCAGCCTCCGTCCTCAGCTCGGCCAGCTCGGATGCCAGCACGCCGCTCGCCACTCCCATCAGCCGGTCTTTCACGTCGCCCACTCTCAATCGCTCGACTCCGCCTTTCCACAAGTCGACCTTGTCGCGCTCGGCATCTTCGCCGCTGCCAATGCACGAGGAGAGCGACGCCGAAGACGACGCCCAGAGCTTCGTTAGCGTCAGCGAAGGCTACACGGCTTTGCACGCCAGTCGCGCGCATACTCCGGCCTCGATGCGGACCAGCAACCATTTCGAGCTCGAGGAACTCGCCGACAACGTTGCAGAAACGCCGGAGCGCCGCGACGGTTTCGCCCACTCGAGGCAGTCGTCGTGGTCGATCGATGCGCCGCCTGTCGCGCTCTTTACTCGCAGCGGATCGATCAGGTCGCTGAACAAGCGGTGGAGCGTCAACATGGAGGGACGAGTGAGGACGGCGGTCGAGCACATCGAGCAGTCGTCCAGGCCGTAGTCTCTCCCTCGCGCTTAGTACAACGAATGTAGCAATTGCTGTTCATCCTTTGCGTTCTACAAGCGAGCCCTGCGAGAGCTGCGAACGAGAAGGCGGGGTCGGTTCGTCAACTTGCGAAGGTCAAAAGTCTCGAGGCGAGCAGTGCGCTGACCTTTTCCGTCCTCTACGCCGTGAGAGGCCTTCCACCGCGCTCGAGGCGCATGCAGAAAGCGAGCATGTCGCTCAGCTCGGCCTTGGCGCTCTCGCTAGCCGTCAACTCTAGCTCCTGGACGACGCGAGCCTTCGAACATGCGATTTTGACGCGCGTTTCGGGCGTGAGCTGATCGTTGCGGAGCCTCCAGTCGATGTAGGTGAGGCGCGACTCGTGCGGGACGATCTCGTAGAGGGCGAGGAGGGAGCGTTCAAAGTCTGCGAGCGAAGTCAGCAAGGAAAGCTTCGCCGCTTCGATAGCCCGAACGCACGATCGGCTCTGTTCTTCGTGACATTGAGCTCCTTCTCGAGCTCCTGTATCTTGGTCTGGTCCGCGACACTGCTCTGAGGCGACTGAACAGGCGAGAGGAGGCTGCGGGTGGCGGAAGAGGGAGTGGCCGGCGCTGCCGTGGACGAGGGTGTTGTCGGCGGGAGCGCTGTGACAGGGAGAGGTGACTGAGAAGGGGCGAATGCGTGGATCAGGAGGAGCGACGCACAGGGGACCCTGACCGTCCTCGAATCGAAGCAGACGAGGTGGAAGGAGGCGATCGCGCGGTTTTCTGCAGCCCCGGCCGTGTTGATGATATCGAGATATCCAGGCGGCATGATGGCGAGGTTGAAGCCAAAGGGGGACTGTCCCGTCTCTGCGCGAGGCGAAGGAACATGGTCAGCTCGAAACCCGCCAATCCTCCGGCGGCACCTGCCTGGTCTGGCTCGCTTCGCCTCAGAGGTGGCAAGTCAAGACTCACGGAGTACTCCTTGCAGGTGTCCCGTCCCATCCGCACCGAGAACCTTGCCGCCGACGAGCGAACCCTCCATCGACCCTTCGAAGCGCAAGAGACTACCGTACGAGCCGATGAGGTCCTGCCTCGCCGAGTACCACGTCAGGTCCCACTTCATGCCCGGCGCGAGCTCGGCGGAGAAGTTGGCCTCGATGGCGCCGTCTGGGAGGGTGGACGAGGCGAACGGCAGGGCGCGCGCGCCATCGAGGAAGAGGCTGACGTTGATCTGCTCGGCCTGGACAGCCATTAGCGAGGGTCTAGAGTGTGCGAGCGAGAGAAGCGAGTGCAAAGTGAGCGGGAGGAGGGAAAGAGAGGGAGCGAGCAAGGCGACGTCCTCGCCTCGACGATAACTCGCGACATAGGATTGCAAAAGCGTACAACAGCACTGAACACATCACTTGGACTGCGGACCGAAGGTACCGACGATGCGGATCCTGCACGGCGAAGAACCAGACTCCGTGCTAGAGTCGTTCTCGCTTTGCCCCTTCTCCGGCGTCTCCTGGCACACGGTCTCGCTCCTGCCGTCCTCTTCTCCGATCGTCGAAGTCCTCCTGCGCGAGCGAAGAGGATAGCGCGACGCGGTACCGTCTTGCGCCTGCTCCGTCTCGCCCATCTCGCTCGCCTCAGCTTGCGGTGCGAGTGCCGGGCTCGGCGTCGGCGTGTTTGGTTGCTGCAAGCGCTGCTGATTGGCAAGGGAGAGCACGCGAAGCTCGTTCTGCGCGTCGTGAGGCAGGCGACAGAGGATCTCGGGGGTTGCAGCGAGTCGGTCGATGAACTGGAGGCGCTGATCTTGGGTCATCATCGAGAGGAGGAGGCGGTTGGCGCCGCGGAGGAAGGCAATGGCGTCGGTGAGCTGTATCGGCGAGTAGCGGTCAGTCGTGCAAGCTCCAATCTGCGAAGGTCGCGCTCACCTCGTGCGCCGGAACGGAGTCTGGAATCGTCGCAGGACCTGCAGGGGAGACTCTGTACCATGAGCGCCCTTCCGCGCCACTCAAGCGAAGTAGACGCACGGTCGACGAGGCCGAGAGCCTCGAGATGCGCGCGCGGGGCGTACTGCCAGGAAAAGACAACGACAGGTCGCTCCTGGTCCATCAACTCGATGTCGCTGACCGCCAGTTGGCCGATGCTGCCGGAGAGACAGTTCGGTGAACGTTGAAAGTCGAGCGAGCGAGCGTAACTCACCCGAGAACCGTCCCTTCTTTCGGCCAGCATCGGTAGATCTTGAGGTCGACTCGCCGCTTGTCCGCCATCTCGAGCGACTGAGGGAGATCTGCAGATGAGTCATGAGTCAGCGAGATGTCAGGCACGACGAGATGAGGCAACGCACCGCTGAGCGAAGCGTCGAGGTACCAAGGGATGGGTCCCGACTGTCCCTCCGGATCCGCAACGCCTGCGCCGCATGCGTAGACCTTGCACCAGGGCTGTGGAAGTCCTTTCGTCAGAATAATGCGCCCTGAGGGGTCGAGCGAAGGACGAAACGCACGTTGCCTTGGTCGACGAAGAGAAACCCGACATATGCTTCGAGCTGCGTGACCGGCCGGAGCGAGCTGTCCCTCCGGAAGAACACCCTGCAAGCCGCCCCTGGAATGCCCTCCATCCAGCACGACAGCTCATTCGACGCCGTTCCCACCGGCTTGAACTCTGCGACCGCAACAGAGTGCGACTGGCCGGTTGCCGGATCGCGCACCTCGAGGAGCATGTTGGCGGTGAAGCCAGATTCTTTGTGACTGCGTGCGAGGCGAGGCGAGGGAGAATCAGCGAGCAAGTCCTCCGAGGTGAGAGGGAAGATGAGGCTCGCTCACATCATGATGGGCGCAGCTGCGAGCGCGGTCGTGCAGTCGAGAGAGAGCGTTCTGGCTAGAGCAGGTGGAAGCCAGGCCGTACAAGCGAGTACGAGAGAGCGAGGTGAGCGGGCGGAGGAAGAGCCTGCGAAGGTCAACGGTGGTGGGACAACTCGCCTCTCTCGCTGAGCAGGACTCTGCACAATGACAACAGCGTACGCTAGACCGGAACAAGCTACACAACAAGCGAGACGGGGCAGAGCGGGAATCGCCCTTCTCAGTCCCGCCTCGCCCGCTTCGTCGAGACGGTCGACGACGCGACAGACGCGCTCCGCTTGTTCTGTTCGCAAAGAATGTCAGCGAGCATGCTCAGAGATAGGCGAAACGACTGAACGCACCCTGTTGGCGGCCCTGTCGCCGTCGTCGTCCTCACCCTTGATGACCGGCTCCTCCTGACCGAGCAACTGCATCTTCTTCTTCCTGACGAGCCTGATCTCGCCCTGGATCCTGTCGACCGCCTTCTTGAGTTCGATCATCTGGCTCAGCGCAGCTTGCAGGTCGTCGAGCTTGGCGATGTTGGTCTTGGTCGGCATGATGAGGTGCGTCGAAAGGCCGGTCTCGGTGAGTGCTGCGGCGACCTTTTGCGCGATGCCGGACTTGACGGGCGCGAGGCGCGACGAGCGGACGGCGACGGAGGGCCACATCGAGGCCTTGGGCGCGACGGCGGAAGGAGCGGGGTGGCGCTCGACGCACATCGCCGCGTCTGCGCAGATACTATCGTCAGCGGAGCTTTCGAACGAAGGCCGGAGGACGCGGACTCACCCTCTTCGGCGGTGGCCCTCCGCTTGCTCCCTTCTCCCGCCCACCCCTCCGGCAACGCATTCGCACTCCCCGCATAATCCCAACCCGGCCCCTTCCTCCTCCTCTCCGCCTCCTTCCCGCCCATCCCTCCCTGCCCCAACCCCGCAAGCCCCTGCGCGCCCGACCCGGATGCCCCAATTCCGTCTCGCCCGCCAAGGAGGTGCAGGAGCTCTGCCCGCTCGGCTGCAATCTTGTGGTAGTTTTGCTCGATTCGCCGCGACTCGACGTAGAGAAAGTCTTCTTCGGCGATCTCGGCGGGCGTGCGCGAGAGGAGAGAGGCGACGTAAGCCTTGCGCTCAAGTTCGCGGTCTGCCCGGAAAGAAGTGGTCAGCGTCGCTCGCGCAGGAACCGATGGGCAACGCACTCAGATCGAAGCTGAACGAGGCAACGGCTTCTTGTCGCGCCTTCTCGAGCCGCTCCTTCTCCCCTTGGTCCGCCGGCTCCGGGCCTGGTCGATTCGCGGCGAGGATCCGGCAGACAGAATAGTAGCGGTCTTTCAACGCCTGTGATGCATTCCTGTCAGCAAAGGCGTCTCGATATAGAGGAGGTTGACGCACATCCACTCCCCGCTCCTTTGGCAGCGCCCACCGATCTGCCATCACGATGAAGCGCAGGTCGAACTCGTGCGCGAGCGCAAAGAGGTGGTCCGTCTCGTCCTTCGACCAGTCCTCGGCTGCAGCAGGAACAAGGTCAGCGAAGGGAGGTCGTCAGAGTAGGGAATGCGACGAACACTTGAGCCACCGATCGTACTCCTCCGGCGTGTACGAGAACGGCTGGCTGGACGTGTTGAACTTGGCAAACTTCTGGTCGGGCATGCCGTCGACAAAGTTCTGCGGTAGGTCCTTCACCCAATGCCTCAGGACAAGCTTCTTGCGCGCCTGCTTCGCACGGTCTCCATCGTCCGGCGTGCCCGCTCCTCGCGAAGGGTTCGTAAAGCCGATGAGGTGCCAGTGCGCAGCGGGCTTTGTACGCTTCGCGCGCTCCTTGAACTTGGGCTTGACAGGCTGTGCGAGCGCGAGGGTGGGAGCGTTGTCGCCGATGAGGGCGTAGAGCTCGCGGGTGATGCCGTCGAGGCGCTTGGTGGGCGGACCGGGAGGACCGCTGCGCTTGGCGGGCTGCAGGGAGGAGGAGGGCGCTGCTCCGAGTTGGAGAATGTCGCGGACGTCCTTGGCGCTGGCCATCGTGTCGGGCTAGACGGGTCGGAGGAGGAGGGTCGAGGATGGGAGGAAGAAGTTCGGTTCTGCGGGTAGGCGAGGCACGATGTCAGCACGGCTGCGTTCACTCTGCTCCCTGCACGCCTTCTAGTCGCGTTCCTCCCGCCCGCTGTGCCGTATTGCGCCAATTGAACGCGTTCTTCACCTCGTCGAGATGAGGGCCGCCGAGCCGGTGTCACGGGCCCCGCCGCCCGCCCAGTGTCCGCAAACGCATAACGAGGAGCTGCCATGCTCACGTTGCTGCTTGTCTCGCCAGCCGAGCGCGTTGTCGCCGACTTGGTGATGAGACGGGTCGAGGAGAGGTGTCGAAGGCGAGAATAAGCGCTCAGGCGTGTTGCAGCGCGGTTAAGCAGCAGCCTCCAGAGCTAGTAAAGTTCTCAGTGGTGCTCAATCAGCCAGCTTGAGCGAGTTGTGGTGAGAGCGTCCTCCTGAGCAGCGAAGTCCCGCTTTGAGGCTGTCTCTCTCGCTCGCTGAAATCTGTGAGGGTGTAGAAAGTGTTCTTAATGCGGTAATCGCGGGTACTCGCGTGCATATTGTCCTTCAAGCGGACGAGGCGGACCGCTTCCTCCTCCTCTCCCCGCCTCGGGTCGCTGGTTCGCTCTTGCTTCCGCTCCCACACCTCGCAGAGGACACATACACACAGCCAGTGCGTACAGTGGCACTGTGTATGAGCGTACACTGACTGTCCAACTCGCAGTGCCCGTCAACGTCAGCTCAGAGACCGTCAAGCTCTCCCTCGGAGCCTCGTCCGTCGAGGTCGCCCTCAAGGTGAGTCGCTGGATGTGCAGGCTGTCCCGTCGCTACAAGCTGCGTGGTTTGGGTCTGCAATCAGACGAAGACGCCGCAGACAGCCGTTCTTCACGCACTCGCCGACTTATGACGAGGGGATGTTGGCGGGAGGTGAGTTGGTCAGGCTGGGCAATTCACTGACCTGTACGCTCCACAGGGCGCCACCGTGATCTCTTACGTCCACGACGGCCGCGAGCGCCTCTTCGTCTCGTCGAAGTCCGACATCCGCACCTCAGACTCGACAGCCATTCGCGGCGGCGTCCCCCTCTGCTGGCCCGTCTTTGGCCCTCCTCCGTCCGACAACGAGCTCTTCAGCAAGCTGAAACAGCATGGGTTCGCGAGGACGAGCGTGTGGGAGGTCGCGGACCAGCAGGACTCGCAGGAGGGCGTCAAGGTCGTCTTCAGTGCGTTCACGCGTTCGACGACTACGACGAGTGCACTGCTGACGGCATCTCTGTGCAGAGCTGTCCCCCACCGAGGCTATCAAGTCGGTCTTCAAGCTCCCCTTCACCCTGACCTACACCGTCGACCTCCGCCCGTACACCCTCGTCCTCACCCTTCACGTCGAGAACCCCTCCTCCGCCGTCGCCGCTCTCCCCTTCCAAGCCGCTCTCCACACCTACTTCCGCCTTCCTCAAGGCGTTAGGCCCCCCGACGTCTCGGTCGACGGCCTTGAGAACCTCGCTTACAACGACAAGGTCTCGGGCGAGCAGAAGGTCACTGAGCGGAGGAAGGAGGTCGTTGTTGATGGACCGAATGGGGAGATTGACCGTGTGTACTTCCGCGCGCCGAACGAGTTGGTCATGCGCTTCAAGGGCCAGGCTGAGACGGTCAAGGTCACCAAGTCTGGCTTTGCCGACGCTGTCGTGCGTTCGACGCATTCTCACCGTCCTTCACTTGCTGACGAGCCTTCACGCGCAGGTCTGGAACCCCGGACCGAAGAAGGGCTCGACCATCGCCGACATGGAAGAAGGAGGCTACGACCGCTACGTCTGCCTCGAAGGCTGCCAGGTCGAGCCGTTCGTCTACCTCGACCCTGGAAAGGACTGGACCGGCACGTACGAGGTCTCATTTGATCAGTGACTAGCCGGCGGACCAGCGGCAGGTGGGGGGAAGCTGTAGACTCTTCCGATCGTGTTCGAGTGTATCTCATGCGAAAAGCAGTGCATTGCGGTTACTCCTAGACACACAGAGAGATGCTCGTCCCACCCGCTTCTTCACCACTCATCCTCGTCGTCGTCCCAAACCGGCGCAAGCTGCGTTCCCCTCCCAGCTCCTCCAGCTACTCCCGTTCCTCCCACATCGTGCACGCGGTATGCTGCAGCCGGGTCAAAATGTGCGGGCGGGACGGGGTCGGTTTCGAGGTCCGAGTCGGAGGAGTTGCCACCGCCTGGGTCGACAGAGGCCCAAGGATCTGCTTCGATGCTGCTCGCGAGCGAAGGTCAGCTTTGCTAGAGCCTAGAGCTACACTCGAGCGTGGCACGTACTCCTGCCAGTCAAAGTCCGTCAGCATCCGGCTTGGAAGCGAGAGAGGGTAGGTTAGACTGACCTCGCGCCTCTTCAAGTCCTCCTTGTCAACCGCCGCTGCCTGACACTTCTTGCACACCGCCGCCCGGTCCTTCGCGCGCTGTTTCGTACGAAGGTCGAGCTTGTAAGCTTATGAGCGGGAGGGAAGAAAGGAGGAGGAGAACGGACCATCGCATCTGAGAACTCCTTCCGGTCTTTCTCGAGCCGGCAGTCGACGCTGCGAGATGAGAGGAACGGTGAATGCGTTGTCGCATGACGCGCACAAAGAAAGGAAGACGCACCAGCGGATGATTTGCCGTTGCTTCGGTACGCAGCGCTCGCACTTTGGCCAGTCTGCGCGCCCATCGACTCATGAGCCACCTTCACCCAAAAGACGACGCAGGGGATAAGCCTACCGTTCGGCTTGATGAGCTTGAGCGATCCTTCTCGCCTCATCGTGTCGAACTTGTTCGCCGCCTTCTTGAGCTGCGAATCGGAGAAGCGGTTCCGGTCGAGCATCTGCAGCGCCAAGCGGTCAATAACCGAGCAGTACAACCGAGTGACGTGAGGCTCACCTGGACACATGAGCCGCAGAAGCTGGAGAGACTCAGCGAGGGTCAGCAAGTCGACGCGGCGTTTGTTCGTCAGCACGCACATCTGTCGGTCGTAGCGAATGTTGACCTGCGGAGAGGCAAGTCAGTTCTCTCTCTCGCCCTTCCTGGACAAGGCAGGAGGCGCACGAGCTGCGGATCTGGTGCGTAGACAGCAGGGCGCTGCGGAAATGAACAGTCAGACGCCTACAACGCCGTTCTGAACGCCCTCACGCACCTGATACGGCTCCGCTGCAGCCCTCGCACTGCTCGAAGCACTCGCGGCTGACCCTCCTCGCACCGGCCCTACCCCTGGACTACCCAAAGCCGGCGTGCTCCTCGCGCTCTCGCTCTTGATGCGCTCGGAGGCGGCTCGACGAGCGAGTCGTGGATCGACGGTGCGTTCTGCTGGAGTTGTCTGGCGGGAAGGGAGGGGCATGTTGTGCGGATGCGAGGAGGATGGAGATGGGAGAAAGTGGTCGGAGTTGGGGCGGAACGGCTCGAAGCAACAGAGGAGGATGGGAGATAAAAGTCGCGCCACTCTGGCGTTTGAAAAAGCGTTGGGAAGCTGAGTCGAAGAGGCGAAGGACGATGCGTGAAGAGGGCAGACGGGGACGGGAGACGTCGCGGAACGTGGGAGCTTCGGTCAGCAGGCTCTACGAGCTCGATGTGTAGTTTCGCGTGTCAATCGAGCAGTCTCAAGCGGTTCGGCGGTAAGGAGCGAATGTGAGGAGGTCAAGGGGAGGGGTCGTCCGTCAACCAGCGACTTGCTCCTGCTCAAAGGACCGCTGAAAGAGCTTGCGCTTGCCAGAACTGCTCTTGGGATGGAGACTGACGAGCAGAAGGTGCGCAACTTCTCATCGCAGCTGTTGTGCGTTCGCTCACCCTCGCCAAACCTCGACAGAGGGAACGTCAGCAAAGAGCGCTCGGCGCCGCTTTTCTCGCCCACCAGGTCTCTGAGCTCGAGGAGTCTGTCGACACGCTTGCCTTCTCGCGCGACCCGCGGCTCTACGGACGAGGAGGAGGGCGAGGACGGGGTCGAGGAGGACGAGGTGGGGGAAGCAGCGAGTCGAGGGAGGACAAGCGGGAAGTCAGGGTGGTCGATGCGAGTGCACTCGTACATGCTCTGCCAGTCCTGAAGCGGTGGATCAGGGAGGACCGCTACCAGCTCGTCGTTCCCTTGTCCGGTGCGTCTACCCTGCCCTCATTTCCTTACTCCCTACTCAGCCCTTGGTCTCACAGCTTTGTCCACTCTCGACCTACTAAAGAAGGCACCAAATCCGCTCCACGACCTCGCTCGCGATGCGACCCGCTTCCTCGAAGGCCAACTCGACATTGCCCGCCAGATTCAGGCCGCCTTCTCTCCCGCCGATGCCGATGCACGAACACGGTTGCGAGCACAGCGACAAACCGAGGAGGTGCCGTGGAGCGAGGTGGAGAAGCTGTTCAGGGTGCCGGAGGGGTGGGTCGTCGAGCTGCCGGAGGGAATCGAATTCCCTCCTCCAGTCGAGGGCGAGGATCCAGAGCCGCTCCCACTCCCAACCGCCAACGACATACCTCGACATCTGCGTTCGACCATTCAGAGCATGCTCCACTTCCATTCCTCCGCCCGCACAACCTCGCCAAGCGACACTTCGCCCGTCGGAATCGTCTACAACTCGCTTCTCGATACGCCTCCGCCTCTCGCTGAACCTCTCAGTCGCCTCGTTGCTCATTCTGCCACTTCAGCCAACGATATCACGGATCCTCACTCTTCACCGCGCCGCAGAACCCGCGAACCCGCTCCTCCGCCCGACTTCCTCGCCCTCTCGTCCGGCGACGCTCTCTCGTACTACCTCTCCACGTTCTTTCCCTCAATCACCAATGCTCTCTACGTTATCCCGTCGACCGAAGTCGTCGCCGCCTCGTCGTGGCTGAAGGCGCAGGCGCAGGCAAAACAGCAGGCGGACGATGTATCTACGCGTGGGCGAGGCGGAGGAAGAGGCGGCGGACGAGGTCGCGGACGAGGAGGAGGCGATGGCGGAGAGGGCAGAGGTGGCGGACGCGGAAGAGGCGGTCGAGGTGGGCGAGGGCGGGGTGGATCTGCGCAGGAGAGCGGTCCGAGGACGCTCTTCGTACCATGATGAGCGTTCCACACCTCAAGAACGCCTGCCCGCATCCACAACGACCCGTCTTACTCGCACGGCGCACGAGCCGAAGATGTAGGACAAGGCAGCCGGTCGATCGCTCGAGACTAGGTCGACTTGCGCAGCGCTCTCACCGAGCTCGCACATTCCTCTCGCCCACCTCGTAGCGCTGGCCTCTCGCGCAGATTGCAAAGGCGTCGCAATGCAAGACTGACGATTGCACTTCGTTTTGAACCGCGCGATGACTGCCTCAACTCGAAATCAAGCGATGAAGAGAAGCGAGTGCCTGGAAAAGAGGGGAAGAAACTGAGGGCGACGATGAACAGAGGGAAGGAAAGAACGGTTACACGACTTTTGGTGATCTTCGAGGGGCACGTCTTGGTGTAGGAAGAGGAGATGGACGCCGGCGAGCGAGACGAGAGACAGAGATCGTTATCGCTGAGAAGGCCGCGTCCGTTTTGGTGGCACAGAATGAACAGATTGATGCGGTTGTAACTCTTGAGGGTCGAGGCCGATGACGATGCAGGGGAAGGAAAAGATGCGTCGAGAGGGCAGGCGTTTTGGGTGTGGGAAGAGGGGACTTGGGTAGTCGAGGGTCGTGAAGGATGGGTAAAGCGGTCGTGACCGTGTATGGCAGCGAAGGCGAAGGGAAAAGAAAGCGAGGGGGAGGGGAAAGCGGGGGCGGAAGGCGAAGGGAGCTTAGCCGGTCGCGCCGTGCTCGGCTTTCCGCTGGAGGATGAGCTGGTAGACGCCGTCCTGGACGTAGGGGTCGCCCTCGCCTTGAATGGTCGTGTCGCCGTGGCACTTCTTGGCGTGCTGTCGGAGCGCTCGAGGTCAGTCTCGGAGTGCGCAAAGTCCGGCAACGCAGTCAACGCACCTTCCACCAAATCAGCTCGGGAACGATCGCGTCGATGTTCTTGACGCTGAGGAGCGGGACCCAGACGTTGCACTAATCGGGCGAGGTCAGCTCAAGTGCCGGGAAGGGCGAGCACGAAAGGCTCACCTTGTGGCAGAGACCCTCGGTCATTTGCGAACGCTGATCCTTCGTACTAGCAGGAAGGCCGACGACGCGAGTCTGGACCGGTGGCGAGAAGGGCAGGCCTGCACAAGACGGTTCGTTAGCAAGGCGTTGCTGAGGAGAAGCGCTCGAACGGACCGGTGAGGTTGGAGAGACCGTGAGCATAAGACATGTGGTACACGAAGCTGCTGTTCTTGAGCTGCGGGAAGAAGCTCGTCAGCTACTGATACCCAACTGACCGCCGAATCAAGGAGGAGACGCACCTTGAGCCACTTGATCTCGCCCTCACCTCCCCTCTCCTTCGGCTCGGCACAGATGGGACACATCCCACATTTGTCGTCGGCGTTCCCGCAGACGAAGCGGGGCCAGTAGAGGTTGAGCGGGTCGCTCGGCTTGTTCCACTTCGCCTCGGGCGGGGGCTGCATGATCAGGACGCCGTTCGGGCCGGGAATCGTGGGCGGACCGGCGTAGACGGCGGGAGTGGCGACGGCCGAGGACGAGGCGGTCGACGCTGCAGTCGAAGGGGGCGTCGATTGCTGTGAGGGAGAGAAGGGCGTGACCGAGACGGATGAGGACGCCGTGCTGAGTTGAGGAGAGAGCTGAGCAGGGTGATGAGAGTGCGAGGTGGAAGGTGGGGAGTAGGCTTGCGGCTGTGAGTGGCCGAAGCCGGGCGGGAGATGGTAAAGGTGGAACTGCGCATTCGGGTCGACCGAGATGCTCGAAAGTGACGCAGTGGACGTCGAGGCGACGGGCGTGTGCGGAGCGGCATAGTACTGATGAGCGAAAGCGCCGTCGTCGTACATGCCCATGGGCGGAGTAGGGAGAGGAGGCGCCTGCGCCGCATGGTTCATCGCCGCGTTCTGCAGCGCGAGCTGCGTGCGGCTCGGCGTGGGAGCCTTGAGGATGTACGAGTCGGGAGCGAAAGCGGAAGGAACGGGGAAGGCGCGGTAGAAGCGAGGGAAGTTCGAGTTGATCTCGACGTGCGGCGGGAAGGTGCGGTTACGGAGGTTCGGCGGGATGAAGGCTTGCCTGCGAGCTTTGCGAGGCGGAGCGGGGAGGGCGGGCGAACCGTTGCTGCCGGTCGAGGTGCGAGCCTTCTTGGCGGGCGTACCGCCCGGACCAGCGGTCGACTGGCGCTTCGTCGCCTTCTTCGCCTTGCCTGCCGCGCCCTTACCCTTCCTCTTGCTGCGCCCGCCGTCGCTCGCATCGGCATCGTCGTCATCCTCCTCCTTGTACTCGCCTTCGCTCTCGGCGTCGTCCGACATGACGTCCGCCACGCTCGCCGACACGCGCGGCTTGCGTGCACGCGTCGAGCGACGAGTCGACGACGAGGACGAAGCGACAGGCGGAGGCGCAGGAGTCGTCGACGAGCCTGCCTCGCTCGCGCGAGAACGGGTCGAAGCAATACTCGCCTCGCGCTGCGATCGCGCCGGGATGTGCTGGCGCCCGCGCGTGCTCGTCACTGAGCTCGTCGTGCTCAGCCTGTGGCTGCCTGGACCGGCTGCCCGCTGGACATGGAGCGGCGGCTGGTCCGGGTTGTGATGCCAGACGCGCGTCTCGAGCTGGCCGGGTCCGGCGACGACGCCGTTGCCTTCGACAAAGAGCTGCTGGAGAGGCTTGTGGTGGACGTCGGTCGAGTTGATGCTCGTGTCGTCGCTCTCGCCCTCGGCATCGTCCTCGTTGCTGACATCATCGTCGGCGCGACCGGTCGAGTTGGTCGCGACCGAGCCTGCGGAGCCGTCAGGCTGTGCGAGACGAAGCAAGTGGAGAGCAGCTTCGGGAACCGACTCGTCCGCCTGAGGCGTCCTAGGCGTTTGAGCGCCCCCGAGGACGGCTTGGCCGTTCCCGCGAGATCCGCTCGCCGTCAATAGCTGGCCTCTGCGACTGGCGTCCTCGTTGATGGCGTCGAAACGTGCGGGCGACCTGAGCTGGCGGCGCTGAGGCGTGTTGGCGGCGGCGGCAGCCTTCCTTGGCGACGGCGCGCGACGAGCGGGCGACTCCTGACCGTACGCGGCGATCGAGTACGACGACGGGTCGGGCGCAGCGTTGCTTCTCGGCGAGGCTTGAAGAGGGGCAGGCGTGCGGGCGTAGGCGTGCTGGCGGTCGTGTGCGGACGAGTGAGGAGGGCCGGGGTGGAAGATGCCGTTCGTGTACTCGGCGGCGGCGTAGGCGAGCTGCAACGCTTCGCTGGCGTTGTGAGCGTGACCAGGCGGTGCCTCGAGCGGCGAGACGGTGCCAGAGCCGTGGCGCGAGAGTGATCGCCCTGCTTCTGAATCCAGGACGCCGAAGGGTTGAGCGGGCGGCGCGAGAGCTTCCTGGCGTGCGTCGAGCAGCGCGGAGGACGCGGATGAGCCTCCCTGCGACACTGAGAGTCCCGCCTGGTGCTCGTAGGCCTCTGCGACCGAGGGGTCGAGCCAGGTGTCGTATTCGAACGCCGACAGAGGTTGGCCCGACACGCCCAAGCTTCCCGCGTCGGCTGGCGGGTGGAGCTGGGCGGACGAGTCGAGGAAGGCGAGTGTGCCGCCCAAGGACGGGTCGAGGAAGCCGTCCATCGAGCTCACGGGGCTGCTGGCGGTCGAGGAGAGCGGGACGGGAGGGGTTGAGGCTGCTGGCGACGAGGGGAAAGATCAGCTCCCGCTCTCGCTCTGGCAGCCGCCGGAGTGCCGGCATAGACTGCAGAGAGCACGCAAGCTCACCTGTGCGGTCGTTCAGAACTCCATGGGCGGTGGGTGACGTGAGAGAGGGGTGCGAGAGAGAGCCTGAGAATGGCCGGGGAGCGACAGCAGGTCAGCCAACGTACTCGCGAAGCAGGACAGCACACCAGGGTGCAGCTGGACCCTGTCAGTCGCTGTCAGACTCACCGTGCGCCCGTGCGAGCGATGGGGAGAGAAGGAGAGCGGCAAGAGGGGACCTCACTCGCTCGCGCATACAGCGAACGGCCAACTAGCTCACACACGGCTTCCTTTGCGCTGGATGGACGACTGATGCAGCTATCCTATCAACAACAACACAGACAGACGCAAAAGCAGCCGAAAGAACGAGAGGAAGAGGAGAAAGCCGGCACACCACCGACCCCCTTATCCTCGAGCGCAAGTCCGCAATCCGCGCTAAGTGCGAAAGCTAACCTTCCGCCGAGACAAGCGCAGACGCTCCTCGAGCCTGGCCAGAAGCCGCGAAAGCAGCAAAGATCGCCCTGTCCTTCTCGCTCACGTCGTGAGGCCTGCCGACGACCCCTCCGCCCGTCCCGCGTCGTCCTGCGACCGCACCGACGTGCGCCTCGTACATCGTCCGGTCCTTCTCGCTCAGGTGGTCCTGCGCGGCGAGCGAGAGGTGGCGGAACTGCGACAGCCAGGCGTCGTATTCTTTCGCTTCGTCCGGCCGGGTGACGGGCTTGAGCAGCGCGGCGGCGAGCTGGCCTGTCGAGGCGGCGAATGGCGCGGTGGGCAGAGTCGTCGTCTGCGTCGACTTCTGGCTGACCGAGGCCGAGTCGCCATCGCCGGCGGACTGTGCGGCTTCGGGAGCCGACGACTCGTTCCGCATGTGCCGACGAGACTTGACGCCTGAGCCGAGCAGCCCGCGCAGACTCGTCGTCGTCGGTCGTCTGCAAACGCAGGCTGTCAGCGAGAGCCGAGCAGTCTCCAGCTGAGAGACGAGACGAACCGCGAGTAGGTGCGCGGCATCTTCGGAACGAGCGGGCTCGCCTGGACCGTGATATCGTCTTGGCTGCAGGCTTCGGCGCATGAGGACAGTGTACTGGATGGGAAGAGCGAGAAATGGTCGCACCGAATCATGACGGGACCTTTGAGCGTGCTGATCATCTTGAACGCAAACTGCGGCGCGAGGGACTCGAAGTGCACGCCGCGATAGAACCGTCGCCACAGGTCGAGCGGGTCCTGCGCATCTTCCTCGTCGATTGTAGCTTGCAAACCGGCTGCGATGTCCGTGGGCGAGGCGTGCGGGTTGGACAGGTGAGACGGGCTGTACCAGTCGCGGTAAGAGGGGCGAGGGGGAGGGGGGATGTACTCCCACATCGCTGGAGGAGCAAGAGGAGGCTTGATGCCGAGGAAGAGATCGATGGCGGCCTGCTTGTCGTAGTCTGCCAGACGGGCGAAAGAGGACATCAGCCTCGAGCGGTCTCTTCCAGTCGAAACGTCAGCTGCACGCACCGCCGAACGAGTTGGCATAGTAGCGCTTCATGTTCTCAACCTTGTCCCTCGAGTATCCCCCGCTCCAAGCCGGCCAAGCCAGCTCAGAAGGACGGAACGAGTCGATCGTGTTGACGGTATTGCTCCCGCCGTACTGCACCGCGATCGTATCGCCGTGCTCGAGGTACATCGCTTCGAGTTGCCGGATTGCGTCCGAGTGGGCGGGGAGACAGGGCGTCCCGATGATGCCGAGCGCGTGAAGCTGGTGGCCGAGGACGGTTTTGCCGATGATGGTCTGCGCGGCGTTCGTGCGGCTGTGGGAGTAAATCGGGTCATTAGTCATCGTCGGGGAGATTGGTAAGCGGATGTAGCGCACTCGAGGCAGTCTGCGAGCGCGAGGCGATTAGCGGAATCCGGGCAGAGATAGATCACGAGCGCAACGAACCGATGCAGTTAGTCCGAACGACGCCGTGCTGCACGATCGGCGTCACCCGTCCGCCGCTGCAAGCGCGAGGCGTCAGTGCATGCGCTGGCGAAATGAGAGGTGGGGGATACGCACCCTTCGCCGGAGTGGAAGAAGCCCGTCTTTTCGAGCGAAGTCTCGGCGAAGTCTTCGATGTAGTCCGTGACACTCTTCCTCGGTGCGTCGCTGCGACAGATTCGGCAGATCAGCTTTCGGTTCGAAAGGAGACAAAGGTCGGCTCAGCTCACCTCTCGCTCTCACCAGGTCCCGCCGCAGCCGAAGCCGCCGCTTTAGCCGCGGACATGTCGAAAGCCGTGTAATCGATCCTGTGCTCGTCGGGGAGGAATTGGTTGAGGTAGTCGATGCAGCTCCGGAACTCTGGCACGAGCAGCGATTCGCGGTCGTCGTGTTGCTGCAATACGCGGCCCACATCCGTCAGCGCGACTCGCTGAACCCTTCCAGCAAAAGGTACGCTGTGACTGAACGCGAGAACGCACCTTGATCAGATTGAGCGCCATGCAGAACCCGCCATACAGCTCAAACAAGCCATCAAAGTGTTTCGCCGCAGCCGTATAGAACGGATCTCGCAGCGCAAGCTCGATAGGCGGTTTGATCGCCTTCGTAGCGTCCTGCGTCCAGTACAGCGGGATGCTGCCACGGATCTGGACGTGCGAGGTGTACCGTGGAGAAAGGCGGCGGGATTGGTGCGTCGTCGGAAAATGCGGAGGGAGAGGGAGGGACGGCGCGAGGTTCGGGTGGTCGTGAGAAAAGGGTGCGGCCGAGTAGAAGGGGGTTGTGAGCGGTTCGCAGACAATCTGCTCGGTCTCAACCTCATTCGCGACGAAGCCCTGCAGGCGTTCGTGGCGGTCAGCTTTGATCTTCTCGTGAGCAGAAGAGAGCTGCTCACGTCCGAGTTGACGCCTCGCCGCAGGAAGCGAGCGCCGGCGAAGTGCCGAGACCTTCGCGCGATGAGGATGATGTAGACTTGCCGGTGAAAGACCGTGAGCTCTGCGTGGCGTCGTATCAGCCTGAGCACCATACTCGAAGAGATCTGACGCACTGGCTTGGGTGTAGTAGCCATGGATGAGCGGGACGATCCAAGGGCTGTCGGCTGGAAGAGAGTTGCGCAGCGGTCGGAGGAGGTGCCAATTCCAGACCCACTTGTCACGACGAGGAAGGGTCGACGAGCCGCGGAGGAGGTTGTTCTGCAAGGTGTTGGAGATGTCGTAGGTGTGACTGCGACGCGAAGGGCAAGTCCTTCCCGTCAGCCGAGTTCTGGAGGAAGGCGGAGACAGTGACGCACCTGAAATAGAAGTTGCGACTCAAGTAGACGCTGGTGAACGCGTTCTTGTGCCGCTGGTCCTCGGCGATGCTCGCTGCGGCAGCCTCCTTGTCCCGGCAGATCTCGACTAGCTCGGTCCCCTCGCTGTGAAAGACGAAGTGACCGCCGAGGAGGCCGACCTTGCTACGGGCCGTGATGACGACCATCCAGATCGTGCACGAGAAGCGGACGAAGCCTGGAAGAGGGGTTACTGTCAGCGGTGCAGTCTGGTATGCCGGAGGACTAGCCCAGGTTGCGCTCACCTGCGATGCCGAAGCACGGCTGCTTCAGATCCTTGAAGTTGTTGCTCGGCCACGCCTTGAGCGTGTCGAGCAGGTCTTCCTTCTCGGCAAACGAGTAGACGATGCCGTCTTCCTGGATGTCGAGGTCCATCTCGCTGTCGTCGACTGCTTGTCCCGCCGCACGTCGCGCCGCAGCCTTCTTGAAGAACTCGCGGTCGATCTTGAGGATCCGGAAACGTTGCTCGTCCTTGTCGCTTGCGATGAGGTAGAGGTACTGTCCGCGAAAGGGGTCAGCGTGCGCGCTCGCGAAGAGTACCGATGCGCACTCACCGCCTGCGTCTGATAGAGCGCCATCTTCTCGAGCACGACATGCTTGTCTGGCATGCGGATGCGCGACGAGGCTGCCTCCTCCTCCTCGACGACCACCGACCTCACGCTACTGGTCTCGCCGTCCAGCTCTGTGATTCCCGGCTCCTTCTCCTCGCCAGTCTGTCCCGACTCCATCGTCACTCGGCTCCGCTGGACTGCCCTGCTGCGAGCTGAGGCGGGCTGCTGAAGGTCGGGAGGCGGTGTGTGCGAGTGTGCGAGTCGGCGCGAAGGCGGAAGCTGGCGGCGAGACTTCGCCTAGCCTGACCCACTCTAATCTGGCTGGCTTCGCCTTCAGCTCGTCCTCAATTGCCGTCTCCGCGAGTTGAAGTTGATGAGACGCGGGGTTGATTGATGAGGAGGGTGTCGGCGGAGACGGGCGTCGCAGGCGTGTTGGGCAGCGTGCAGGTGCGTAGTAGGTCGGCTTCTATCCACCTCAGCAGCAGGCGCAGCACGAAGAGCGGTTGTTGGCGGGAGCTGACCCACTTCTGCTCGACGACCCCCTCGTCTTCGACAATGCAGGCGAGCGAATCGACCTTGCCTTGATCCTGATTACTGTCTGCGCTGGTCTTGTCGCTGTGTGCGCCCGACTTGACCGGCTCCCTCGTCGGCACCGTCACTCCCGCCGTTTGCGACATCTCACGCCATTCCCGAGTGCCCCACCTCCGCTCTCTCGCGCGTGCTTCGCTCTTGCCGTGCTCCTACGCCTTCGTGCACAACTCCTCGACGCTGCTATCACCTTCACCCTCTTACCGAAGCTCCCGCACCCTCAACAGATGGCTACCAACCCCGATTGGCGTCCCGAGACGCTCGCCCTGCACGCTGGTTACGAGGAGGCAGACGCGGCGACAAAGTCGAGGGCTGTCCCCATCTACCAGGTGCGTTCATCCTCCTTGTCATCTCCGGGCAGCCTGTTGACGTGCTTCAATCGCCCGTCCCGCTTCTCGACCCCTTGCCCGCCTTCACTCACACCACGATTTCAGACCACTTCCTTCGTCTTCAACAACTCGGAGCATGCAGCAAACCTCTTTGGCGTGAGTGCATCATATCTGCTAGCCTTCCCGACCTTGCTGACCTCCGCTCTTCCTGCAGTTGAAAGGTGTGTACGCTCGTCGTCCGCGGCCTGCGACGATTCCGCTCACAAGCTTGAACCCTCCTAGCTTTCGGCAACCTCTACAGCCGCGTCGGAAACGTAAGTACGGCTTCGCAATGCCGCAAGCCCAGCTGACAGACCTCATCTCTCGCAGCCTACTGTCGAGGTCTTTGAGAAGCGCATCGCGGCGCTCGAGGGCGGTATTGCGGCCGTTGCAACGTCGAGCGGACAGGCGGCGCAGTTCCAGGCGATCGCAGCTCTCGCCCGGGCGGGCGACAACATCGTCTCAACCACCTCGCTCTACGGCGGGACCTACAACCAGTTCAAGGTCCTCCTCAAGCGCTTCGGTATCGAGGTTCGCTTCGTCAACAGCGACGACCCTGCCGAGTTTGCCAGGGTTATCGACGCACGGACGAAAGCAATCTACATCGAGTCGATCGGAAACCCCAAGTACAACATTCCCGATATTTCGGCAATCGCCGACGTTGCTCACAAGGCCGGCGTCGTCCTCATCGTCGATAACACGTTCGGCGCGGGAGGCGCTATCGCTCGCCCTTTCGACCACGGCGCGGACATCATCGTTCACTCGGCGACGAAGTGGATCGGCGGACACGGGAACAGCATCGGCGGCGTGATTATCGACGGAGGCAGGTTCGACTGGACGCAGTCGAAGCGCTACACCGACTTTACCGAGCCGAGTGAGGGTTACCACGGGCTGAAGTTGTGCGTGTAGCGACTGCTGCTTCCCTTGACCGCCCGCTGACGAACGCCTGACGCAGCGCCGAGACGTTCGGCAACCTCGCTTTTGCTGTCAAGGTCCGCGTCGAGGTTTTGCGGGATCTCGGCGCCTGCCTCTCACCCTTCAACGCTTTCCTTCTCCTCCAGGGTCGTAAGTCCGCCGTCCTTTGCTCGTCAAAAATTTCGCTCATGCTCTTCTCCTGTAGTCGAGACCCTCAGCCTCCGCGTCGAGCGACACACCCAAAACGCTCTCGCGCTCGCCAAGTGGCTCGAAGCCAATCCCGCCGTCGAGTGGGTCTCGTACCCCGGCCTTCTCTCGCACCCATACCACCAACAAGCGCTCAAGACGCTGCAGAAGGACCGCTACGGCGCTGTCCTTTCGTTCGGCGTCAAGGGCGACGCGAAGGACGGCAAGCGCGGCAGTCTCGTCGTTGACAATCTCGTTCTTGCTTCGAACTTGGCGAACGTCGGAGATGCCAAGACGCTTGTCATCCACCCGGCCTCGACAACGCATCAGCAGCTTTCGACCGAGGAGCAGCTTGCGAGCGGTGTCTCGCCCGACTTGATCCGCGTCTCGGTCGGCATCGAGCACATCGAGTGAGTCGCGACGGCTTCCATCTCTCTATGCGTTGTTGCTGACGAGCTCTGCGCCTCTGCAGCGACATCATTGCTGACTTTGAGCAGGCGTTCAAGAAGACGGCGCTCTAGGGGCTGAAGGCAGAGTCTCGTGGACGTACGGTCATTATCCATTCGAAAGCAATGCAGTATCTGTTCCTCTGTCTTGGGAGTAGCAATGAGGAGGAGCGAGAGCGAGTCTGCTGTCTGGGAGCGAGTCTATCGCGTGTCCAGGTCGGTCGAGTAGAATTTGACACCCTCCGCCGACTCTGGCCGTCCCTCGTTGTCTCTGCAGATCCTGAACCAGTCGATCGAGCTTGACTGACCGCTGAACCCGACGTGGTGGAGTGTCGGGAGGACTTCGGCCGCTTCGCAGGCGATTGCGGCGGTTGAAGCGTAGGCGTTCTCGTCGTTCGGCGAGTCGTCTTGCGGGTCAGCGACGACAGCTCGATCGTATGGTGATGCCGGCATTGTGCTGGGAAGGCGGAGACAGAGGGTGGTAAGATGGCGGAAACTGGAGAGGGCAGAGAGGATATCGGCCTAATGGAGTGCCGGTCAGCTTGCACCCCTGATAGCATTGATGAGAGACTTGTGGAGAACAAGTACGATGAGACTCACGCGCGAGCCGTTCCAGATCGTCCTGTCGCTCATAGTGAACGTCCGCAGAGTCGGGAAGGTTTGCGCGAGTTTCGCAAGATTGGCCGATGAGCAGATCACTGAGTCGTCCAGCTCGAGAGTCTTGAGCGGTACGGCGCCAAAGACCGTGGTGATTGTCTGCAAGAGATCATCGATGGCGTGCGGTGATATCCCGAACTGGTCAAACCGGGTGTCGATGGCGAGGTGTCGCAGATTGGCTGTCGGCGGCAACTGTTGGACAAGGATAAATCAAGGGAAGCATACAAAGCTTCGCAAATGCGAGCTCACTGTGGGCAGCTCGCCCTGAGGTATGGATCGCACACTTCCGTCTCCCTCTTCCTCCGCGTAGCCGAAGAAAGTGCCCGGTAGGCGGAGTTGCAGGCTCTTGATGCGAGCGTATGTGGCCTCAAACTTGGCATCGAACGGGTTCTGATCACCGTAGTGGTAGTTGAGCCTGAGGACTTGTAAGGCTGTAAAGCGAGGGAGGACAGAGTCGAGTCGTTTGGTGGTGTCATTGTCCATAGACAGCGACGTAACGCCCGCGCCGAACGGAGTGAGAGATTGCTCAACCGCCTTCTTGTCAAGGCCGTAAAGATGGCCCAAAGTCAGTCGCCGGATGAAGACGCTCGTGTCGCCGCCTCGCGCCCTCGAAGGCCGCTTGACTCGAGGCAGGAAGTTCTTCGTCTCGAGGCGATACAGGACGATGTGTTCGAGGAGGGGGAAGTCGGCCTGGCTGAGCATTGCGTATTCAGAGAAGATCTGGCGTTCCTTCTTGTCGTCGCGTTTCTCGCTGCTCGTGCGGTACCAGCGGTACTGCCTCGTGTTCTTCCACGATTCCTCGTACCGTATCGTCCGTGCGAAGCGTTTGGCGCTCACGACGCCTACATCGGGGAGCCAGACTTTCGGAGGGAGCCTCGAGGTGTCGAGCGAGTAGAAGAGATATGGGAGGGCAAGTGTTCGCAAGAGGCGATTCGTCCCGTACGCCAAGTGGTGTAAATCGGACGGCGCCTGCCTGCGAGACTCGCTCGACTCGAGGCGAAGGAGTGAGGCGTAACGGATGATGAGGTCAAGGACCTCAAGTGGGAGGTCGAGGAGCTGGGTGGGGCACGCGCTGGACGTTGCAGCATTGTCTGAGGATGCTTGAGGCATTACGGAGGCAGCGAGAGCAGCCAAGCGAAGTGAGCGCGAGCGGGAGAAGGCAAGTCCTCTCACGGACGAGAAGCAAGTTGATGGCCAGCAAGTCTCGCGGCGCGACTCGAGTAGTTCGAAGCGCTTTTTGCACCCTCCTAAGAGTCTGAAAAGGTCACACAGGAGAGAAACAGAGGAACGAGAGCGAGGCTACGATGAGTCCGACTTGATCCCGTGAGCAAGAAAGAGAGAGGGGAAGACGAAAAGGGGCGGGCGGTGTATGTGTGGGAGAGAGAGAGAATGATGCGGTGGAGCGGACCTTGCGACTAGGATGACAAAGGCGGGGAGACCGGCGGCTTTTCGGGAGAGAGGGGGGGAAGAGAAGGTCGGCTGGAGCGGAGAGAAAGGGGAAGAGGGGTAAGAGGGAGTCGAGACGGATAGGCGGGCCGTGCTGCGTGTGCGCCTGTACGAATCTCCTCCTAGGTGTCGCCGATTTAGGCGAGCGCCGGGAAGGCCGACGAGTCGGTGACGGCGGGGGCGGGAGCAGCCTGCGAGCGGCCCTGTCCGCGAGCAGCGCCGCCACGGGCACCACCACGTCCACGGCCCTCCCCACGACCACGCGCACCGCCACGGCCGCCGCGAGCCGAGTCGCGGGGACGGTCGTTGTCGCGGCGGGGAGCCTTCGAGGCGAACTCGATCTCGATGAACTGCTTGGCCTCCTTCTGCTTCTTGGCCTTGCCCGAGGCGGCCTTGGGGGCACCGAAGAGCCACTCCTCCTCGGTCTCGCCCTTCTTGGGGATGACCTTGGCGTTGGCGAAGAGGTCCTCGCCCTCGTTGGCCTTGCGGGCCTCGGGGAGGTCGGCGATGGCGAGCTTCTTGGCAGCCTGGGCGGCGAGGTACTCCTCGTAGGTCTGGGTCTGCTCCTCCTCGTCGACGGGGGCAGCCTCGACGACGGGGGTGGCAGCGCCCTCGGCGGGAGTCTCGGCCTGGGCGTCCTTCTCGCCGTCCTGCTCGGCCTCGAGCTCCTTCTTGCCGTCGTCGGCACCCCAGCCAGCGGCCTCAGCCTTGGCAGTGTCGCTGCGAGACGAGGAAACAGTCAGCACTTCCCCCTCCCGAGGCGAGTGAAGAGACTGGGGACGCACGTGCGGCCGGTCTGGCTCATGCGGTCAAAGGGACGTCCGCCGCCGTTCTCGCGGCGGGGCCTGTTGCCGCCCATGTAGGTGCCGGTGTTGCCGCGAGGGTTTCCACCGGGGCCGCGCGAAGCACGACCGCCACGGCCGCCGCCGCGGGCAAAGCTCTTGGCTGGAGGCGAGTCGTAGAGTGGGTTAAATGGACGAGGAGGCGAACGGGGGGCATGGTTGGCGAGAGTCGCGAAAGGGCGAGAGGCGGGTCGGAGAAGCGTAATCCGGGTGTCAGCTCGAGTCGTCGTCACCACGCCGTCCGCGCGCCTCGTGCAACCGTGCGCTCCGTTCCCAGACACCTGGCCGTCCGCCCTGTCCACTCGAACCGCCCGCATCTCGCGCGCTCGCCTGGAAAATTTGGGAGGTAGGCTCACCGCGGTCCTCCTTGGCTCCCTCGCCGGCGGGGACGTCGGCGTGGACCTCGCGGTCGGGCCTATCGCCCCTGCGGTTGTCGCGGCGGGGGCCGTTGTTGTTGCGCGGCTGCTGCTGAGCCCTGGCGGGAGCGGGGGCAGCAGGAGGGGCAGGCGCCGGGGCGGCCTTCTGCGCCGGCTGCGGCGTGTAGTCGTCGCCGTCGCCCTGCGAGTCGCGAGAACAGCATCGTCAGCGGGTGCTCGTCCAACAGCTGGCCCTCCCCGAGGCTGTCGAGACGAGCGAGGGTCGCGCGAGTTGGGACCAGGCGACGGTCGACCTCTCGTCGCTGCTGGCGGGCGACGGCGCCTCGGGGCAGGGGGTGCGGCGCAGCAGATGGATCTAGACTGACGAGGGCGGCGAAGGAGTTGGCGCTGAAGACGGACATGTCGTGCAGCGAGTAGGCAGAGAGCGACCCTCGAAAGCGGTCCCTCTCAGTAAGACGACACTCGCGCTCTCGCTTCCTACGCTCTCTATGGACTCGCTGGCTTGCTACGATTAGCCAGAGGAGCTCAGTCGACTCGCTAGACCAACCGCCGTGCCCACCAGACGCCGTCACCTTGCGGACGCACCCCTCGACTCGACCCGTCTCGCTGCTCTTCTACACGTCTCGCAACGGGGTTTTCTGTGGGACTGAGGGGTCAGTTGCCAGCGAACACGGCTCTTGTGGATCAGCGACCCGTTCGAAAGTTCTCAAGGAGTGTCATTCGACCCGCACACCTCAGCCTCGCACGCTCACACGACCCAAAGCCTCCTCGCAACCGCTTTTCCAGTCGTACGGCCATCTTCGCAAGGACTGGAATGGTCTGTGCATGCTGTGGAGCGAGCCGAGCCGCCTTGATTCGCACCGTCATCGCTCTCGGGACGAAAGTCTGCACTTTCTGCTGCACGAAGTCGTTCTGTGATGGGTCGCTCAGTCGGCTGCCGCGGATGCGACTCATCCGCTCGTTCCGCTGATGCTACATCGGCCACTGACACTGCTGAGGCCAGGCTGAACGGAGCTTTCGCCGCCACGAGCTCCCCTCGACCCGTCGACCCTATATACCAAGGGATGCAGCTCGGGCGCAGGGCCCATTGCTGGCGAGCTGCCGTGCCCACGGCGGGCGCAGGTAGCTTCGACAAGGCTCGAACCCCCTTGAGCTTCTGTTGACTTTGAGGAGGTTGACCAAGTCGATCTTCCCTCTTCTCGTCTTCCTGCTCGAGTGCTTCCTCGGCTCCTTCACTCTCGGTTCTGTCCACCTGCTAGAGCTCTAGCACCGGCGCAAACAGCTGGAACAACGAGAAGGACTCGCTTGCAAGAGGGGGAACTCTCTCCGCCTCCCGTGCCGACGGTTCGCCCCACAACTGCAAACCGATAAGGTCGCTGCCTCGCCGTCGCATGCCGCTTTCCCTCTTCCCTTCACTCCGCTCGCTCTTGCTCCGCCGCGCTGCCCTGCCCGTCTCCCTCGCCGCTGCCGCAGCTGCCATGCCTGTCCCGCTCGACCTCGCTCGCCTCGACGCATCCGAGGCGCTCGCTCTCATCCGCAAGGACGAGGTGACTGTCACGCAGTAGTGCGTGCATGCGCTTTCATTCACTGAAGACACAGCTCACGCAGTCTGCATGACCGCAGTGTGCAGGCGCTGATTTCGCGGATTGAGGAGCGGGATCCAATTGTGCGGGCTTGGTGAGTCCCCGTCGCGTTACTAGGCCGTCAACCTGGATCATTCGAGCTGCTATCTCAGTGGCGGACTCCCACCTCGCCCAAATGCGCGTTCTGAGGAAGCGGAGCTGACCTCTCGCTCCATTCGTCGCATACTTCTCCTCGCAGGGCGTACTTCGACCCCGCCTACGCTCTCGAGCAAGCCAAAGCACTCGATGCCCTCCCTCGCGAGAAGCGAGGACCGCTGCATGGCTTGCCAGTCGGCGTCAAGGACATCATGCGTGCGGTTTCTCCCTCTTCCTGCTGTCCCGCCGCCTACTGACCGCTTTCTTGTGGCGAGTCACCAAGGACATGCCTACTCAGTACCGTTCGCCCATCTACTCGTCGAAAGTGCCGATTGGGATGGACTCGGTGCGCTCGACGCTCGTTTGGGCGAGGGATATGCCTGACGACGCGCTCGACAGGCTCCGGTGATGACCTTGCGAGCACAAGGCGCTCTCATGCTCGGCAAGACGACTACGACCGAATTCGCTACTTGCCATACAGGGTGAGATACACCTTCGCGACTTCCGTATCTCAAGCTCACTTCCGCCCCCGCTCAGCTGCGAGACGGTCAACCCGCACGACACCTCTCGCACACCTGGTGGCTCGTCTTCGGGTTCTGGAGCAGCAGTAGCAGACTTCCAAGTCCCTGTCGCGCTCGGCAGTACGTTTTACTCGCCCTCCTGTCGCGCAGGGGAACTAGCTGATGCGCTCCTTCCTTCGCCTCGCCTGTGCAGCCCAGACGGGTGGCTCTGTCATCCGTCCTGCCTCCTTCAACGGCATCTACGGGCTGAAGCCAACCTGGAACGCGATCAGCCGCGAAGGCGTAAAGATCTGTTCGTTCAATCCGCTCACTCTCGCTCGATATCGGCTGACCTTTGGGCCTGGCCCAGACTCTCTCACATGCGACACGGTCGGCTTCTTCAGCCGCTCCATTGCCGACCTCCAGCTCCTCACCTCAGCCTTCCAAATCCGCGACGACATTCCTCCTCCCTCCGCTCCTCTCTCGCTCAAAGGCGCCAAGTTCGGTTTCGTCAAGACTTGCGTCTGGCCGCGCGCGACGGAGGGGACGGTCAAGGCGTTTGGGAAAGCGAAGGAGTTGCTCGAGGCGGAGGGAGCGGTTGTTGAGGAGGTTGAGCTGCCGAAGGAATTCGACGAGGTGCCGAGGCTCTATCAGTGAGTCGTGCGTTCCCTCTACTGCCGCATGGGGTGTCTGACTGTTCTGCGGCGCAGATATGTGCTCTCAAGCGAAGGCCGCTCCGCCTTCCTCGGCGACTACCTTCTCAACCCCTCGAAACTCGATCCGCTCATCGTCTCACACTCGCGCAACGACCTCCACGTAACACGCAAGAAGCACCTCGAAGGCTACGACAAGATCGCCGCGCTGCGACCCATTATCGACGAGATTGCGAGCAGGTACGATGCGCTCGTTACGCCCTCGACGACGGATGAGGCGCCAGTGCTTGTTGAGCCTGAGCGGCACACGGGAGAGGCCGTCTTCAACCTTATCTGGACAATCCTCCATGTCCCGGTGTTGAACGTGAGCCCTTTTCCTTTATCCTATTCCTTTCCCAGCTAACACAGCTGCCCCGGTTCCAGCTGCCGGGCTTCGCAGGTCCCGCTGGCTGTCCACTCGGCCTTTCTCTCGTTGCCCCCCGCTTCGAGGACGAGCGGCTGCTACACGTCGGCGCGGCAGTCGGTCGGGTCTTCGCTGCGAAGGGAGGCTGGGCGTCTGCGCTGTAGAGGCGAACGCTGGACGACCATAGTGACATACGTGCCTTCAGGACCTAGCCTGCGCAATCGCTGTCTGCGTATCACAGCTTCTCGAGCAATCGCTTCACCGGGCCCAGTCGTGTCTCTTCGGCTGCCAATCTCTCACGCTGGGGCCTGCCTAACACTCTGCGACGATGCTCGTCAGGCCTCGCTTCGCGCTCCAAGCGTCGTACGCCCTCTCCTTACAAGCGCATCGAACGTCCCGTCCGGCGTCCACACATCCTCATGCCGCTTCCTCAGCGTCGTCCGTCTCCCAAGCGTTCATCCCGCAACATCAAACTCGCTTAAACTAAACCACAACCTATCGCTTGCTTTGGCCGACCGATTTCTTCCGTTGAGAGGGTTCGGCGGTCAATTGCGCTGCGACAGGCCGTGGCGGCAGAGAAGGGTGCGAGATGAGCGGCATCTGTGGTCGACTGGGAAGAGAGGGCGCGGGAAAGGGTAAGAGAAGCGAGCTGAGCTTGGGAAGCTGGATCGAGGGGCGGGTTTTAGAGGACGTCGAAGGTGGTAGAGGCGCAGCGCTTGTGCGAGTCGTTACCGCAATCGCCGTCTGTACGGTACATTGATCCAGGCTCGTCAGACTGACAAGCGCGGTCGGAGTGAGAGAGCGGGCGAGCTAGCGACGCACCTTTTCGCCCGCAACACTAGAAGAACTGACGCTCGCAATCTTCCCCTTCTTCTTCTTTTGTTCTGCGTTTCCCGCCTGTCCGGTCTGTGCAGCAGTACGCACGGCAGAAGCCTTGGCGGGCATCCTTCCCGCAAGCCAGTCTTGCGCCTTCTTGACCTGCTGAGACTTCGCCCCTTCACCGGCCGAGCTACCCTCTTCTGCCTCAGCATTGAGGGCGAGACGTCTCCTTGAGCGGTAGATATGCCGCGCCTCGCGACGGTGGAAGTCGGCTGCGAAGGGGTGGACTTGGATAGCGAGAAGCTGGTAGGCTGGGAGGTCGTCGAGGTCGTCGAGGCTGAAGTTCAGCCTCCAGGTCTCGGCGAAGGGAGCGTGATTGGTTGCGAGAGAAGAAAGACTCGGTCCTGAGCCAGCTGGGTGAGGTGGTGAAGGAGTGTCGGGAAGAGGCAGGGTCTCGACAAGGGGAGGCGGAATCGCAACAGCGCGACTCGACGCAGAGGATTGCGCCTGTTTCTAGCGAGAGTTGGCGAGTCAGTACTGGGCTCTTTCAGGCTCTGAACCACGACGAGAGGCTGACGACGAACCGGTTGTGGCGGAAGAGACGTCGCCCCCGACTCTTTCCTCTTCCTCTTCCTCCCGCCGTCGCCTGCTCCACTTGTCTCCTCCTCCTTATCTCCCGCTCCTCGACTACCCGGCGCCCGTCCAGCAAGCCGCTCCTCCGCGCGCTTCATCTGCCTCAACTCCGCCGTCGCCTCCGCCGATCCTTCCTCCCTTCCCTGACCGAGCGCGAGAACACGCCTCTGCCAGAAGATGACTTTCGCTTCGTCCTTGTCTGCCTTCGTTGCGCGCGGGTGGAGGTACACGGAGAGAAGTTCCTGCGAGGTCAGGGCGTGCAGGTCGGCGAGGCTGAAGTCGAGCGGCCAGGTTTCGGCACCCGGGTACGGATCAAAAACACGCATCACGCGCGAGCCAGTCAAGCGAGCCAGCAGAGGCGACGTGAGCGGAAGCGGGTGAAGCGGAGGAGGGAGAGGAGCAGAGGAAGCGCGGACTCAAGTCGTTCCGCTCGGTCGACCTGGAGAGGAAGGCAGGAAGTAGCCACGACCTGTGCACGCACGAAAGAAAGCCAGGCGAGCGTATCTAGACGTGAAGAGGGAGTGTCTGCCTGGCTTGGCCTTCTCAACGACGAAGAGCGGAAGCGCCACGCTTTCCCTGTGCGCAGGGACAGACGATCTAACGATGCAACAGATAGGACCCGAGAGAATAAGTACAGCGAGGGGAGCGAAGACAGCGGGGGAGAATCAGATGTCTATGCCGCGATCCTGCCCTGCTGAACGAGCATCCGGTGCGCGAGGACAATGAGGAGCTCGATGCTGTGCGCGTGGTGCGGAGTGCATGTCAGTATGGTCGCGCGTGTGATCTCAGCGGCGGAACAATCATTGAGAACGCACCGGTCCTTGACGAGCAGCTTGACGCCCTCGCTGAAGAAGCCCTTGAGCAGCTGACTCTCGACGCCTTGATACAAGCCCGCGACGCCCTGCTTGGTGATGGTCTTGCGGAAGACGTCGAATTGCGAGCGGTAGAGGGCGCGGCCGGTCGGAGACTTGAACTGCATCCGGGTCTGGCGGATGGGGGTCATCAGATCGGAGAACCGCTGGGAAGAAGTTGACAGTACGCACCTTTGCCAAGATGAGCGGGTAGGTGAGAGCGCTGGCAATGGCGCTGGCCAGGGCTCCGCAGAGGAAGGTCTGCGCCGGCGTCGGGTGCTCGCGGTTCTTCTTTGGTAAGAGCCGCTTGAGGGCTGCAAAGCCGTAGAAGGTGATGGCGGGGTTGATGGACTGCGGACTTGACGGTCAGTCCCGGTCTTGTACCAAGACGAGCTGTCCTGCGCGACGCACCAGGATGACAGTCGAGCCGAAGCCGGACCAAAATCCCCAGAGGCCCTGCTCCTGGTAGATCTCCTTCCCGATCGCCAACGCACTCGGCGCACGTCCGTACCCGCCGTCGTCCTCGTCTCCCGAGTCGTCCGATTCGACCGCCCGCTTGTCGCCTTCCTTCCCCCCAACGACTTCCTGCCTCGGCTCGCTCGACGTCTGAGCCCGCACCGTGATCATTGACAGTGGCGAAACGACGCCCTTGGCAAAGATGCCCGCGAGACAGCCGATCGCGAGTTCTTCGAATGCGCTCAACAGAGGCAGACCGCTCGACTTTTTATCTTTGCCCGCTCCTGTCGTCGCCGGCTGCTGGCGCTGCTTGCGCGCCTGAAAGCGATCTCGTAGGGCGGAGTAGGCGAGGAAGTAGAGGAACTGGGAGAGGGCGGTCGAGAGGGAGTCGGGTCCGAGTCCGCTGTAGAAGGCCGACAGCCCCTCATGGCGGTAGATCGTTCGCACTGCCGCCGACAGCGAGTTGTAAGATCCTCCACGAGACGCAGAACCCGCCTTCTTTGCCGACCGCTTCGACGTCTGGAGCCGTGTCGTGAGGGTATCGAGAGGGAAGACGAGGGCGTTTGAGACGACTGCGGGAGGACAGGGTGGTAAGCTTGATCCTCGCACGCTTAGCATGGGTACGCACCTGCTCCTAGGGAGCCGCTGCCGGCCTGTGCGAGCGGTGGAAGCGAACTCGTCATGTCGGGCGATGTGGGGAGGCGAGTGAAGGGCAAGGACGGCGGATGAGCGGGCGAGGAGAGTGTTGCAAGTAGTGAGCAGATACAGCACTCTTCACCAAGTCAAAGGAAGCAGCGAATAAAGCAGCGAAGCGAGGAAGCCAACCTTGCGAAATGACGAAGTCGCGGACGACCCGGCTTCCTCGAAGCATCGTCGAAGCGTGCGAACGGGACGTGATACGACCGCAAACGTCGAAAGGAATGCATGACAAGCAACGGCGACATTATCCGAAGCCGCGACGATGGATGCCAGCACGGTTACTCCTCCGCTCCTCCTCCTCCGCCAGTTCCCGCCTCCGCCTTGAGCCGTTTCCGCTCCGACTTGCCCGCACGCTTCTTCTTCTTCGGTGGTTCGCCGTCCGCGCCGCGCGAGCCATCCCCAGCGCCGCCTTCGCCCGCCTCGCGCGCCTCCTTGCGCTCCTTGTATCGCCGCTTCTTCTCCTTGCGCTTCTCGAGCTGGATCTTGGCCTGCTCCTCGTCAACCTCCTCGCCCCACTTGCGCGTCCGGAGCACCTCGCGCAGCTCCTTGAGCTTCTTGCGCTGCTTCTGTGCCTGCTTCGCCTGCCACGACGCCGAGTCCTGCCTGTACGGCGCCATCTTCTTGAGCGACATGAAGGCGTTGAGCTCGGCGTCGGTCGCGAGGAGGATCTCCTCGGGCGTGAGGTTGAACGACTGCGCGGGAACCTTGGCGTACTTGAACCGAGTCTTGATGTCGCCGATCTTGTCCTCGTAGTCGAGCGCGTAGTACTCGTCGATGATGCGGTCCGCCTCCTCCGCCTTGGTCGAGTCGCCCGACGCCTTGACAGTCTCGATGAGGTTGGTCGGCAGGCCGTCTTCGTCGCGCTTCTCGCCCTTCTTCCCCTTGCCCTTCTTGTCCTTCTTGTTCTTTTTGCGCGGCGCCTCTTCCAACTCCTCCATCTCTTCGTCGTATTCCGCAGGCAGGGCGGACGTCGAGGCAATAGGCATGTCCTCGTCGCCCGATGCATCCGGTCCGACGATGTCGGTGATGTCGATGTCGTCGTCCCACGTCGGCTTGAAGTTGGCGTCCTGCAGGGATCTACACCGTCAGCAAGCGCAAGGTGAAAGTGACAGAATGAGCCGGGCGCACCTCCATGTTGTCGTAGTCGTCCCCGTAAACCTTCCTCATCGCCTCCTCATGCTTCGCCTCATCCCATTCTCCATCCAAATCAATGTCCTCCAAACCCTTCGTCCCCTGACCCGCAGCCTCCACCAACTGCTGCAACTTGCTCTCAATCTCCTTGCGCTTGAGCGCCTTCAACCGGTTCAACTCCTCCCTGCGCTGCAACTTCTCCTGCTCTTTGCGCTCTTTGGCGGCTTCGCGGGCCCGGGCGCGGGCGGAGACGGCGGCCGTGGGCTTGCGGACGGAGTTGGCGCCGACGGAACGAGAGTGCGTGACGATGTCCGCGCCGCCACTGTTCGAGAAGGGCCGTCAGCCGAAGCACCCAGGTAAACGAAAGCAAGTAACGCACTTCTCCTCGAATCGGAAGTTGTAGCGGTGCTCGAACTCTTCCGCCTTCTCCTCAAAATCGTCGTCAACATCGTCGTGCAGACTCGGGTCGAGAATGTGGCCGTCGTCATCGAGCAAGGCGGACTTGGTCTTGCGCTTCTTCTTCGGCTTGTCCTCACCGTCGTCATCGCCAACGATTTCGTCGTACGAAGGGATGTGCGACTCGTTCTCCCGGTCGATCCAGCCGCGGTTCAGGATGTAGCTGCGAGAAGCCAAGTCAGCTAATATCACGCATGCAGCCGTGAACGGGGACGCACTCCCGCAAAAATGCCTCCTCCTCGCCGAGCGCCTCCTTAACAGCCTTCTTGCCAACGGCCGTCTCAAGGAACTTCTCGTACTCCTTTTCCTCCTTCGCACGCTCATCCTCGCCCTTCTCACGCTTCCTCAAGAACCCATCCTCATCCTCGTCGTCACTACCGTCCGCATCAGAGCCCAAGAAAGCCGCCTTCGTCTCTTGCTGCAAGAGACGGGCTTCTTCGGCGGGAGTAGGCTGAGCGAGCGATGAAGGCGCGTCGAGCGAGTCGTCCCCTTCCGGGTTGGCGAGGAGGCGGGCGCGCTGGAAGTCTTTCAGGAGGACGGGCTTGGAGGAGGAGGACTTGGTGCGCGAGGAAGATGCGTTTGAGCGGGCGGCAGCGGTTTGGCGCTCTTCCTCTGTACGAGCGACGACGAATCAGTCTCTTCCGCGTGAGCTCTGAGGGACGGCTCTTTGACGCACCTTCAAACACCTCGCGACCCTGCTCGTACACGGACGGGTCCCTCGCTCGAATCTTGGCCAGGGTGCGGAGGATGGCGGCGTCGACTTCGGGCGTGACGAGCTCTGCAGCCTCGTCGTCCGTCGAGTAGTCGGTCGACTCGTCATCGTCCTCGGGCAGCTGGTAATCCTTGCCGTACTTGTCCTGGACTGCAATGTCAAAGGAGGGTGGAGGAGAAGGTGGCGTCCTCGAGTATCAGCGCCCGCTTGTTCGCCTGGCCAGAGTGACAGAGTGCACGCACGCTTGGAAAGCTCCTCGCCCCGCTTCTTCTGCTCGTACTTTTCGGCAAACTGCTCGTTGACCTTGAAGCTGAAGGCGTCCTCCGAGTCTGAGCCTGACTCGCTCGACGAGGACGCGACGAGGTTGGCGGGTGCCATTATCGCAGTCTAGCAGTCGGTCTGTGGCACTGGCCTCGCAGCCAGAGCGGTAGAAAGCGGTGAGCGGGTTGTTCGCTGATGAAGAGGAGAAGTCCCGAGCTCTTGCGGGCTCCACTTCGCTCGACTTGCTCGTTCACACGCTCGTGGAGGCTCAAGGAACCGCCAGGATGGCCGGTCCACTGCTACAGGAGCACCCACCGCCGCAGGAACCGCCGCAGCTCGCGCTCCTCCCGCCTCGCACCGCGTCCCTCATCCGCTCGTCGACCATCGTCCCGACGCTCCCCTCGATCCTGTCAGAGCTCGTGCAGAACAGCATCGACGCACGAGCGACTGCGATCAGCTGCGCCGTCGACCTAGACACCTGGACGGTCCGGGTGGAGGACAACGGGACGGGGATCGCTCAACAGGACCTCGCCTTGCTCCGTACCGCCGCCCGACACCTCACGAGCAAGCTCAGCGTGACGGCAAATGGCACGGCGGACGGGGCGTTCGCGGGCGTGACGACCTACGGGTTCCGAGGGGAGGCGCTCGCTTCGTTGCAGGATGTCGGGACGCTCGAGATCCGGACGAAGACCACAGACGACGAGGAGGCACAGCAGCTTGTTTTGAGAGGCGGAGAGTGCTTGGTGTATGGCGCGAGCAGGACGGAGCGATCTACCGGGACGACTGTCTGGGTCAGGGATATCTTCTACAAGGCAAGGAGACGGTCTTTCGCTCGACTGCATCTCCCTGATATAGCCCTGACGCTGACTGCGCTTGGCAGCTACCCGTCCGCCGTCGCGCACTGTCGAAACCTTCCGCACAGTCGACTCTCCTCGCCTCCCTACGTTCCGCCCTCTCGACTCTGTCCCTCATCCACCCTTCCATCTCCTTCTCTCTTACCGACTCGACTTCCTCTTCCGCCATGTCAAGCGGCGAGAGCAAGACTCTCCTGTCCGTCGGTCGAAGCGGCGAAGGTGTGCTCGGCAGGTGGAGACAGCTTTGGGGTCGGGCTGGAGTCGAGAAGGTGTGGGAGTTCGGTGAAGCTGAGAAGGAAGAGCACGTGGTAGAAGGCGTCGGTGAAAAGCTGAGGGCGCGCGGGTTCTTCTCACTCTCAGCTGCCCACACCAGGGCGGGCCAGTTCATCTGTGCGTCCTCGAGCCGCTCGCTTCATTTCTCGTCCTGTGCGGCACACTGATACGCAGTGTCGGTTGTACGGCGCACAGACGTCAACTCCCGCCCTCTCGCCGCTGCCCAATCCCCTCTCCACAAACTCCTCAACACCCTCTTCGCCTCCTCATCCTTCTCCCGCCATTCGTCCTCGCACCTCTCCCTCCCCTCATCATCCACCTCATCGCCCGCTCGCGCCCGCGCAAGTCCGCAGAAGAAGTCGATCGAGCGCTTCCCGGTGTTCGTCGTCGTGCTCGAGGTTCCTGGAAAGGTAGTCGATGTCAGCTTTGAGCCGGACAAGCGGGTCGTTGAGTTTGAGGTGCGTGACGAAGACTCGCTCGTCAGTATTCGCTTTGCGGGGGTGGACTGACTTGTCGGTATCCTCCGTGCGCAGGATCCGGCTCGCATCGAATCTTTCCTCGCATCGATCACCAGCCGCTTCCTCGTCGAAAATGGATTCCTCCACGCCGCCGCCCCAGCGAAACAGCTCGCGCCGCCCTCGGCGTCGCCGACAAAAGGGAAGAAGCGCTCTCGCACAATGGAAACGGTCGAGAATGCGTTCGTCTCTGCAGGATCACGGACGAGGAGCCAAAAGCGAGTCGCTATGGCCGATGACGCGGCATTCGAAGTGTTCCCAGCAACCGTACCGCCTGCTCGCACTCGTTCCGCTCCTTCCGCCATCCCGCCTATCGCGCGCCCTTCGCCCGCTACCGTCTTCGCCCAGTCATCCGAAGCCAACGAGACGCTTCCAACGACCGGCGACGACGATGCCTCGTACAAGTGGACGGACCCGGTGACGAAGCAGGCGTGGCTGATCGACGGACGGACGGGGAACAGCAAGCGGTGCGATGAGTGTTGTAGCGGAGCGGCTGACGACGATGGACGGAGGCAGGACGGAGGGAAGAAGGGAAAGGTCGATAGGCGGTGGCTGAAGCAGGTCGAGGAGCGAGAAGACGGGACAGGAGAGGCGGAAGACGTCCCGGATTGGCTGAAGAGCACGCTCGAGGTGCGCCAGTCTCGCTCAACGTGACCGCTACAGCTCGCTGACCCAGTCTCGCATTGCTAGACATGGGACAACCCAGTGTTCCCCGCCACCGCATCGACAGGTCGAACGATCCCCTCGCTACCTTCGCTTCAGACCGCCTCATCCGCCGTCCAGCCAGGCCAACCACTCGCAACTCTTCCGGCCGCCTTCCGCACTACGAAGCCTATCCTGTCGAACCGCCTCACAGCCTTGAAGCTGAAGCAGATGAACGATTTCGGGCGAACGACCGTCAGCCTCGACGTTCCGACGCTCACCGCAGACCTCGATCCGTCTTCGGTTCCCTTCCTCGCACCTCTCGAAGCCGGCGCGCAGTCCTTCTCCCGCACATCGCTCGCCCAAGCAGAGTTCATCGCGCAAGTCGACACCAAGTACCTGCTCGTCCGCGTCCCTGCGTCTTCCAAAGGTCACGGCGCAACGCTCGTTCTTGTCGACCAACACGCCGCATCGGAGCGCGTCAGGGTCGAGCGCTTCCTTGATGCAATCGTCGGGCGAGTCGTGCGTGGCGAGGCTGTCGAGGCAAGGGAATTGGGAGCGGAGGAGAGGGTCGGAGTCGTCGTCAGTCGAGCAGAGGTCGAGGCTGTCCAGCGCTGGAGGTCGGTCTTTGAGCGTTGGGGTCTGCAATTTGCTGCAGGTGCGACCGAAGAGGAGAAGGAGGGCGACTATCACCAGCTCTGGCTCTCCACGCTCCCCTCGCTTCTCTCGGACCGGCTCTCGAAGGATGCCCGACTCGCTCAAGACCTCATCCGCTCATTCGTCGGCCACCTCGAAGAACACGGTGCAGGAGTTGCCGGGCGCGAAGGTCGGCAGGGCGAAGGCTGGACGAGCGGGATGAAGGACGTCCCGCCTGTCTTGCTCGACTTGATCAACTCGAAGGCATGTCGCGGAGCAATCATGTTCAACGACGGTGCGTCCGCCCACCATTATTCTCTCACGAGCGCATCGAATTGACGAGTGTTGGCCGCCGACAGTCCTTACTCCCGCTCAAGCATCGACTCTCCTCGCTCAACTCGCCCAGACGTCCTTCCCCTTCCAATGCGCGCATGGCAGGCCCTCTCTCGTCCCTATCGTCAACTTGCCGGCGCCCTCGAGGAGCGGAGGTCGGGGTGGACAGATTGATTGGTCGCGATTCGCTTGAGCAGCGAGGGAGCGGCTGCTCTCCCTCAGATCGTAGTTTTGGTGTTCGTGCGTCATGTGTCCTCGGTAGATATCTTGTTGTCGTCTCCAACACTTTGCCAACCCCGTCCTGCATCAACGTTTGTTCCGCATCGTCCACTCGGAGCTCTTGCGTGCGAGCCTTACGCATACTCGCAACTCTCAGGCCATGCACACGCGAAAAAGGAACGAATGAAAGAGGTTGCGCTACTAGAAACAGGCGATGTGTCGGAGGGAAACACGTGGAGAGGGAGGGGAGGGAGTAATACAACGAGCGGGAGGAGTGGAGATGCGAGAACGGAATGTGCGGGTTACGAAGGGAAGACTGGGACCGGAACGGAAAGGCGAAAGGAAAGGTGTATGGCCGAGGAAGAGGGAAAAGACTAGCGGAGATGTTGCTCGTCTTTAGGTGTGGGTGGTGCGGACGGATCTGTGAACAGATTTTTCAGGTCAGCTCGCGAGGACAAGCAAACAGGTTCCGCCTGCGAGCCAGCAAGCAGGTTCGGGACCCTACGCGGTCGAAGCTGAACTCACCCGGCGTTGGACCGATGTCGCCCGCGTCGAAGAACTTGATTCGCAATCGGTGGAATGCGGGGAGCTTCGGTGCGAGGCCGACGAAGAGTAGTGCGCAGAGGTTGAGGGTGAAGAGGGCGGGATGGGAGTCGTAGCGGGTGTAGTGAGTCGAGACGAGGAAGCTGCGCGACGTCTGAAGTCAGCGGGGCGTTCTGGAGGAGGCGATGCAAGCGCGAACGCACAGGACGATGGGAAGCGTCGTGAGCCACTTTTTCGCCGGTGTGTACTGCGCTCCCGAGTCGATCTGCTCCCACAGCGTCAGGTTGTCGTACACGCCCGAGTTGTTGGTCATGTCGAACGGCACGCCCGTGACGTAGTGGAAGATGATATAGGAGACCTGTGCCCATCAGGCGTCAGTACTGCTTCGAAGAAGGAGGGGAAGCGGACGCACGAAGAGGTAGCCGAGGTTGGCTATGGTCCAGGCGAGATCCTGCGTGATGCCCGGTATGGTCTCGAGGAGGATGATGCCGAGACCGATGAGGACGACGTGAATCAACCATGCTCCTGTATCAGCGGCAAAGCAGTGGCGAGAAAAGCGAAAGTCGAGGGATGGCGGTGCAAGGGAGGAATGAGGCGAATGTCAGCGGTCGCTCCACGTTCAAGCGCTTATCTAACTGCGTGGGTGCCATGAAAAAGCCACAAGAATCCTGTTGAGCCGTCTCCCGTCCAGCCGGCCGCCGTGTACGCGCTGCACAAGTCCCCGCTGATGAAGTCGAGGAGACGGCACGCACCCTTGTAGTTGACCCAGTCCGCGTTGACGTTTGTGAGCGCGCCCTGGTCGAGCTGGTCGTCGTACGTCTCTGGAACCTCCTGGACCGACACGATCGAGCTGCTGCGCCCTCGCCTCGTCGCCGTTGTCTGCGACGAGCGGGTGAACGAGTTCTGCTTCGACGGGGACGGCCGGAGCGGTGGCAGGCTGAGCAGCGCCGTGTTGGGCGAGTTGGACATGCTCGCTGCGAGTCTTAGAAAGCGAAGGGAGCGAGTTGAAGAGAACAGCGATGAGCGAAGGCGCTGAGGAACGCAAAGTCCGACACGAGGCGGCTCAGGATGGTTCGCTTGCAGCGCCAGTATTTCTACGATATGCTCAATAGCACAATAAAGCTGTCCAGACTAATCTAGAGGGAGTTGGTGCGGGTGTGAGAACCGTCCTCTCTCCTTTGTCCGTCAACCAACCACTACTTGTGCTGCCGCTCGCTTGGACAAGCTCAGGACAGCTGGAAACGACTGCCACAGCCTCGTGTGCGCGCATGCCAGGCCCGCCGAGGCTCCCGCTCGACCCGTACCCGCAATTCCTCCTCTCCTCGCTCGACATTGATCTCGACAACCTCGACCAGCTACACCCGTACCAGCTCGCGCTCGTGCATTTCAGCCCACTTGCGACGCCCGAACAACGCCTAAGGGCGGATGTGCTGTGGTGGCAGAAGCGGAGGGAGGCAATCGAGGGAAGCGGCGAGGAAGTCGGGTGGAGCGAAGCGAGTGCAGGCTTGAGGCAGATGAAGCGGGCGAGGGAGTGGCTCGAGGGAAAGGTGCCAGGGAGCAGCAAGATGCGGGACACGGGAGTGCAGACGGATCCACCGCCAGCTCCTCCCCCTACGACTCCGCAGCGAGCGGTGCGTGCCGTTTGCGCTGGGCGAACGTCCGTCCACTGACATGCCGGTTTTAGGTTACGCCGCCAACGCCCACCCCTGAACACGCGTTCACCCAATCTTCGCCAACAGTCGGTTCCGTTCACTCCAGTAACCCGACCGCAACGAGTCCTTCCTTCGACTTCTCCTTCGAATCAAACGAGCCATGTCCTCCCGCTCTTCATTCGCAATTCCATATTCTCTGGTGCGGCGACATCGCACCCGCCGTCACTCCCGCCCTCTTCCTCTTCTTCCTCGTCCGCCGCACCCGCAACCGCCTCCCTCGTTTCTTCGCCCTGCGTCGAGCGTCGTCCGGTGCCTTCCTCCTGGCCTTTCGCTCGTCAGACGACGCGCACATCGCGCAGCAAGACCTAGACGGCGAGGCAGTCCCGCACATGAAATGCCGGATCAACGCCGTCGTGCGAGGCAACTCGGGCAGCGAGTTCAAGTGGCGCGACTTGAGCGTCGACACGAGGCAGTGCTGGACGAAGTACCGGAGTCTGCCCCCCCAACAGTTGGTCGACCAGGCCAAGCCGGCTGGGAAAGGCATCACGGTCTCGCAGGACTATCACGACGAGTTGCAGCGGATCAAGGACGCAGAGGAGCAAGATGAGCGACGATTAGCGGACGAGGCGCGCGAGGCGACCCTCAAGTGGCGACGGGACAACTGGGGCGGCGATTACGACGGCCACTCGGACTCGTGCGAGTCCTGCCCTGCCCAGTACGACATGACGGACGACGAGCGGGTCGAGCGCGTTCTGAAGATCATCAAAGACAGCAAAGCCGCCTATCCTGACATCCAAGGTCCCGTCTGGCGACCGATCCTCAAGTCGCCGGTCTTGCGAAGCTTCGTACGGGCTTACGGCTTCACGAAGCTCGGTCTTCGAGCCGACCAGATGCCTTGGTACCGACCTCCGCCGCCTCCTACCGCTCCACCAACTCCGCCTCCTGGCCCGCCTCCACCGCAGCAGTCCCCGGCTCAACAACCTCCTCCTCCGCCTCAACCTCGCCACCAGCATCTTCCTCCGCCTCAGCCCCCCGCGCCCCGCCTACCCCCTCGTCCAACCTTCACGCCAACGGCAACGTACGACTCATATCCATCCTTCGCTTTCGGTGGTGGATCAACTGTGGCTCCGACGAACCAGGTTCCGCGACCTGGCCCTTCCTCCTCCTACCCAGCCGGAATCTCACTACCCTACACCGGTGCCATCGTAACCAACATCGTCCCGCCGGCCGGTCCTTCGCACACACCGGCTTATCGGCCGTACGATTTCGGAGGTTGGACGGCGCAGAAACGCGGTGCCGCAGGGGACCAGATGACGGATCCGAGCAAGCGGGCGCGGTATGACGCAGGTGCAGCGTACGGACGGACGTGACGCTTGACTCTCGCTTTCACTTTGTCTCCCTCACTCCGCATCTGTTCAGATCTTGTTGCTTGTAACTATCACGCCGTTTCCCTCATCTTCGTTCTCGCCTAGCATCAAAGCAGTCTGAAAGATGCCAAGGATGTCAAGGCAGCTGATACAGGGTCCCGCCTTCTATTCGTCCGTCTAAGTCGGTCGCGACGATGCGCCGAGCTGTACAGAGATTGGCGGCGCGTTTGCGTCGGTGTCCTGCGATTCCTGGCGTGGTGCGCCTCCGAGGACGTCTTGGAACTGCACGAAAGACGATCAGCGCGACAGCTCGCCGCGAGAAGAGGACGAGACGTACGCCGGTCCAGAGGTGCAATGCGGAAACGCGACTGTAGTGCTCGTCGAGCACTTTGGCGAGCTTGCGGGCCTCGAGCTATCCGAGCAGAGAGCCGTGTGAGCGTCGGCAAAGCGAGAAGAGTCGCGACGGACGCACCGTGTCCTTCCGTCCCGCCAAACTCGACGGCGGCGGATTCTCGCCATGCAGATCCCACGCCCCACCGAGACCAGCGAAAGCAGACTCAGGCTCTCCGTTGAGCGGCTCGGGCGACTCTGTTCGGGGTGGGCAAGCAGGATCGACCGCGTCTGGGTTCGGGCGGGACGAAGGGCTGTTCGAGCCTTGACCCGAGTTCTGCTTGGCGAGTTCCTTCGCCCGCTTGGTGATGCGCGCAGCTTCTTCGCGCATCGACTTTTTGAGGTGCCCTGCGAAAGGAGGCAAGTCAACAAGGCAGTCGGGCGAAAGGACTGCGAAGACTCACGTTCTCGCTCCTTCTGCACGCTCTTGTACGTTCGGCGGAATTTGCGCTCGAGAATAGCCTCTGCAAACAAGCGAGTGTGAGAGGCCAAACAAGCCTTCAAGAGGCGGAAAACTCACTGCCAGCAAGGTATCGCTTGACCGGCGCCTCCTTGATCAGCCCAACGTCCTCCTTGTCGACCTTGAGCATGCTCATCTGCTCCTCTGGCTCCATAGGCCTGACGACGCCCGTGGTCGAGATCCGCTCGCGGATCATGTTGTCGATGTATTCAGGCCGGTTGAACGGCTGCGTCGACGAGTAGATCGTCTTCTCGAGGTCGACGGCGGGAGGAGCCGAGCGCTTCTTCGCCTTCTTGCCAGGCAGAGGAACAGAGCTGACGGAGGGAGCGGAAGTCGTCGGTGCGGACTGGCTGCCGCCGGCATCGGTACGAGACATGCGTATTGAGGCCGCGCTGCCGTTGAGGGTGCTGCTGCCGTCTGCGTCGGGTGGACGAAGGAAGGCAGAATCCGGATGCAGAGGATCGCGCTCGAGAGGGAGCGTCATGCCGGACGGCGAGACGGCGGAGGGTTGCTGGTCCGACGGCGTCGTGACCCACTTAGCGAAGCTGGCCATGGCGCGAAAGCAGTACTTGGCGGGAGTTGTAAAGGAGAAGAGGGGAAGGTCGTGGCAGACTTCGTCGTAGAGCTGGAGGTGGACCTGCGGATGAGGCCGGTCAAGGCCGTATATATCCTGCAAGAATGTCGCTACGCACCTTGGTGGGCGGGTAGTCCTTCGATTTCTGGACTCGATCGGGGTTCTGCTTGAGGATGCCCTCTCGAACAGGGTAGCGGTCGGGGTGAGCTGCGCGATGCGCCATCTGCACGAGGCGAAGTCAGCCATCTCAGCGAGGGCCAAGGACGAGTTGTGCTCACGTAGATGATCTCGTCCCGCAAGACCTCCTTGTCGCCCGCCATCACGTATAGCGGCGGAAGACCGCCGAGTGAAGGTTGCCAGATGGGGCTGACGAAAGGATAGACCAGCTGCTCGTTCGTCGCGTACAGCTGGATCTGGTCAACGAGCTCGACTTCCTTGCCGTCGACCTTGACCTTCATCACCTTCGAGACCTCTGTCTTGTGCTGTCCCGAAGCTCCCGTCTCGTCCGACGGAGCCGAAGCATCGCCATTGTGCTGCTCCGCCCGCTTCGGGTCGTTATCGGGCAGGCGCTCGACGGCGTCGGCGAGTTCGTGCGCCTTGTGGTGAGTCGAGAGCGTTGGGAAACGGTGGCCGTGACGCTCTGACTTCTCCTGCTTTTTGCTCGTCGTCGTGTGCGGTTCACTGGAACCTCGAGAGCCGGAGTGCTGGAGGTGGTGAGCAGCCTTCTTGAGGCCTTGTAGAGACGTCGACTCGTCGGCTCGCTTGCGGAACTCGGCGGGCGGAGGCGGCCACAGCGTCGACGGCTTGAAGATGCCGAAGCCGAAGGGAGCTGCGACAGGAGGACGTCAGTCGAGGACGCCCGGCAAGGGCATTCGGCGAACGTACGAGGGATATCGGTGTCGGTGTTTTGCAAGATAGAGGGGAAGCTGTGGGTAAGGTCTGCGACAATACGAGCAGTCAGCAGCCCGTTTCCCACGAGCGGTACGAGCTTACTCACCGCACCATGGCGAGATGAGGATGCCTGCGAGAGCGAGGGGTCAGCAGGAGGTTCTCGCACGGCTCGGCGAGGATTCACCTACCTCCCGCAGGCATCGGCAGCCCACCATCACGGAGAAGACACAAGAGAGCGATAGCGAGTCCACCGCCTGCCGAGTCGCCGCAGATGGTAATCTTTGACGGGTCGACAGGGCGATGTTTTGCGCCTGGTGGCGGGCGGATGAGGTAGAGGTAGGCAGCGAGGCAGTCGTGTACTGCGAGTTCGAACACTCAGTACAGAGATAAGCAAAGCGGAGCGGAGCGAAAGGCCGTACGAGAGCAGGGAAAGGGATACTGAGGCGAAAGTCGATACTCGACTGCGAAGACGCGACCGCCTGACAAGCGAGCATGTCAGAGACATCCTCGAGAGACACGTAAGCGTTCCTGCGCACCCGTCTTTCTCGCTAGCCGCCAGTAGATGTAGCGATGCGTGTTGATGCTGCCGAAAAAGTAGCCACCGCCATGAATAGCGAGCATGACCGGCATGTCGTCGAGCTCGGCGGTGTAGTCGGCGTCTTCGTGGTGACAAGAGGAAGCCTCTGAGTCGAGAGGCGCGCGTGGCGGCTGTTTGGGCGAATCGGAAGGAGAACCGTCTGCCGCGCGTTGACGGGCTGCAGCTTCGTCCTCGGCCTGCTTCTCGAGGTCTGTCGTCGACTGAGCCGTAGACGAGGACGCGGTCGTCCAAGACGGCGGGAATGCCTTGCGAGCCTTCCCCAACTCTCGCCGCCGCCGGTTCTCGACCTTGGCGTCCTCCTTCAACTGCTTCGTCTTCTCCTCAGCCTCGTCGTCCTTCTTCCGCCTCGACCGGGCTTTGTCCTTCCCCTTCCCCTTTGAGCGAGCCCGGCTCTCCGCTTCAAGACCCTCCCAATCCCGCTTCATGCTGATCCATTCTCCGTCGACGCCGCCCTCCTTGTGCGTCGTCCGCTGCCACCATTCCCTTCCGCCGACGACGCGCTCAATCTCATCCTCGCCAAGTGTGTCGATCAAGACTTTTCCAGCCTCGAGACGGGTCGACAGCGGAATAACAACGCGAATCACGCGAACCCAGAAAGGTGCCGGGACGAAATTGTTGCCGAACCGTTGGACGTCTTCGACTGTGTGCATCGAGGCGTTCTCGAACTATTCCAGCGGGAGACAAGAGGGTCAGCGAGGGGAGACGGAGGTTGTGAGGAGGAGAAGCGGGACGCACAAAGTTCTTCATGACGCTAAACGCCTCGTCGTAGGTCAAGCTCTCCCTCGCTTTACTGTACACGCACGAAGGAAGTCAGCGCCTCCCTCCCTTGCCCCGTAGCGACCCCTCCACTCGAGCCCTCCTAATCTCGGCGAACTCACGTCTGCTTGGTGATCCTCTTGCGGTGGACGTAGTGCTTGAGGAAGGTCTTGCCGATGGTTGACAGACCCGACAGGGTCACCGTCAGCGTGTTCATCGGGAGGCCCTCCATCTCACAATGAGGGAGTGTGGGGTGGAGGGAGCGATGCCGCGGGAGAGGGGGAGCGCTGGCGCGGGTGTGGTGAGTTCGTAAGGACAGTCTTGAGCAGCAGCAAGTCTAGCAAGCGAGCATGAGCGGGACGAACGAGTGTCCGAGACGGAGGGGAACTTGGCCAGTTCGGCGACGACAAGCGGGCGCGGACGAAATGTCAAGCAGGCTCAGGGTACAACGGGTCGAGCTCCACTGATGCAATAGATACATTCCTAGCGATGCGGCAAGTACGAAAAAGGCGACGGGAGAATTTCAAGCACCCTCACAGACTCGCCTTCGTCTCCTTCGAGATCAACCGTGGCTGCGCGCCGAGACCGTTGCCGACGCCTGCGCAGTCGAAACAAGTCAGCGCTGAAGCGAGCGAAGGGAAAGGCAGCGAACGCACCGGCGAGAGGCTCGTAGTTCGCCCGCATGAGGTAGTCCGAAGCGCCGTCGACGAGGCGGTTGCTCAAGCCGGCGGTGTCGATCTGCGAACAGAACAGGGGTCAGAAGCTCCGAGAGAGTCAGGAGGAAAGGCTGGGACGCACCATCTCGGGCGTGACATCCTGAATCGTAGGCGCGCCAATCAACCGCATGCTGTTCAAGCAACCGGGTGTTCAGCTGCTGCTGGCGGGAAGCGAGCTCAGAAGAGACCCACTTCATCTCCATCTCGTCCTTGAGGATCTGGATCGCTTTGATGACACCCTCGTGGCCGTAGGCAGAGTAGGCGTCTGCGAGCGACGAGTCTGTCAGTCCCGGTCTCCGGGCCACCCATCCCACGAGTTGCGCCGCAAACACAAACAATGGAGAGTAGCAGGGGAAAGCCGACGGACAGAGGAAGGGACGGCCGATGCCGACAGCCTTCGCGCCGAGTGCGATCGCCTTGAGGACGTCTCCAGCGCGGCGGACACCTCCGTCGATGCTGCGTACGCGCGCTCCTCAGTACGGACGCGCGAATGGCGAGCCAGGTAAAGCTCGACGCACTAGACCTCGAACCCATTCTTAAGAAGGTCCCTCTTCTTCAACTCGCGCATGACCTCCTCGAGGATCTCGATGCCCGAGCGCGCAAAGTCGAGTTGCCTGCCTCCGTGGTTCGAGAGGACGACGCCGGCGAGTCCTTGTTCGGCGGCGAGGACTGCGTCTTCCCAGCATTGGACGCCCTTGAGGATGATGGGCATCTTGGTGATCGACTTGAACCACGGGATGTCCTGTTCACCACAGGCTCATCAGCACACGCACTCACACTCAGACTGAGGAGCGAAGGCGGCGACGCACCTTCCAAGACAACCCGGGGTCAATGAATGACGAGATAGCCCTCGCGGCACCCTGCGTCTTGTCAACGCTCTCGCCCTGCGTACGTTGGACGTTCGACCCCTCGTCCGCAAACTTCTGCCGCATGTCCTTCTCGCGACGACCGAGTTGCGGAGCGTCGACCGTGATGAAGAGGCCTTTGATGCCGCGCTTTTCGGCGTGTCTGCGCGATTGAGCGGGTGAGCGAGTGGCGAAGATGGGAGAGGGAAGAGTAGGACGCACTGGACAATCTTGCGGGTGATCTCGCGGTCCTTGTTGACGTAGAGCTGCATGAACTGGACCTGTCCAGGCTTGGCCGCATCGACAATCTCGTCGAACGAGCACGACGCCAGAGTCGGGATCATCTGTAAACGTTCACAACCGTTTCCAGCTACCCGTCAGCACTGGAGATTCATGACGGCCAGCGAAAGCGACGCGGACGCACCTGGATGACACCCTGCTCGTGCGCGGCCCAGGTCAAGTTCTTCTCACCCTCCGGGTGTCCCAGCTTCCCTAGCGCCGTAGCCGTGATATAGATCGGCAGCGAAGTCTATTCACCAACCCATCAGCTTGCGTCCTCACAGCGAGCGGGAGGGAACGCACCTTGTGCCCGAGGATGGTCGAGCTAAAGTCGATGGTGGTGACGTCCCGCAGGATACGAGGGCGGAACCAGATGCGTTGGTAGGCGTTTCGGTTCTCGCGCATCGTGATCTCGTCGTCCGCGCCGGACGAGTCTGTGAAAGGCGGATGTCAGCGGCGTACGGAAATGAGGCAAGGAAGGTGGGCGCACAATAAGCCCAAGCGCCGACCGGCAAGACCGACTTGGCGACAGCCTGCGCACTCAAACTTCGTCGGCGCAACCCCACTGCGAGAAAGGACGGCTACCGCCTCCGCACCTCGAAATCATACAAACTCAGACACTCATCCATGGGCGGCTTCTCCTCAGCCCTCTTCTTCCTGTCCTTCTCCTCCTGCGTCTCTTGCTTGGCGACGATCTCGAGTCCCGAGAGGTCAACCGGACCGAGGTGCTTGTCTTTCGGGAGGTATTGCTCGAGCGTGCCAGGGGGGTGGATGGGCTCGCTGTGGGTGACGAGGGGGTCAGTATGCGGCATTGTGTTCAGCAAGAACGTTTAGTGACGCACTAGGCCTGCGAAGGAGAATCAACCGGAAGTCAGTTCGAGCGGCGAAGCGGAACAAGCGAAGCGACGCACCTCCGTCGCGTCCTTCCCGGCATACTTGAGCAAGATGCCCATCCCTCCAGGATGTTCAGGCGCAAACTCAGTCAAGTCGTAAGCCTGCACAACGAAAACACCCTCGCCGTTAACACCCTCCGATCGGCCCGGACTCTCTCGAGGGATCGGGACGCACATTCCCGTTGACGATGACCCAGAGCGAGTCTTTGTCTGCGTGTTTGGCGACTTCCGAGTGGTGCAGAGGGCGCTTTTCGGCGTCGGAGGACGACATGATGAGCGGGTTGTTGCGAGATGAGGGTGTGGAGGCGAGACGAGGAGTGGCGTTTGTTGGACCGCGAGTTGGGCTGGCTGCGGCAAACCTGTGCGTGCGAGTACGATGCGAGTGTCGCCGAGTCCGCTCGAGGTGTGCGTGAAGAGTGACAGCGAGGTCGAAGGGAAGTTGCGCCCCCCGCGCCCCGATTTCTCCGCTCCAGCTCGCCCCGGGCGGAGCCGTCGGTCCCCTCTTACTCCTCGCTCAATACAGCCAATTCTAATCCTCAATACAAACTCTACTGCTTAAGTCTACAGTTTGCCGCCCCCTCCCTCGACCGGAGTAGCCGTACCACTTTCTCCGCCCGCTGTTGGAGAGGGCAAGGCGTTGGCTGCTTCGGCCCCTCCTCCTCCTTCGCTGAACGCCTCGATGTAGGATTGGAAGAAGCGGCGCCAGGAGGCTTTGCTTGGGGTGTGGTGGCCTGCGGGAACGAGTGTCGAGAAGTCAGTCGTGCTCAACTGGCTCGAATTCGCGGGGTGCGAAAGCGGCAGGACGAGAGAAAGTGAAGAGAGAACGGGCAGACACACCTCCATCGTGCCACTCGACCCTCGCGCCCTCAAACGCCCTCGTAAGCGGCACCGACCTCTCCTCACCGACAATCGTGTCCCCCCTCCCCAGCACATGCAACGTCGGCGTCCGCAGCTTGCTCTTCTCAAAGTACCCCGCCGCGCGCGGGTCGAGCGGGAAGAACCCGGCAGAGAGGATGGCAAACTTGAATGGCTTTGGAGGCCACGCGACGGACGGGTTCGACGAGGGCGCCGCAAAGATCGGGTCGAGAGAGGGGTTCTCCACGAGTGCGGTGAGGATCGCACCGCATGCCGCGCCCTGCGAGAACCCAAAGACCCCATCGAACGGTCCCTGTTCCTCCAAGATTTGTCGGAGGTGACGCAAGGTCTCGTCGAAACGGACGAACTCGCGGTAGTGACCGTCGGAAGGGTGTGGTTTGGCGAACCACCAGGCGCGAGGGGTGTCGGCGTCTGAGGTGGGAGAGGCAGACGCGTCCGAGTCGAACTTGTTGCGGAAGTCGGTTGGGTCGGTCGGCATGTCAACGATGTGGGTCTACGGGCGGCGACTCTGAGCCTTAGCGTACACTCTCGCCGCTGATTTGAGACAGTGAACGCACCGGATCGACAAACACCAACTCAGCCGAGTCCTTGAGCGCCCGTCTCAGCGCACCTATCCGTCCGCCTGTCGCGCACAACGAGCCCAGTCAGCCAGCGCGAGTGACAGAGTGCAAGAATCGAGTGACGCACTGAAGATTGCAGCATTCTGAGTGTAGCCTGGGAGGCAGAGGATGCGGGGAAGGGCGGTCATCGAAGAGAGCGAGTGAGCCGGAGCGGGTGAGGAGAGGGTGCGAGCGTGGTGGAGCAAGGGTTTCTGGCCGCGTTTGAGCAAGTTTGCGTGTCTACCGGTTGAGTCTTTGTGCGACTAGTGATGGTGGTTACGAAGGGAGAAGAGGAGTGAGCGAGCGAGGGGGCGATGAGGGAATTCGGTGCACGTGACTCGGCTGCTCGATCGCTCGCACGCTCCTCTCGCCTCGCTCCCTCTCTTGAAGCTTGAAGTGCTACTCGACTGCTGCTCTGGCTGCTGCGGACGGTGCGCTGGCTGGGCGAGGCTGGACACTGTGCGTTGGGATTTGCCGAACGAGGCAGGCGGAGCGAGGCTGGCTTTGAGACGAGCGGGTGCTCTCATTCACCAACACAGCTCGCACTCGTGCTGCTGCTGCTCGCTGGGACTGTGTTGCACACCCTCTGCTGTTGGACATCCACTCGACCGGGCCATCCCATCTCACCCGCCGCTCGCCGCACCCTCGCACAGCTGCCCCACTCCGACTATCTGCGAACCAGCCACGCCCCGTCCACTCGTCCTCGTCCTCGCCCGCTTGCTCAGTCCAAGTGGTCTAGATGATGGGCCTCCTCTCACGGAAAAAGACCAACACGGCCCAGTCCTCCCAACCCGCCCAAGCCCCGCCGCCCATCTCCGCCCCGCTCCCTTCCTCGCAACCGCCCTCCATCTCGACCACCGACTACTCGGCCAAGAAGTACCCTTCCTCGACGGGTAGCGCGGGAGCGTATGCTGCACAGCAACAACCTAGTCCGCCGCGTAGTCCTGTCGAAGCTGGATGTGAGTTTCCCCTCCCCTCTCCCAGCGGAGAGCGAACGAAGGCTCCACATTCTGACGTCTCACTCACTCACTCCTCGCAACTCCGTTTCCCCGCTCCCTTGCACGACGACGACGACGTACAGACGCACACCACGGGAAACAGCAGTCGCAGTCGCAGTCGTACCGTCCCCAGAGTTCCAACTCGCAGAACCGGGCAGGAGGAGGAGGAGGAGGCGGGTACGGCGCAGGCGCAGGAGGCGGACAAGACTACGGCTACGGCGCGAACGGCTCGTCGTACGCGCAGGAACGGGGGTACGGGGACGTCGAGGGCAAGATGGGAAACTTGGGAATCAATGGCGGCGCGGCGGCGGGCTCGGCGGACCAGATGAGCGTCGATACGGACATGGCGGACGGGTCGAACGGGCAGTACGGTGGCAACGGTGGAGTGTACCAGCAGCAGCAGCAGTCGGCTGTCTCGCGGCACCATCAGCAGCAGCAGGGCGGAGGCGGTCACCACTCTCACGCCTCGCGACAGCTCGCCCGACAGACCGAGACGACTCCTCAAGTCGTCCTCTCGCCCACTCCGTCGCAGTCGTCGTCCGTCTCGCGCAAGACCTCGTCCCGCTATAGCCTCACCGACTTTACCTTCATCCGGACGCTCGGGACCGGCTCGTTCGGCCGCGTCCACCTCGTCCGGTCGCAGCACAACGGGCGTTCGTACGCCATCAAAGTCTTGAGCAAGGAGCGTGTGGTCAAGATGAAGCAGGTCGAGCACACGAATTCCGAGCGCGAGATGCTCGAGCGCGTGAGGCACCCGTTCTTGGTCAACCTTTGGGGGACATTCAAGGACTCGAAGAACCTCTACATGGTCATGGACTTTGTCGCAGGCGGCGAGCTCTTCTCCCTCCTCCGCAAGAGCCAGGTTCGTCGCGTCCTTCCCTCCCTTTCAACGCGGGTCTCGGCTAACGCCTTCGACCTCGCAGCGCTTTCCCGACCCAGTAGCCAAGTTCTTCGCTGCCGAAGTCGCCCTAGCACTCGACTACCTCCACTCGCTCGACATCATCTACCGCGACCTGAAGCCCGAAAACATCCTCCTCGGCGCAGACGGACACGTCAAGATCACCGACTTTGGGTTCGCGAAACATGTCCCCGATATCACTTGGACGCTGTGTGGTGCGTTCGAGTCAGTCTCTTCGCTGTGAGGATAGGAGCTGATGAGGAGTGGGTGCAGGCACGCCGGATTATTTGGCGCCGGAGATTGTACAGTCGCGGGGCTACAACAAGAGCGTCGACTGGTACGCGCTCGGCGTGCTCATGTTCGAGATGTTGGTGAGTTGCCGAGCCTTCCCTCCGTCCCGCTCGACAAGCGCGCTGACCCGGACTCTGCACGCAGGCCGGCTACCCACCCTTCTTCACCGAAGACTCGAACCCGATGCGCCTCTACGAAAAGATCATCTCGGGCAAGATCCGCTACCCAGCGTACTTCACGCCCGAAGCGAAAGACCTCCTCAAGTCGCTCCTCACGACCGACATCACCAAGCGTTTCGGCAACCTCGCGAACGGGTCGCGCGATATCTTTGGGCATGTGTGGTTTCAGGAGGTCGATTGGGAGCGGCTGTATAGGAAGGAGATTCCGGCGCCGTATGTCCCCAAGGTGGAGGGAGACTGGGACGCTAGCAACTTTGATGCGTACCCTGGTGCGTCTCCCGCCTCCGCACCCGTCGACGAGCTTCCCGCACTGACGCTGACGTACGCGCTTTCGCAGAGGTCGACCTGTCCGAGTACGGCTCGTCCGGCCCCGACCCTCACGGCCACCTCTTCCCTCTCTTCTAAGCCGCCCCAATCCCTCCACCTTCTCTCATCTCCTGACTTATCGACTATACATCTCATCTCATCCCATCTCAACTCAACCCTCATCATCCCATCATCTGCCTATAACCTCCGCATTCCTCATCCCGCTCATCCTCCTCATCCTCCTCATCCACCCTCGACCTCTCCGGACATTCGATACAATCCTCAGCACTACTTAAGCTTTAGTTCTCTTCCTCCTCTTTCATTCCGTTTCGTTTCTTGCCGTTCCAGCCCTCCTTACAGCGAAGTGTAGCATTTTCTCTCGCCTCGTCTTTCTCCTCTTCATCTGCAGTCGGAACTCGTCAATCCTCTTCATGCTCCCTCGGTCTTGCGAGCGTCGAACGCGATCCATTGCGCGCCTACGCGCTCGGCAGAAGCTACCGCGTTCTGATCCCCAAACTCGCCAGCAAACTCGGCGCCCGCGCATACGGGTTCCCGCTCTTCTTCACCGCCAGCCGTGCCTTGTTCCAGTCCCATAGCGCGCTGAGGTAGAAGCCTGCGACGCCCCAGGCTATGCCTTGCAGGAGGGGGAAGACGACCTGCGGACGCGGCGGGCGTTAGCTCGCGCATTTAGAAGCGGAGGTTAGAAGAGGAGTCGACGCACCTGGTCCCGCACGATGACGTAGGTCACCTTGCTCCACTCGATCCGTAGAGGCGCCATCAGAGCGTCGCTCGCCGACTCGCGCTTCGAAGACCCCTCGGCCGTCAGTTGTGCCGACGCCAACGCGCTCTTCTCCGCCGTCAAGACCTTCTTCTCCTTCTCCGCTCCTTCGCCGCCTTGTCGTTGTCCTGACTCGTCGCCATCGATACGGTGCAGGAACGGCCGGATCGAAGCGAGTACGCCCTGCTCGTAACGGAGGTCGGGAATCGGCGGGACTGGTATCCGTTCCTCGCGGTCCTCCTCCTCGTCGCTGTCCTCGTCCTCATCGTCCTCGTACCGTCTTCGCCGCCGCGCAGCCTTCTGGTCCTCCCCCACCCTTCCCTCCTCGCGATCACTCTCCGCAAGCCGACTCGACAACGAATGCAAAGGCGAGACCGAGTCGTACACTGCTTGACCTGTCGTTCGGTCGTCGGTCTTGTGCAGCCCTGGGATGTGCGACGGGTCGAGAGAACTGGTGTTGATGACGGCGGAGTTTGATGAGGATGGAGAGAGGGGTCAGCGGGGCGTCTGGCGCGGTGGGAACAGCGGGGGTGTACTCACCTCATTTCTATCTGGGAGTGTAGGAGTCTGGCAAGTCTGGAAGGCCCGTGCAAGCGTGAGAGACGTTGCTGAACAAGCCGAAGAGGGGGAGCGACTCGCGAAGGAGCGGGTTGACCGCGTCCCCATCGCTCGCTGTCGCTGTGCTGGCTTGCAAGGCTCTCAGAGGACCGTTTGGATGCTGTTCCGACCGCCCAGCGTGCCGGAAGTGCGCGCCACCTCACCCCTCCTCTCCTCTCCACGCCCAATCTCCTCGCGGACGACATGCTCGCTTCTCGCACTCGTAGTCGCCGTGCTGGCGCTCATTCGCACGACGAACGCACTTCCAGTCGATGCGCTCTCCGGCGACCCCATCCCGGCGAGACGAGCGCGCACCTTCCTTCCTCAAGATCCTCGATCCTCCATCGGCGACGCCTTCCTGTTCAGACGAGCGGACGCCATTCGCCGCCAAGATACTCGACCCTTCATCGGCGCACCCTTCGGTGACTTCTACATCTCGAACGACAACCTCGAATGCGAGCCCCTACGCATCTCCTTCGGCGGCGGCCCAAGGTCCGCCTTACGCTTTGAACATGGTCAAACCGCCAGTCGCGACGAACGGGTCGGTGGAAGACGTCGAGATTCTTGAGCGGATTGCGGTCGCGGGAATGCCGGGAATGACTTGGTGGAGTCTTGATGGGACGAGCCTGAAGGCGGGAGATGCGGTTGCTCTCCAGATTGTGGACGCGGCAGGTCAGGTCGGATACTCTGTGAATCGCCACGGTACGCACGTCTCTCTTCCGGGCATTAAGTACAGAGTGCTGACAAGCTTCTCCCCTCTCAGTCGCCGAAGCTCGCTTGAACGAATACTGCCAGTGCGTCTTTCGCCTCTCGCAGAAACTCGCTCAAAAAACAGCTCACTAATCAAGCCATATAACAGCTACCCCGGTGCATTGTGGCCGCCCTCGCGCTGGGACGGCAACCACTTCGTCGGCATCCTCCTCATCCTCCTCGGCATCGCTTTCTTCGCAGTAGGCGGGGTCGAGCGTCTCAAGACCTGGTGGAAGACACGGCATCTGCGGCGGTCTGTTGAGCCGACGACGAGCGATGTGCCGCTGCAGGAGCGGAGAAATGAGGGCGCGACGCATGTCCTGGGAGACGACGAGGAGCGTACTTCGCTGGAAGACGAGGACAGGCCTTTGTTGCGGGACGACGAAGCGCCGGGAGAGGCGCCGCCAGCTTACGATGAGGTAGCGAAGGAGGAGGAGGACGTAGAACGGGCGGATCTGCGGATAGACGAGCGGGAGGGTTCTAGACGAGTAGGATAGCCTCTCTTGTAACACTCGCCGGATTTCGCCAGGTCACTCAACGTGCTCCTCGCTGTACTCCATGACCTCCCTCTCGAGCATGCGCGACAATGTACAGCGGAAGACGGCGGGTGGCGAAGACCTACCCGCCTGAAAAGTACAAGTTTTGATTGACCGGGCAAACAAGCGAAGCTATAGGAAACGCAATGTGGGTAATGGATGCGAGAATCGGAGGAGTGCGAACTACAACGATGCCTGCGGGAGTGAGAGAGACCCTCCTCACGCCTTGACCTCCTCCTTGACCTTCTCGGCCGTCGCGCCCGCGCCGTCCTTCTTCTCGTCCTCGTCGTCTAGGTGGATCTCGACCTTGTGGTCGTCGCCGCCGCCCTGCTGACCCGGCACAATCCGCTCCGCATCGTCCTTGCCCGCCTCGCCGCCCGAGAAGCGCTTCAACCGCTCCGAAACGTGCTCAGCGCTCTCCTTCGGCCACTCGCCGATCGCTCCTTCCTTCTTGACGCCCGCAGCGGCGGGCGAAGGCGACGAGCCTGCGTTGGCGGGTTTGTTGAAGGTCGCGGAGTACTTGGCGCGGTTGTAAGGCGCCGGTCGGTGAGGAGGGTGGGAGAAGTGGCAGTCGGCACGGGTGCACGCAGCGCCGTAGCGGCACGGGACCTGACCTGAGTCGCTGCGCATGTCCCAGGGGTGGAGGAAGACGCAGCCGGGACGGGTGCAGGCGGAGCCGAACTTGCACGGCTTCTCGCCTGCGCCGGGGAGAGCGGCGGGAGGAGGGCCAGCGGGAGGTCGGGAAATGGGGGCGGAAGGAGCGATGGGGCCGTCGGCGGAAGAGACGGCGGAGGGAGGGTGGGTCTTCTGCGCCTTCGAGACGTGCGACTTGGGGCAGTCCTGCGGGAAGCAACAGCGTCAGTACACAGAATTAATGTGACATCGAGACGCGAAAGTAATCGCACCGGATCCTCGCACTTGAGCTGCTTCTCGCACGGCTCGCTGCTCAGAACGAGCCCACTCTCCTTCGTCGCGACGGGGCTCGGGTGCGAATACGGACACGCCGGCTTCGTGCACTCGGTCGCGTGCTTGCAAAGCGCCTCTTGCAGCGGCTTGGAGGGGAGGACGACGGGCGGAGTTGCGGGCTTGGGCGGCGGGCCACCGCGAGGTCCGCCTCGGGGTCCGCCGAAACCGCCAGGGTGGAAGGGAGGAGCGTTCGGGTTGAAAGGACCGCCGGGACCGCCCGGTCCAGGGAAACCGCCAGCCGGGTTACTCCAGACGTTCTGCATCGCCGCGAGAGCCTGAGCCTGCGCGACGGCGCTCGCTTGCGCTTGCGCCATGATGTGCGGCGGGAGACGTGCGGAGAGAGGGTGGGCGGTGAGAGCGGGGAAGGGGATGTTGGCGAGGATTGACGGGTGTGCACCGGCAAGAATGGCGTTGACCGCTTGGGTGATCTGCGGGAAAAGGGACCGTGAGCAAGCAAAACAGGCTGATGAAGGGCAGTGTGAACGCACAGCATCGAACGCAGGCTGCGGCATGCCCGTGTTGTTGACCGGCCCCATGTTCCGCCCCGGCGCAAACTGCGGGTTGTTGCCGTTGACCCGGTCGTACAAGCTCTTCCCGCCCTTCGGACCCGTCGGTGCGTCGAACCTCTGCCTCTGCTGCCTCTCGCCTCCATCGGGACCGTCAATCTCCCTCGCACCGCGCTTGACGCCCGTCACGGCTGCACCGAAGACGTTACGTCCGCCGCCAATGGGACCGGGTGGTCGCGAGGGGATGCCGTTCGCGCCTGCGCCGGAATGCGACGCGGAGCCGGACGGACCAGTCGGAATGGAAGAAGAGGGTGCGGACGAGGCGGAGGAGGGTTCGGGGTAGTGCTTCTTGACCTCGTCGAAGAGCCAGGTCACGAAGGAGGCGTCAAAATCGCCGCCAATCAGGTCGGACAGCTCGGTGGAGATTTGCTCTGTCGTTTGAGCGTGGTCAGTACGGCGACGAGAGCTGATGAAAGCAGTGTGCGCCAACTCACCAGCCGTCTTGCGGTTGCCAAGCATGACCACGCAGTACTCCCTGTGGGTACGAAGCAGCGTCAGTGACGGTTCTTGTGCCCTCACAGCCCGATCTGAGCAAACTACTCACGCCATGACAGGGTCGTCCTCCGTGCTCCACCCGAGGAAGGCGAGCTGCTTCTGGATGGCCGCCTGCGCGCGTGAATGGATCAGCAGGCGTTCTCGTGAGCTCTGGTCACCGTACGCACCTGCAAGGCCTGCCCCTGCGGGCTGCTGGGCACGATTTCGGGTGCCATCGACTCGTGAGGAAAGCGGGCGGAACGGCGATGTCACGCGAGGAGGAGCGGGCGGTTCGAGGGCGTCTGTCTGCTCTGTCTCAGCCGTGTAAGCAGTCTAGCAGCCGAGCCTGTCAAGCCAGCCGCTGTGAGAGGTGAGTGGACGAGGTCGAGGCGAGCGCCACTCCTCGAGGACGAGGTCAGCCAGCTACAACGCTTGCTCGTACTGCTCTATTGCGACGATAGGATGTACGCTGGGACCCTAAGCTCTCCCACTGACCCGCTCGCTGACCTTGCTCGCTTGCGCTGCCTCTCTCGCTCTGCTCGCTTCCACAGGGCACTCATCGAGGTCATCGCGAACGACCGTCTTGGGAACAAGGGTGCGTCGCAGCCAGTCAGTGTGTACGGACGCCGCTGATCCCTTCGTCATCCTGGCAGTCCGCGTCAAGTGCGAGTGAGTCGCTAGAACTCGCTCCAGCTGCTCCCGAGACGTTCTGTTCGCGCGAAGAGATGCTCACTGGCATTGTTCTCGCTATCACAGCTCTGACGACACTGTCGGCGACCTGAAGAAGCTCATTGCGGCGCAGACGGGAACCAAGGCGTGAGTCGAGATCCTCCTCCAGCCCGCTTCAAACTGAAGTCAACTGGACAACATGTACTGACGCAGTCTTGCCGCTCTCACAGGGAGAAGATTGTCTTGAAGAAGTGGTACGTCGCCTGTGATGTCCGCAGAGCTGGGTTTATACACCTGAACTGCGTACGAGCGATTCTGACCTCGTCCTCGCTTGCTTGCCCGCTTGCCCGCCCCGCAGGTACACCATCTACAAGGACCAGTGCGTCTCAGCGTCTCTTCCATGTAAAGGTCTTGCCTGACCCATTCTCGTCGCTCGCAGCATCACTCTTCGAGACTACGAGGTCGGTCTCTACGCTCCTTCGCTGGACTCCCTAAGCCCGGCTCCGCGGCTACCTGTACTCACCTGCTCTTCTTCTTGCAGATCAACGACGGCATGTCGCTCGAGATGCAGTAAGGACGGAGCGAGAGGGAGAATTGGGCGGCTTCCTAGGTTTCGAGTCTCGTATACGCAATCGCAGTGTCTCTCGTGTTGTTCTACGCCATGCTGAGACCGCAAAGAGTGCGCTGCTGTCCCTAGAACGCTTCCCAAGCGAGCTTTGTGAACCACTCCCTTCCACTCCGCCATCCCACTCCTTCACCCTCGACAACTCGCGCACAACATGGCAAGCTCGCTTTGCTGCCCGTCTGGTGCTCTCCGGCTGACCTGATCGCGCCATACAGCTGCCTCTAGCACTCCTCCACGCCGCCCAGGCGAAACCGATGGTCCGTTGCTCCTCATCGCACAACCCCGCCTGTCCGCCTCGCTCACAGCTGACGAGCCCGCTGGATGCGCGCAGCTGGTGGAATTGAAGAATGGGGAGACTTTCAACGGTCACTTGGTCGCGTGCGACAACTTCATGAACGTCACGCTCAAGGAGGTGTACCAGACGAGTGCGGTGCGTTCGCTCTCACTGCTCGTTCGACCGCGCGCGTCTCGTAATTGCACGTGCTGATTGCTCGTGTATGCGATGTACAGGACGGCGAGCGGTTCTGGAAGCTGCCGGAGGCGTACATCAGGGGTAACAACGTGAGTTCGCTCTCTCTTGCTCGCCAAGGGGAAGATGATTGCTGTTCGAAAGGCGCAGTAGTTGACGAACAGCGTGCTTGTTTTCTTTGACGAGCAGATCAAGTACATCCGGGTGGCAGAGAACGTCCGTCCCGTCTGCCTTCCCCTCTTCATGCCTCCCAGCTGACCGTTGTCTCCTCATTCCGCCTGGAACAGCTCGTGGACCAAGTCAAGGAGCAAGAAGAGGAGCAGCGACGGCGCGGAAACTCGGGACGAGGCGGGCCTGGTGGTGGACGAGGAGGAGGAATGGGTCGGGGAGGCGGAATGGGCGGACGAGGTGGTAAGTTCCGGCTTTTCCCCCACGGCGAAGGGGGTCCTAGAACGGTCTTTAGGACTTCCATGCGCTCGAGGCACAGGAAGAGCTAGGGATTCCGCTGACACTCTCGTTCGCAGGTCGCGGCGGCGCACCAGGACGAGGCGGACGCGGCGGAGCACCAGGTCGCGGTGGCATGCGCGGCGGTGCAAAGGTCGGCGGACCTTAGCGAAGCATCCGTTTGTCGTAAAGTCGCTTTACCTTCTCCCGCTTTTCCACCGCAACGCAGCGCGGGTGTACTGTATACCCAGCAGAGGGATGCGGACGGACTGCTGCGTTACGGATGCCGAGTGATGCGAGTCTACGTACTAATGCTGCGAGTTCAGCTGCCTCTACACCCTCTCGACTACCTCCCCATTTTCCAGCCGCAGCAACCTCCCAACACTCTTCGGCACCTCCTCCTCGAAGTGCGTGATAAGCACGACACTCTGCCGCTCATCCAACTCCTCGTCGATGAACCGCTGCACCTTCTCGATCGTCGCCTTGTCCATCCCCGAGAACGGCTCGTCGAGGACCAAGAGAGGGGGTTGCTTGACAAGCGCGCGCAGGAGGAGAATCAGGGATTGTTCGCCTGGGGAGAGGGAGGCGAAGGGTCGATCGAGGAAGGAGGGCGTGAGAAGCGGGTGGGAGATGCGCGAGAGGAGGGAGGAGATGGCGGCGGCTTGGTCGGGCGTCGCTTTGCGGTAGGAGTAGACCGACTCGAAGCCGGTCACGATGGCCTGTGACGAGATGGAGCCTAACTTAGCACCGGCCCATCACCCTGCAGGAGAAGAAGCAGGCGACGTACGTCGTAGGCGGAAAGCGCTTCTGGGCCGTACCGCCGAGGAAAGGCGTTGAAGATCTCGGGCGAGACGTGGCCGATGTTAGCTTGCACTGCAAAGTCAAGAGTTGTCAGTTGGATGCGGGTTTGCAGCACGCTTGCAGAAACGTACGGGTCGCGGTAGCCTGTCGTAGTCGGGGCTTGCCGAACAGCTCGATGTCTTCGGTGAAGGAGCGAGGGTGGTCACCCAGCAACAGCGCAAGGAGCGTGCTCTTGCCGGACCCTAGCAAGATGAACGTCAGCTCCTCCGCTCGAATGTATCGAGAGGAAGCGGCAACTCACCGTTGTGACCCGCCAGAACCCACCGCTCGCCTTCTCTGATCGTCCAGTTGACGTCCTTCAGCACTTTTCGGTCCTCCTGGCCTTCCGCTGGCCGACCATACGAGATGTTCACGCCCGTCAGCTGTACAATCGTCTTCCGCCCTTCGACCTCTTCATCCTTCTTCGCGGCAGCAGCCTGCCTCTCCTCCTTTCTCCACTTCGACGCAGCGCGCTCCGCCTCTCCAGCAGCAAGCAACTCTCTCGCCTCCTTCGTCGCGAGGATCTCGTCTTTCCGTCCGAGCCGTAGAGGTGTTTCGGGCGAGGCATCGGCGAGGGCGATGTGTGTCACAAAGGGTGGGAGGACGTCTTGTGGTCGGAGGACGAGGAGGACGCGAGGGGAGCGGGCGGCGTGAAGGGAGGAAAGGAGGGAAGAGAGCAGTTCGCGGGACGAAGCGTCGAGACCGGCTATGGACGCACGAGCTGTTAGAACCCAAACTTCGTTAAGCTTGAAGCGGCACAAACACGTACTGAAAGGTTCCTCGAGGATGAGCAGCTCTGGCTTGGCGAGGAGAGCCCTGAGGATCCTCGCCCGCCGAGTCTGACCGTTGCTGAGCGTGATGAGCGGGAGGTCGAGCAGAGTCGTCATCTGCAGGTCCTTCGCCTTCTCCGCGACGACCTCGTCGCTCGCGCCTGTTGAGTCCTTCAGGTGTTGCCGGACCGTCAACTTGTCCTCGTCCCGGATCGAGTAGTACCGCGCCGTGTAGTCGTCGAACGCTCCGCTTCGCCCCAGCCGAGTCTTGAAGCTGACGAATTGCAGCAGATCTTCGACTGTCCGCTCCCGAGGACCGCCTTCTTCTGCTGGCCGGTCGACGGGAGGAAGCGTTGCGAGGATTGGATGAGAGGCGGACGAGATAGGATGGAAACGCGCTTGATGCTGTATGGTAGCCAGGAGTGCTGCTCGTGTCGGAGAAGACGAGGATGGCGCGAGGATGGCCCAGCAGTCCTCGTCATGGATCGTCAGGTCGAGGTCGTTGAAGAGGGCTTGCGACGGGTCATTCGAGGGTACGCCGAAGGGAAAGACGGCGGCGCGCTGGGCCTGAAAGACGGGCGGGGCATGGAGAACGGGGCGGCTTGACGTGAAGGAGCGCGAAGCTGGAAATCGAGGGGCGGGAGCGAGAGTCCGGAGGAAAGGGAAGGCGCTACGCCAAAACATGGCGGATTGAGGCGGTTCTGCGCAGTTCAGTCAGCATCTGTGTGACCTCGTAGCCGGTACAGCGCTATCGGCGCGCACCTAACGGCCGTCTTCAATCTGCGAGTCCTTCGAGCGATGAGAATGACGGAACGGAGCGAGAGGAAGAACGGGAGCTGCCGACGCTGCGTGGTCGGCTCTATAGCAATCCAATCAGTCTATGCGAGCCTGGTCGTACCCTTCTAGCGGTCCAGCGAGGTTGTGTGAGCGGAAGAGGTCGACGCGTTCTCTCGCGCGAGTTGTCCGAAGAGGTCTCCTCTCGCCTCGACATTCGACTCGCTTGCTACCGCCGCTGGAAAGGACTGTGGACTCGCTGGACTGCTGCTAGACGATACACGGGCGACCGACCCGCACCCACGCTCGTTTCACCGCGCCCCATCGACCTACAAAGGCCGCTCGCGCCCCTCCCTCCTTCTCGCCCTCCTGGTCGACCAGTCTGTCCGCCTGAGCCACACAGCGACACTCGAAAATGCCGCGAACACGGTCGACCAAGCCTGCGAGCGGGTCGTCGCGACTAGGCCGACTCGCAAAGTCGCTCGCCTCACTCTACCTCCTCGCAGCCGTCGTCTACACCGCCTTTCAGCTCGTACTCGCGCCGACCGTCTCGTACCTGTCGGGAGGTGCGATACTGGGCCATGGCGGCGACCGAGAGGCGGCGTTCGGGACTGCAGACCCGAATGCGCTCCAGCTTCTCGCAGCAGGGTCCGCGTTGGCGCCCTCACAGGCCAAGGGAGCGCCTGCCACGATGACCAAGCTGAAGCACGCAGCCTTGGAAACGGCAGCCGTCAAGGCGGCCGACATTCGCAACGAGGATTCCTCGGATCCGGTGTGGGCTGCGGCAGAGGCGGCGGCGAAGAAGGGCAAGAAGAAGGCGAGCACGACGTACCGGCGACCCGCAGTCATTCTCGACAGCAAGGAGCTCGTTGAGAAACGGTTACACGGATTCGCCGACGTCGACTGGGACAAGGACCACATGGTCTGGCATCACCCGACGGCGGAGGCGGCGCACTCGGGGCCTCGAGCGGATGAGGCGGCGCTTGCGGCGTATGGCGATGCTCCTGCAGACGGGAAGACGATCAGCGAGGACGAGTTCTTGAGCCTGTCGTTCGGGTCGAGCCTCCAGCCGAGCAAGGTTATCCCCTATTACTACCGCGCCTCCGACCCAGACCGGATAGACTTCAACAAGGAGGACATCACCATCACGACGCTCGTCACAAGCAACCGCTTTGCCGTCTTTGAGCGCCTCGTCGAGCGGTATCGAGGTGCGTTCGCTTCTCCATCCTCGCGCTTCTCCGTACCGTGCTGAGTGATTTACCTTGCAGGCCCGATCTCCGCCACCGTCCACTTGACCGAAGGCAAGGCGCACTCGGAAATGCTCCGTGCGCTCGAAACGATGTACACCTCGTCGCCGCTCATGAAGCAATACGTCGACATCCACCTCGTCTACGACCCCTTCGAGCGGCAGTTCAACATGTGGCGGAATGTCGCAAAGTTCTTCGCCAGGACTGAGGTGCGTGGCGGGAGATGACTTCACTCTCGGCATCCGTTCGCAAGCGGAGTCCAGCTGATAGACGGACACCACAGTATGTCATGATGCTCGACGTCGATTTCTGGCTCTGCACCGACTTCCGCTCGCGCATGCTCGAGTCGCCCGAGATTATGCAGCGGCTCAAGGGCGGAATGGCGGCTTTCGTCGTTCCCGCCTTCGAGTTCCACAAGCAGGCCGACGGCGTTGACCCGAACACCTTCCCGTCGACCAAGGAGGTGCGTTGCGTTCTTGAAGACGTCACTGGGGCCTGCTGGAGGACATGGCTAATCTCTCCTCGTCTCGGATCCCGCGCAGGGCCTCTTGCAACTCGTCAACGATGACAAGATCGGCATGTTCCACAAGAGCTGGGCGCCGGGACACGGCTCGACGAACTACACGCGCTACTACGCCGCCAAGCCGGGCGAGGTGTACCGCGTGCAGGGTTACACGCACTCGTACGAGCCTTACGTGATCTTCAAGAAGGAGGGGACGCCTTGGTGAGTGCAAGAGCGAGGCATGCGCTTTGGCGACGCGTTAACGAGACGAACACGCAGGTGCGACGAGCGCTTCATCGGCTACGGCGGCAACAAGGCGGCGTGCCTCTTCGAGCTGTACCTCTCGGGAGTCTCGTTCTACGTCCTCCCCGACGACTTCCTCATCCACCAGTCGCACGCGTACGCCGAGAAGGCGCGCAAGCACGAGCGCAAGTACAATCGCAAGCTCTACACCGACTTCCGCGAGGAGCTCTGCTTCCGGTACCTCAACCTGTTCCTCGACCAGATCGAGAGCCCGCGGGCCAAGGTGAGCCTTTGCAGTATCATATCGTTCTTTCGAGATGACTTACACGCTTGTCACTGTCCAGAACCTCGCGCTCGAATGCAAGAAGATCAAGGGTTTCGCGAGTACCGCAGCCCGGTACATTGCCGCCGCAGGCGGTCCTTCCGCTTCGAAGGTCAAGGCGAAGGTCAAGCGAACGACATAGTCGACGCAGCGCACTCGATTCCTTTCGACCATTCTCCGCCCTCTCTCGTCGCAGCCGGTTCTTCGACGCGTCCTCAGCTATCTCGTCCTTCTTGCGCGCCGGTCCGCCTTCTCTATATCTTCCGACCACGCAGTACGACCCAGCATCCGCCGCAGACACTCTTGTCCCAATTAGCTTTACCTTCGTCCCTTTTCGCATCGCGTCCTCACCTTCACACACGACTACCCTCGTTTGGCACTTCGTCCTTTCCTCCGGCTCGCCACGCATCGATACCCTCGTTCCCTCTTGCACCCTCGTCGGCAGGCGTCGACGCTCAGCGTCGTTTGCCGCGACCCAACTCGCCGTCCGTCCTTCCTCGTTTCTCGACCCCGCCCCTGTCCCCCTCGTCCTCCGTACTCCTTCAAGGCTTCCTGCCAATGCATCCATACCCCCCGGCACACGCCCGAAGCCAGCTTGCGCTGCTTTGCTGTCGAAGTCGTCGTTGGCCTCGACCGCCGCAGTTGTCGTGGGCTGACTTGCTTCATCACCCTCGCTGGCGAGCTGCTCGACTGCTTACGGCGCTCAAGGGCTCGTTTGCTTAGCTTTGAATCCTCGGACACCCCCAGCACACCGCCAAACCCGCTCGCACTCGCCGTCTACCGGCCCCCCCGCTTCCCGCATCTCTCTCGACAGAACGGACGACTACGCGCCATCAGCAGCCTTTCCAGGTGATCGGGCTGCAGTCCGGACTCGGTACGGCGCACAGGCAAGCTCAGGACGACCGGCGGGACTCCCGCTTCCCTGCGCATCGAACGAGCTTCGCCTCATCGCCTTCCACTTTCGCTCGCCGTCCTCCTCCCTTCCTCCGGCTTTCGAGACAACCTGCAACCGCGAAGGCTCCTCTCTAGTGCGCCCAAAGCCGCCAACAATACTACGGGATGGGCTGCGGTTCGTCGTCGCTCAAACACACAGGCGAGGCGGGCGAAGGGCGGGAAGCCAGGACAGAGAAGGACAAGTCGAGCGCGATCGACAAGCAGATTGACGAGGATGCGAAGAAGCTGCGGAGAGAGTGCAAGATCCTCTTGCTCGGTGCGTTGCGGTCGAGCCTAGCAGCTGACAGGGTGGCTGACTTGGGTTTGGACGGCTGCACATGCAGGGTCGGGAGAGTCGGGCAAGTCGACCATCGTCAAGCAGATGAAGATTATCCACCAGAACGGCTACTCGCGGGACGAGATCATGCTCTTCCGGTTGACGATTCACAAGAGTGCGTTCCGAGTCCTGCTTCGGCTTTTCGTCCTGTGCGTGTCAGCTAACCCGCTTGGGTGGTAGACATCCTGGACTCGGCGCAAGGGCTGGTGTTGGCGATGCGGCGGTTCAAGCTGGAACCTGTCGAGGAGATCAACCAGGTGCGTCCTGTTCCCCGTCCTTCCGCTGATCGCGCTGCTCCGGCCCCCAGTTGGCAGTTCTGAGCGAATGGGCAGTGCGAGCATCGACTGACTACCGCTGTTTCCCTTGCAGGCCTACGCGGACAAAATCATGGAACATCAGCTCGACTGCGACACCTACTCTGCCTCCCCTCTCGCCTCTTCCCCTCGTCCGTCAATAGACCGTCGATCGGATGGCGGCCTCAGCCCAGAGATCGTCCAAGCCATCGACAGCTTGTGGCACGACCCCATCATCCCCAGCGTGCTCGACCGGCAAAGTCAGTTCTACCTGATGGACTCGGCTCCTTAGTGCGTTGCACGCTCCCAGCTTTCGAGGCGAGCCGTCAGCTCACGATGCGCCGCCTACCACAGTTTCTTTGACGAGATCAAGCGGATAGGAGCGTGCGACTACGTCCCCAGCGAAGCCGACGTTCTGCATGCCCGAACAAAAACGACGGGCATCAGCGAGACCAAGTTCCGCGCGGGCCAGCTCAGCATCCACATGTTCGACGTCGGCGGGCAGCGGTCTGAACGGAAGAAGTGGATCCACTGCTTCGAGGCCGTCACGTCCATCATCTTCTGCGTCGCGCTGTCCGAGTACGACCAGGTTCTGCTCGAGGAGAACTCGCAGAACCGGATGAACGAGTCGCTCGTATTGTTTGAGAGCGTCGTCAACTCGCGGTGGTTTGTCGTGAGTCCGCGTTCGCTTTCCTCCGCCTCGGATCGCTCGCTGACGATCTCTCCTGCTGGCAGCGAACATCCATCATCCTCTTCCTGAACAAGATCGACATTTTCCGTGCGTATGACAATCTCGGCCCCGCTCGACAAACAAATCGCTCACTGTCTCTCTCACTTTCGCAGGCGTCAAGGTCACGAAGGTTCCCCTCTCGCTCTACTACCCCGACTTTACCGGTGGTACCGACGTCAACAAGGCGGCGAAATACATCCTGTGGCGGTTCACGCAGCTCAACCGCGCGCGGTTGAGCATCTATCCACATTTGACGCAGGCGACCGATACGAACAATGTGCGTCTCTCCGCCTCCTCGCATCTGCGACTCGCGTTGCTGACGCTTTGAGCTCTCTCAGATCCGTCTCGTCTTCGCCGCCGTCAAGGAGACGCTGCTGCAGAACGCCCTCCGTGACTCGGGCATCTTGTAAATGCGCTCTCTTCAGCGGGACCCGCACCTCGCTGCCTCCCGACCCGCCCTCTTTTCGACTGTATCCCGCATGTGTAACCTCCCATCACGACATCACCGCCATACCCTTACGTTACCATTCATTGCCGTCTTTCGAAGCTGGAACAGCCCGTTGTAGGAGTGGTCGTCTCGTCGAGCGTAATGCACGGTTGCCAGAAGTTTGACTTACTCGCTATCGAGAGATCTCTCGTCTAGCAAGCCCCTTCCAACGAGCTTATACACGCTCCTCCTCGCCTCCTCCTCTTCGCCTCCTGCTCCTTCTGCTCTCCTCACCTCGGCTCGCTACTCCCTTGCTCCTGCTCAGGCAGGTTGCTGCTTCACGAAGCGACCAGCAAAGTCCTTCACGACCGTCCAGCGTCTCCAGCCCACCGACTCGTCCCTCGGCTCCACCTCCCACTCCCATACAACACACGAGTTCCCTTCGCCTCGACAGACGAGGGCGACACACGCCGACCCAGTCAAACACCGTCTCTAAGCAGTCGGCAGCTTCACGGACCCCAGCGCGAGGCGGTTCGAGCAGGGGGGACGATGAACAACACCATTAACGGCTTCGCGACGGGCGGTCTTCAGGCGATGCAGGGCTTGCAGGGGTACCCAGGGCAGGGTATGGCGGGACCCGGGACGCCTCTCCAGGCTCAGCAACGCCTCGACGCCTCGTCCACCTCCTCAACTCCTTTCGCCTTTCCCGGCGCGCCAGGCGGCGCGCCAGTCGCCTTTCCGCCTCAGCCAGTGCTGCAGCCGTCCTCTGCGATGACGCCGACTCAGCAGGCGTTGCTCTTGCGGAGTCAGCAGACCGCGAGGTCGGCGCCTGGTGCACCACCTCTGGCTAGTTCGAGCAACGCTGCACCACAACCAACGCCGCCGGTCGCTGCGCCAGAGATCCCGCACGACGGAGGTCCGCCCTTCAGGGTCGCCCCTCACCGCGCCTTCACCCGCGTCCGCGAGACTGATCCCGGCGAACCCTTTCCCAACATCGCTTCCGACGACCAGCGACGCGCGAAGAAGTGGATCGAGCGGGACGCTGTGTATGAGGACGAGCTTGTGGCGGCGAAACATGGTTTCAGGCGCGACATGGGCGCGTTCATGGAGGAGGTTGTGAGGGAGCAGGACTGGCTCGGGCCGGTTATGGACCCGCAGATGTCGCGCGGCCAGTTCCGCTTGCGGTTCGGCGAGGACAAGGTCAAGGAAGAGGCGAACGGGAAACGCGGTCAGCTGCGACGGCCAATCCCTCTGTCAGTCTCGCTTTCGAGGTGAGGAGAAAACCAGCCGCTCAACTCGCTTCGTCGCAGATCCAAACCGTACCTGCGGTCAGTCGCGACAACGCCGGAGGTTCTGATACCTATCCGTCTTGAGCTCGAATCCGACATGTACAAGCTTCGCGACACATTCACCTGGAATCTTCGAGGTGCGCATGCGCTCGCTCACCTGTGACCGACTCTCGCTGATTTACCCTGAGCCACGCAGAGCCGACTATCACGCCCGAGATCTTCGCCTCCCACCTCTGCGCCGACCTCCGCCTTCCCACCAACCCCTTCTTCAACGACATCGTCGCGACCGTCAAGAGGCAGCTTGCGGACGCGCAGCTGAGCGCAACGTACGAGGGACATCTCGGCGCGTCCTTCGAGAACGTGCGGGAGGAGAACAGAGTCTGGTTCGAAAAGCGGTTGAGCAAGAGGAGGCGGATTGAGAAGGCCACGGAGGAGGAGGAGGAGGAGGAGGAAGAGGCGCCCATGCTGGCTACGGAGCTACAAATGAACGGATCGGCACCGACGGACGAGATGCGTGTGGTGATCAAGGTGCGTTCAGCCGCTCTCCCTCTCTCGCCCTCCACATCCTCACCCTTCTTTCTCCGGCAGCTTGACATCACGCTCGATTCGATCCAGCTCGTCGACAAGTTCGAGTGGGACATTAGCAATCCTCACAACTCGCCGGAAGCGTTCGCGGAGGCGTTCACGGCCGAACTCGGCTTGACTGGCGAGTTTCGGTAAGTCACGCCCGTCCACAGCTCGCATTCCCCAGCTGACCGCCTCGCACAGCACGGCAATCGCGCACTCTATCCGAGAGCAAGTCGAATTCTACACCAAGTCGCTTTGCATTCTCGGCTGGTCGAAAGGCCTCGTCATCGGCGATGAAGACCTGCGGCGCGACTTCCTGCCTTCGGTGTCCGATCCGTTCCGCACCGACACAGCCGACGACTACACGCCTCTACTGAACCAGCTCCAAGCTGAGGAGGTCGAACGGCACGATCGCGAGCACGAGCGTGAGATCCGGCGGAAACGTCGCCAGACCAAGGGTCGCGGCGTCACCTTGCCCGACCGCGAACCCGTCCACACGCATCGCACGCTCGTCCCTCGTCCGCTACCCGGTCAAGTCGCGCCGCAGTACGACGACCGCGGCAACAAGATCTTCCCGCAACCCGAGCTCTCCCTCCCGTACCCCCTTGTCGCCAAAGCGTACCCGCCGAAGCCCGTCAACGTCGAGACGAGCACGGCGTCGCCTCTTAAGATGCTGCCGACGAAGGATAAGGCGGCGGGAGTAGGAGGTCTCGCAGCGACTGCTGCCGCGAACCGGTTCAAGAAGGGTCAGGCTGGCGATGGCACCGAGTCTCCGGCGAAGAAGAAGCGGCTGCCAGGAAGAGTCGACCCAGAAGCCCTCGGCTTGCACGAGCACATCATTGAGGGAAAGTGGTACTGCGCAAACTGGTGCGTTCCCTTCACGGCGCTTTCAAGAGTCTCGGTCGCTCATTCCGCTTCCCGGTCTCTCTATAGCGGCGTACCGGCGAGCATCGCAGTTGGCCGTCGCAAAGGGCCGACCGGCAAGGACAGCTTGTGCGGGACCTGCGGTGCGTGCTGTCGTTCTCATGCTTCAGGTGCGCGAGTGCTCACATTCTCTCGCTCGCAGGCAAGTATTTCCATCGCCACAAGCGCCAACGACCCTGCGTATACACCCGCGACCCTGAGACGCATATGCGGTACAAGGCGGAAGAGGATGCGAAGAACCCGAAACCGAAGCGAGGCAAGGCGTCGCACGCCGCCGCTTCCGCACACGACCTGCTCGACCCCCTTGGGTCAGCTCGTACAAGCGGGCGAGCGACACCGGTCTCGCAAGCCTTGTCGCCTGTATCGTCGGCTCACGACGAGGATGACTCGGACGAGGAAGAGTCTGTCGTCTCACGCCCTGGCAGACGCAGGCGGCCGGCTCACTATGGCTCGCCAGACACGCCGTTTGTCCACTTCGACACGGACAATTCGGACGAAGACTCGGTCGAAGCAGCGTCCCCTCCGGCGACCAGGCTTCGCCGCGACTTGTCAGCCGCCGCCAGCCCGCCACCTTCGTCTCGCGCAACGCCGTCAGCTCCTCCGAGGGCGCATGCGGTGCCGCCTGCTGTCCCCCAGGCTCCGCCTCCTGTGAGTTGGCTCAACTCGTGGGACTCGTCTGGGCGGATTTCCGACTCTGCCTGTCCCGATGCGCCCGGCTCGCGCAGACTCGTTGGCTCGCTCTTTTGACTGACGGGCTCTTGGATGGTGCAGCAGCCTCCCGAGTGGCTCAACAAGGCGGCGGCAGACTTGCGAGCCCGACAGGTGGACGACCGATTCGACATCATCCCGCGTCCACGGCCTGCGGACCCTTCGGTCCAAGACTGGCGGATACGCTGCCTCGACTGCCCTGGCAAGGTGTGTCAGTTTGTCGCGTCACGGTGACAACGAGCGGAACTCATGTTCGCCCTCTCTTGCGCAGCTCTACACCCTTGGGCCAGGCGAGACGCTCGACGGCTTCACCGTCCACTTCAAGAATCGCAATCACCGCGCAAATGTAGAAGCACGCCTTGCGCGCGAGCGACAGCCATGAAACCGCGACCCGCGACACCAGATCTCGAAATTCAGGTTCGCTCGCTCTGCTCGCTTCCGCTCCCGCTTCCTGGCTTGTTCGTTCTTGGCGGATCGACACAGCTCGCCTTCTATCGCTGTTCGCCGAGCTCGACTGGATTTCCGACAACCAGCCTCGCCTGCTTCCTACGATTGGAGACGATTCGATGCTCGCTTCCCCGAAGGATCTCTTTCCCGCGGATGAAGCTGGCGATATCGTACCTCACAGGTGACTGACCTCTGCGGCGACGTCGTGACGAGCTGGCGGCGCCGGTCGGCCGGGAGGTGGTTTGGGCGACGAGCAGGAGGAGGAAAGGCGTACGCCGGATCAGCTGCCGCACCCGAGGAGCGCGATCTGATCGGTTTCTTGTGTCGGACGACTGCGGGCAGACCATGTTTCGATGACGGTGGTTCGTGGAATCACTGAGGCCAGGAGGACGGTCTTCCGCTGGTCAAGAGGACAGCCCGACTGGGCCAAACAAGGTCGTCGATCCTTTCTCCTCTCGCGTGCGTACCTTGAGTCGAGGTCCACGATGAATGCCTACTCGCTCGTCTACGCATCGTTCGCCCACTGATGCAGATAGCAGATGCAGAGGCCAGACCGCTCTCGTTTGAGGTTGACGGATTCTCG